GTAACAGCAGGATGACCACACTACACACAAACAAAACCAATTAAGACACCAGGCACAAATACAACAAATTAAGACACCAGGCACAAATAAACATGTATTATAATAATATATGCATAATACAGGTGACATCGGTCGTCCTGAAAGCAGTCAACGTGAATATTTTAGATCTCATAATTGGTATTATAATTCAAAGAAAATAAAGATTTTATAAGATTGCTGAAAAGTACAAAAATGTTTTATAAAATTTTTTGTATGTTTATTTATGCTATTATGCTTTTCAGTAACCTTTGATGGTGATGAACACATTCGATATTACCGACAATGTGCCGCATCAGTTGAACCTAAAAGATGTGTTGAAAGAAGTGGTACCCTTGGTGTAAAGATGTTCTATTGTAATTGTGATGGTGATGGATGTAATTCTGGATCTACTGTAACTCTTTCGCTCGCTTTATTTGCAACATCCTTCGCCTTTATTCATTTGTTTAAAAATTTATGAACACTATCTTTTTTTTAAAAAAAAATAAAATTAATGTACATGTATGTTTTGATATAGACGCAGTCCATATTTTATTTCGCACCACAAACCGCGTTGAAACTACAAATAGTTTGAGACATATTGCATTTTATTAACGGAACAAAAAAAAATATATTTGAAATGAATGCAAGAGTATGAATGAAAGGTTTCATATGAAAACAGTGTATGCGTGTTTGAAATTAATTCCTGAGATGTAGATATTGAATATAAATTTCTTATAATTTACAGTTATATGTATTGAACTGATATTTGTATTGTGTTTGTGCATTAGCTGTTGTAGAAGGTATATTCACTAATCACTTGTATGGTTGTCTATTACATGAATATTAGTATTTTTTTATTTTTAATGAATATAATAATCTGTAGAACAAAACTACTCAATTGGAAATATTTGAGATTAAAATAGTAAATATAGTTTGTAAGTAGAAACCATTGTATTCTATAAATTTGTTCAGGAAAATAAAAGAAGCGAAGATCTACATTGTATTACAATATTGTTTATTGAGCTTATAATTAAGATCTGCATTATATGTATATGCCTTATTAAACTTTATGTTATAGAAAAATGAAATTGATAGTTAATAAGTAATACTTTAAAAGAAAGCTTGGTTTTGGTTAAATTAGATATCACATTGTATTATAAATTGTTGAAATATTTATTTTGTGCATTTACTCATAGTATGACTTCAAGGAACGAATGACCTTGGTTATCTGTAACTAAGTAGTGAAGCGTAGAATGAATATGAATGGCCACCATCTTTATTATTTGTTAAATACCCTTGTTGTATACTTATCATTTAAATTTTAAGACCCATTTTTTGTACAATGCAGATGATTTTAAAAAATAAACAAAATTCTTATTGAGTATGTATGTCATTTATTATAAACCCCATGGTGTTACAAAATCACATTGAACACTTAAATTACTTTCCAGGATATAAATTAAGCAATCTTTTTTAAAGACTACATTTCTTTAAAGGGACAATAACACTCTTGCTGGCTTGACAGCTCCAGAAAATAAAAAATAGCCTTATTCTAAGTACTAGATGTGTAAGTGTCCTACCTGTTGTGTAAATTATCCATTAAATCCTATTTTACTTGTCCAGAGGGTTCAAAAATATTTTTAAATCCAAGTCACATTTGAAAAGCTTTAGGTCAGGCTTTTCTAATCATTTAGTTGGATTTTTCCAATTTTTTATATTAGGTGTGTTAAGATCAAATTTGTATCATCAATTAATTAGAATATTGTAAAATAGTACAATTTGTTGACCAGAATAAAGATTGGGACATATTATTCAGTTACAACAAGAGTGGTATTGAGCCTTTAACATTGATTTGAGGATAAATCCAAATTACAAGGATAGATGGTAAATGAAAGAAGAATTGGTGGTGGAGTCTTTTCTTTTGCAAATCTAAAATTACAAGCATCACAACTATGACTTCCACCCCTACTTTGTGCACAATTAAGCCCACAACCTTTTAATCATTTTTAATAACCATACATTAACCAGCAGTTCATTCGAAGGCTCATTTTGAAATGCCATGATAGACCAGGGGCTCAACCTTGCTGAAAAGTGCACCAGTTATCTTCTATATGGTATCGATACATGTATATCTGGTATCATCAGAATGTAAGTCTTCCAGGTTTCTTGTGGTGGGTGTGGTATTCCACGCTCAAAATGCAATGCGCCCCAACTAGGATAGATTAGCCCAAAAGTGTACCACATGAAAATTGTACAGCAGTGTAAGGGGAACGCACCGCACAAACTGTCTGGCAGTGGTCATTCATAATGCCTATCGTGGTACTGAACAACTCCAAAGCTGTTTTTAGTGGGTACAGATTTCAGCTAATCTAACCTAGCTGTCGTCTGGAAATTAGATAACTCTTGTCAGCGATACTCCACCACTACTAGTGTCTGGAAATTGCATAGCTCTGTCAGGGGTACCACACCACTAGAAATGTCTGTCAGTCTTTTTGTAATACCTGAAGATGTAAGGTACACTGCTGTGCGATTTTCATGTGGTGTGCTTTTGAGCTATTCTAGACTAGTTGGGGGGTATGGCATTTTGGGTGTGGAATACCAGAAACCTGGCAGACTTACATTCTGATGATACCAGATATACATGCATTGATACCATATACATATAGGAGAAAATTGGTACACTTTTCAAATAGGTTAACCCCCTGGGCTCCCACTCTATTCCTTTTCATTGTCTGGGGTTAGGGATAAGGGAGTTAATTGCAAGCAAATAGTTTAAAAGCTGGTTGTGGATTAGTTTTTAACGATTTTTTGGGTCAGATTTGATTTAAGTATTGGGAGGATGAACCCTATGAATTTTTCCTGTTCTCTGGATTCATCTCTTGCAAAATGTTTGCATATCTTGCATAGCAACCTCTTGTTGATATTTTTGTTGCAAATATTCTAAAATGTCTCTATTTGGTCATACTAGAGCCTTTGATCATTGCTATAATGTATTAACTGTTCAAATTAAGGAAGAACCTTATCGAACTGTAGCGATTTCTGAATTCATGGGTCTCTTTTCTGTGTCTTGTAAATGTCCATGACCTTTTTTTGTGGCTATTTTGAGAGTTAACAGCCAGGGCAATAAGGTCTTGTTTTTGTCAGTTTCCTGCAACACTGTATTGCATCATATCCCATACTTCTCTTTTTGACTTGCCGGTTGTGTCAAGGCCACACACAATTGATTTGTAAATGCCTGCACAGCTCTATTCCAGGGCTTTCAACCTACCACAATACCACCTTTTGATAAGTTCTGTAAAGGACTGCTCAGCTGAGCTCTACACCAGAGAAGCTTCACCATTTTGTTTTGTAAAGGACTGCACAGCTCTACCTCCTGGGTTTTCAACCTATCCTTATGAACAAATTTCAATTAGTATCACTGTGAAGTGTGATGTGAACGATGTAAACATAAGCCGTTGGCGTTGGTTCAACTGGCTAAAAATGCCAAAACAAGGCTATGTCTTTCCAACCATCCCCTTATCATCAGAAAACAGGCCACTGAAAGAGTCTGACCCTTCAGACTAGTATTAGCCTATCAATTAAAACCTTCCTGAAAGATTTTTCTGGTGTGGGCATGTTTCGTTACATGGCTTTGCATCTTTTGTATAAAGACAAGTCTTATTATATAGTTTAAATTTATCTTCGAGCTTCAGATAGTTCGATATTATGAATTATCCAACTCTTTCACTTGTCTTTTGATGGACCAAAGTAAGAACTAAAGAAAAAAAATTATGGCAAACCACAAAAATTTGATCTTGAATGTAAGATAATGTCTGGTTAATATAAAATCATTGACTTGATATGTTGACAATTATAGACAGATCAGTGATCGAAAAGAAATTACAAAAGACAACAACAAAGGTAAGATACAATTAGATTATGAATTTTATTTACAAGTGAGTAGGCATGCTTAACAAAGATGATCAAATCATTACCCACTTGCTCTCTAGTAAAAAAAAAAGAAGCTATTTATACTGCTCTCAATAAGGCCTAGTCAACCTGCTTAATCATATTCAATTTCTTCCTGATCCTAGGGTTTTTCAAACTTTATCCATTTTTATTTTTCTTTCCATTTTTATCAAATATATATATTGAAAGAAAATCAAGAAACATTTTTGGGGGCAATATCATGATAATTAACCACCAAGTCTAAAAGCATAAAAGACAAAATATAATTTATTCTTGTGTTTCTTCTCTTTTCACAACTCTTGCTACAAGTTGTTGTTCTCGTTCTAATTCTTTTTCTCTGCGCTGAATCATATGTTGTTCTTCTTTTTGTTTCTGCTGCTGTAATCTTACAGCCCTTCTCTTTAATTTAGATGTTTTGTCACTCAACACAGTCATGTCTTTTTTCACTGTCATCAGTTTACTGTAATACACTCTAGCTTCTAACATTAATGCAACTAAATGTTCCAAGCTATTACAATCGGAAAACTTAGCATTTTCTTGCTGCACTGTTTCTATCAGAACATCTTGATTTTTTAGTGCTTCATCCAGGGAGACCTTTGCCTTCTCGAGGCTTGGTAAAATGTTATGCACTAATCCGTTAGTAATTTTGCTTACACTGTTGGGATTAATAGAAATATCGCACCCCTCATACTGACTGTCTGTGTGTCTAGATTCCAAAGAACTGCCCGTGTCCATCGAATTTATCTCATTGCCATTGCCAGTTAGGTCGTCTGCTTGAGCATCAAGTTCACACCCACTATTTCGGGTTGAAATGGCTGAGGCAGTGACATCTCCATATTCTTCATTTTCAACTTTAACTGTATCACTTGTGTCCATGATTATTACTGATATCATTAACTCTATGCAAATGCAAAATTATGGTATTATGAAGGGAAAAGCATAACGAAAATAATAATCACAAAATATTAATGTTATGAACGTGACATTACGGATGTATGAAGCGTCCCCTAGTGTTGGTATTATTATTTTGACATGCGCGAATCCATGTAGGAAATGGTGTTGATTCACAAGAATTGCAGTAAAACCAAGAATTTTTCCATTTCTTCGTGTAGTCAAATTCTACCAGAATGGAAATAATTATTAAGTGTGTTTATTAGGTATGATGCTATTAATTGTAACAAACTTCAATTTCGCGGACGTCGACAAACGACGTCAGCGCATAAAGCAGCACAAAAATATCAACAAACTCGACTGTCAGACCTCTCTTCATCTCACACACAAGTGACTAGATTGGTGGATTGATTCATTGAAGATATCAATCTGTTATTATGTTTTTAGCCTTTCTCTTAGACAGGGGAGACAGAGTTAATTTATTTCATATGCTTAAAATATGATATTTGGGAAGCAACAAAATATATTTCAAAGAAATGAAATGTTTCATGCTAGATATGGTACCTCATCTCTCTAGATCCCCAAAATGATTGATTAGGCCTATTGTTATTTGTTCACTTTTCCCCACACCGAATTGCAATAAAGCATACAATTTTACCTGACAAATCCAGACAATTGTATTTCAAGACCTAAACGGGTATGTGCATGCATTATAGACGGTAGCACGTCATTTCAGTCCCGCATCATTTCGGACTCAACACAGACGACCTTTCGGACTCAGTTTTGACAGTTCGGACTTTACTTGACGACCACGTTTCGGACTCGGACTGGCGATATTTCGGAGTTGGATGAATAATTAAAAGACTGTTGAACATTTGTGTGATATATTTGTAACTACTGTTTTATTTTCGTTTTATGCGAGTCCGATAGTTGTTTTGTTTTATTTAATTGATCGGTGATTCTTGAGACCACTAATAAAAAGATAACACTGATTTTACACTGCTTGTTCTGTTTTGTTTCATCGGCGAGTATTGAACTTGACGATACAATATTGTTGAAAATTTGTGTATACTTAGTAATACTGCTAATGTTTTTTGTCTTTTACGTAAGTTGGAATAATCGAATCAACACACGGCCGTCATTATCGCTGATTGACAACTCACGATTTTTCTCGTCCACTAAAGAACTGTAAGGTTTCTTTGCGCATACTACAATAACATAGGGATTATCGGTTAATCAGCTTTAATTACCCAAAAAGAGTTTTCTTTCTACGCCCTAATTTATCGATTGGTACTGCTATCTATGGCAAGATTGTCGAGGAATGCATATCAACGTGTAGCTTCCGGATTATCGTTTAAAAATTCTAGGGGCTTGTAAAAGCAGCTTGCATGTCAAGCAAATATTTACTTTTGTTTTATGTGTAGGTCATTTTGAAATAAATTCTACAGCATATTAATCTTTTTTAAAAAAAATAAATTACTTTTACGGGATAGGATGGGAGTTGTGTCCAACCTTTTCTTTCAACTTATTCCTGGGTCCGAAATGTCACCTGCCCGAGTCCGAAACGTCAAGGCCATATTTTTTTGAGTCCGAAATGTCGTAAGTCCGAAATGACATGTAATCTTATAGACTACTTTTGTTGTTATTAGTATGGTACGTCTGTGGTTGGTGCATGCTAGTGAAAAACACTACAGTACTAAATTCATTTAACTGATAATATTTGCAGTTATGTGAAAGTTTTGTCACTATATTGGGCTGGGTATATTTAATAATTTGTCTAAAATCGTATTTTTAATGTTATATATATTTAGTGGAAGACACACTAGGCGAATCATTTGACAGAATCGTTTGGCCTGTCTCCAGTGTCAGAGTCGCGATGCCAAATTTGTATTTGCCTAAATGATTCGTTCATATCAAACGTGTCTGATATTTTCATTCGCCTGGTTTATATTCGTCTAGTGTGTCCGGTTCACCAAAGTCATCGTCCAGTTGTAGAATTCATTAGGCATTAGTCTCTAATGATTATTGTTTTTGTAAAATGAATAATAAATACAGGTAACCGAACTGGGTCAAACTTCACGCAGAGTTTATATATACTATTCAAAAAAAGTAGGGGATATTTGATTTTAGGGGCATAATACTAAAATATGCAAATGACTACGAAAAAAGTCACTATAGAACCTAACAGAAGAAACATTTCCAGTTACATATGACGCCCAAACGCACCAATAGCTACCGCATGGAATGCAGGTGATGCTTGGGATCATCATGGGGGTCCAACCCAAGATTTGCACGACTCTGACTTTGAATGTTACAGTCATTGTGGCATTGAATTCCAGGGTGGAAACATCAGTTTAATTGTTTTAGTGACCAGAAAACAAATTTTGATATGCGTCGGCTTACCCAAAATGAAAGGTTACGTGCCCTTGGCATGCTACAGATCGGCACAACACAGGCGGTTGTGGCGCGGACGATGAATGTTTCTCAGTCTGTCATAAGCAGGCTATGGTCCAGATACCGTGATACACAATCTGTACAGGACAGACCACGCTCAGGTCGACCAAGGGCGACAACTCAAGCCGAGGATCGATTTATCCGTACCTTGGCCTTGAGAAATCGTGTCATCACAGCAAATCAGATCAGCGCTCGTCTTCAAACAGACACTGGTGTGAGAGTGAGTGGCCAGAGGATTCGGAATCGACTGCATAGGGGTCACCTTCGCGCCCGACGTCCTCGCGTGATCCCTTGTTTGAGAGATCATCACATTCAGGCAAGACGTCGTTGGTGTAGGGATCGTCAACACTGGGATAATCGACGCTGGAGCAATGTGATGTTTTCAGATGAGTCAAGGTTCACTGTTGATTTTTTGGACAGACGTAGGAGGGTGTGGCGTCGTCGAAACGAGCGCTTCCAAGACTTTAACGTCATCAGACATGATCGATTTGGGGGTGGTTCTGTTATGGTGTGGGGAGGCATCACTGTTGCTGGAAGAACGGCTTTACATGTTGTTGCAGGGCGTGTTACAGGCCAGTACTACCGGGACAACATCTTGGCAGTCCATGTTGTGCCGTTCGCACGACGTCATGGCCGCCGTTTCATCTTCCAGGATGACAACGCAAGATGTCACAGGGCCAGGATCGTTACAGGTTACCTCCAACAACAGAACATCACCACATTACCTTGGCCAGCACTGAGTCTCGACCTCTCCCCCATCGAGCATGTCTGGGACATGCTTGGACAGAGGTTACGTCAACGTCAACAACGTCCTGCCAATGTCCAAGAACTTGCTGCTGCGTTGCAATAGGAATGGGACAATCTGGACCAAAATGACCCTAGACGTCTCATTAGGAGTATGCCACGTCGGATCAATGCTTGTTTGGCAAACAGAGGAGGATTTACCCGTTACTGACTTGGTTGTGATGCTGTGGTAACTTTGCTGTTTGACCCCGGGTATCATTTTACCCTTATAATGGTCAGTCTATGCCTTATTTAGTCTAACGATCATTTGGAATAAATCGATGAATGTGAACTTCATTTCATTTTGTCATTTGTTTCTTCGTCAGTTTCATTAGGTGACTTTAATAACACTTAAAAATCAAATATCCCCTACTTTTTTTGAATAGTATATACTACTTTGCCAACAGCATTTAGAATGCTGCATTGTAACACAAATGATAGTAAAATAGATTTGTCTTATTTAGAAAGATCCCTGGATATATGTTCACATTTGGTTTTTGTCCCCCGCCTTTCAAAGAAAGCAGGGGGCTATTAAAATAGGTTCGTTCGTTTGTCTGTCTGTCCGTCACACTTTTTGGGACACAATAACTCACTTTCTAATTGAGCTAGAATGTTCAGACTTGGTGTAGGTGTTTATTAGGGAAATGCCTTGATGGAGTTCTAAGATGAGCATTTTCTGCTTAGGGTAAGCTTAGATAAGCAATTTGATTGGTTGATGCTTTGGGACACGATAACTTTAGTTCTAATTAAGCGAGAGTGATGAAACTTGGTGTATGGTTTCATTACATCAATACCTTGACTAAGTTCGATAATGAGCATTTTCTGCTTAGGGTAAGCAGAGTGATAAGAAATTTGATTGGTCTAGACTTTGGAACACAATAACTCTCCTTCTAATCTAATTGAGGGAGAATGTTCAAACTTGGTGTAGGCGTTCATTATGTGAATCCTTGATGGAGTTTGATGATGAACATTGTCTGCTTACAGTAAGCAGAGATAAGCAATCTGATTGGTTGATGCTTTGGGGCACGATAACTTTGGTTATAATGAAGTGAGAGCGATGAAACTCTGAATATAGATTCATTATATTATTACCTTGACTAAGTTCGATGGTGAGAATTTTCTGCTCAGACTAAGGTACAATAAGCAATTTGATTGGTCAAGACTTTGGAACATAACTCTGCTTTTAATTGAGGTAGAATGTTTAAGCTTGATGTAGATGTTCGTTAAAAGGTAAATGTCTTGACTGAGTTCAATGATTAGCATTTCGAGATGAAGCTAAGCAGAGATAATCAATTTCATTGGTTGATATTTTGGGACATGATAATCTTGATTCTATCTGATAGAGAGTGATGACACTTAGTGTATAGCTTGATTGCTCGATACTTTTGAAAAAAATAAATGTGCGATTAATTAATATGTGTCATCTGTTTATTTTGCGATTTCGGCGGGGGACATCAGCCTCACTGTTGGCTTGTTATATTAACATTTATATTACTGATTTTATTTTAGAAAGTCATCAAGATGAGTTTTATGAAAAAACTGATAGGGACCAAGGGTTCCTCAGACCCAAATAAATCAAACACCCCAGATAATTCATTGGGTCTTATGCACTTGAGGAAATTGTTTGCTGAATTCCGGCATCCTTCAGCCAAAGCAACACAAAAAGATCAAGAAGACAAATTGTATAATATGCTGCCATTATTTTGTAAGGTAATGTTATATTTAGCTGGTACATTTATATTGCTGACAGTTAGCTAATTTGAGTTGTGTATGATTTCTGTAACTTCTTTTTAGGTGTAAGAATAGAGCCATACAAACAAAATTAAATGAACCCTATTATCTTTCTTTTTTAGGTTTTTGAAAATGCACCCTCAAGTGACATGACAGAGAAGTGGGGGGATATTCTTCAATTTTGTAGTCATGTCTCAAAACTGATGGTTACAGAAATAAGGCGGAGAGCTTCAAATCAGTCAACAGGTAAGTACTTATCGTAAAAATTAATTGATCTTTTCTTGCTTCTTTCAATCTTAGAAAATAATGAAGATGGCTCGGTAATGAAGGACGCCCAAATAAAACAACCATGTTAGTCCGAAAAGTACTTGTTCATACTAGATTGATTCAATGTATACCTTGTATAAGCTGATGTGTCTAACCTGTAGAAGACAGACCTAAATTGTTCACAACTGATATAACCAATTTTGGGGGTGGATGACCGAATGGTTAGCGTGACTGCGCTGCATCGTAAGGTCTGTCATTGAGTCAACTGGCGTGGTTTCGATTCCCCGGTTGTACATGACAGGGAGTAAGGTCGCCTGTCCAACCTCGTGACTTTCTCCAGGTCCTCCTTTTTCCTCCCACTGCTAAAGACCCCTATGTGCAAGTGAATTATTGAAATAAAATTGAACCATATTAGTCCAGAAATGACCTAGTTTGTGTCAAGTGGGCTTTAAATCCCATTTCTCTCACTCTTTCTCTCTCTCTCTCTCTCTCTATAATCAATTTGGCTATGTCTTTCACTTTTTATACGCCCACATTGAAATGTGGTCGAATATTGTTGTCGCCCCCGCCCGTCTGTCCGACGTCCACAATTGCTTGTGGACGCTCTAGAGGCTAAAGTTAATATCCGATTAACTTTAAATTTATACACAGTGTTTAAGGTCATGAGACACAGAAGCCTATTGATTTTCAGCGATTTCCGATAATTACTGCCAGAGTTATGGCCCTTGATCACTTTGAAAAATCTTGGGGACGCTCTAGAGGCTAAAGTTAATATCCGATTGACTTTAAATTTATACACAGTGTTTGATGCCATGAGATGAAGAATCATATTGATTTTCAACGATTTCGGATAATTACTGCCAGAGTTATAACCCTTGATCACTTTGAAAAATCTTGTGATGCTCTAGAGGCTAAAGTTATCACCCGATTGACTTCAGATTGATACACAGAGTTTAAGGTCTTGAGACGAACAAATATATGGATTTTCAATGAATCTTTATGACTTGAAACAGCTAAATCCATGATGTTAAAAGTATCGTATACTAAACGTTAGCATGGGACAGAACTTTATAAAAACCAAACAAATTCTAATGGTTTTCTGATAATTACTTAATGAGTTGTTACTCTTAATCAGATTTTAATGTATTATAAATGTTTCATTACCGGAAAAAGTAAAAATATGTGACAACTCTTGTTGACTGCCCGGACGATATAGCTGTTGTGGGCATATGTTTCGTTGCCTGGCAACCTATCTTTTAAAGAGTCAAAACTATTAGTTTAAACTACAGTGATCAACAATACTTACAGGAATCTCTCAGACTTCAATTTCATGTTTTCACAAGAAAGGCTTTAATTATTCATGGTGATTAAGAAAAATATTAAATGGTCGATCAGCTGTCATTTAATCACTCACTGCAAATCACTTAGAAAAGCTAATGTTCTTTTTATTTTCTATTTTCAGAAGCTGCTAGTTGTGCCATTGTAAAATTTCTAGAGATAGAATCTAATAGTCAAACTAGCAATGGCTGGAGTTTGTTGAGTGCCCTTAATCTGCTGTCATTGGGAAGACAAGCACTTATAGATTGCATGACAGCTGCTTCCTTGCCATCAACTTTAGTCAAATGTTTGTATTTATTCTTTGATTTACCTCCACTAGAGAATCCTGATGACAGATCAGAAGGAAGTGATTTTAGTCACAAAGAGAAACGAGTTTTACTACAGAGAATATTTGTTCAGGTTATATATATTATATGGTATTCATATTTGTTCTGACTGTATTTTCATTTATTCGTACCAAAGATATGTTGATAAAAGAAAGCAAATAGTAATATAAATATTGGAAAGTATGGGTTATTTTAATCTGCACTCAGATGTAGCACAAGTATGTTGTCTGTGTGCAAGTAACACCACAATAAACAAGACAGTAGCAGTTCATATTCTGTAAGCAAAATCCTTCCATTTTCTATTCAGTATGCATGTCTGATTTGGTTGTCTTAAGATGAACATCGTTACTAATTAGAATTCCCTTCTTTAATGGCTTATTACTCTGTTGTTGTTATTTATTTCTGAAGACAAACAACTATTTTTCCTAACCCTAAAGGATCACTTGACTTTGTAATGATAGTACCAATAATAGTATCTTTGTAAAACAGAATAAACCTAAATAAACTAATTTGTCAATATGTTCCTTAAAGATCTACATACACGTATATGTCATGATCTATTACTGTATACATTCAATAACTTTATTGATTGAAAATCATTTATTGTTTCAGGTTCTAGTGAGGTTGATGAACCATTCCTCTCCAGCAGAGGAACTGGCAAGGAAAGATGATTTAAGTTTATTATTTAGTGCTATAACAAGTTGGTGCCCAGCTGATAATGTGATGTGGAGAAAGAGTGCTGGAGAAGTATTAGTTACATTATCAAGACATGGTCTTACTACTAACGTTGTCAAATATATTCATGGTTAGTACACATTATATCGTTATGCTGAAAAGTCAAAGAATGCCTTTGGAATTTAATTATCTTACTGCTACATGTATGACAATTAATCTTATGGTTAAATAACTTTAATTTCTCACAATTCATTAAAAAGATTAAATGCCTGAATGATCTTTTGTGTAACGCCCAATTGATTAAATTGTATAGACATATGAGTTAGACCACAGTATTTTTTTTGTTAATGTTTTTCAGAAAAAGGTTGTGTGAGACACTGTACAGAAAATATGCAGAGGGTTCAAGAACTGTCTCCTTTAGAGCTAGTTGAAATGTTTGTCACAGTATTTTGCTTCCTGAAGGATTCCAGTGAAGTATCACAAACACTGATAGATGATTTTAAATCTTGTCTTGGATATGTTTTCTTATCAGAATTTCTTCTCAAGTAAGTACCATATATAAACCCTGATTGAAAATTTGCTATACTTTTGACTATTTATTTTTTAATTGCAGGAGAAGACAGATATTTTGTAAGACAAAGCCTACTTTATGTTACAGATTAGAACTAAATGAAGAAGAGGAAGCAGAACAAGCATTAAGAAATTTAGTATTATTGGTAGGCTCATTGACAACATGTGGTTTTGGTGAACTTAAACCCAATGCTAGTAGTACTGGTTCATTATTCCAAATGCCTGGATTTTGCATTCCCCAACCTGCTGGTAAAGGTTAGTATATAAGATGAAATACATACTTCAATGTTTCCAGATTCAATATTATATGTGTATTATTGTTGTGTTTAGGACAAACAGCAAGATTTTACAACCATAACATTACCAATTTTAATGTACAATTAACGATATGCATGCATGATTCATAGATTCATTTAAGCTTGATATTATAGTAACACCTTTCATTATTATCTATCAAATATGAACAAAAATTACTACCATACTTGTTGATAAAAATATAATTTGCTTTTAAATTGAGAGATCATTTTGATTAATGACCCGTGTTGATTACCATATTCCTGTAGTTAGAGCAGACATTGCCTGAATACAAAATCTATTTTGTAAATCATTTTGCACAATAGTTGTACAGTTAATTATGATATTTATGTGGGGTTATGTTGTAATACTTATTTTGTTTTATTTGTGTCATATTTGAGTTACTTACTGTCACATTATTTATGCATGAATTGATTTTAACACATATTGACAGATGTTCAAGTGTTTTCAAGTGGTAGTTACAGTTGAGTACACATATTTTATGTTTTAATATTATAAAAAATACCAGCCTACTGGGATGTGGTGCTGAATTAGACACTGAGTAGTGTGGGGTTCTCTTTAACTTGAATTTCAGATCTCAAATACATAAATACATAAACATATAAACTTCACTTGCACCTTCATCTCTAATTGCTTCTTTTAATATTTGATTTCTCTCTAAAAATCCTTTAGCAAATGTTTGGGTTGATAATATTCCTTCCTTTTAATTTATTTTTGAAAGAACAACAATAATTTATACAGTGAGAACGGCTTACATGAATTAATCTAGTTAAAGTATTTAATTTAATAACACTCTAATTGTATTCAATTTTTCCTTTTTAACAATAATGATAAATTTACTATTGTACTGTTTTGTTTGTATGTATTTGCAAATTAATAGATTTTTTTTTTTTCAAGGCTATCCATTTAGATATTTTTTTCTCTCAAAAATAAGATTTTCCTACTTCTAGTAAGTGTTCAGAAAGAGTAACTCCACTCAAACTCAATTTACACGTAATCATAACACGTTTCTTCACCTCTTAAAATTGTGAAAGACTAGATCAAACTCAGTCTTCTAATTTATAGAATCAGGTGAAACAATTTGGCTATAATTTTGAGTTGTTATGTTATCGCTATACTGATTTGGAGTGTTTTAGACTACATTGCCTTCTTTTCTTTGCATAATAAATATTGCTGAATTTTGAGGAATTAGATATGCAGGCTTGATTTAAAAGTCTCTCTTGTGTATGTAATAAAACTAACAAGCATCTATGCTATATCTGACTGTTGTTAATTGAATCTAATACACAGTATAATACAATATATAGCAACAGCACAATTAATATTCAATTTATCTCTAAACATGTAGACATGGCTTTATATATGGCTGACCTTAAAAATATCTTTGTTTCACCAAACCCGACCCACAATCGAGGAGAAGGGTCGGTAGGTCGGGGTTTTTTTTCAGATTTTTTTTTTAAAGTTAGAGAAATCAATACAGAAAACTTATTAGCTGTATACTACAGATTCATTAATTTTGTTTAATGAATTTGGGGTCTGACGTAAAAAGTAACGAACTGAAAGTTTTTTTTATTAAACTTAAGAGCTAATTTGACAGCTTAATAATTTTCCGGGTGGAAACATTCGTCTTCTTTATTCAATTGGCAAAAAAATAAATGAGTGAATGACATCGGGAATTTTTCGTGATGCCCGACTCGCAAACGATTTGCCACGAACTTGAAGTGTGAAACTCCTTCAACACGTTTTTAACGATACTGCGGGTTGTGCCTTCATTTTTCTCGAAAACGGATATTGAAAATATCGTCGTCATGTTTAAAACTACGCACCACAGACATAGAAGCAGAATCATTTCGTGGGAATGGATGTGTATTCGTCTGCAACCATTTTGTTGAGAAGCGACACCTAAGACGTTTTCGTCTTGATCAACCAGTTTCAATAATGAATCAAACCATAACCATAGTAAAGGGAAATAACTCTCGTGATATATTTCAGGTTGACACACAAAATAAAATAAAAAGATCGTGGAAAAGTGCAATAAAATAATTTAAGTCGGGGGTGGTTTTAGTTAGTCGTTCGCTAGGCGAAACAAAGATATTTTTAAGGTCAGCCTATGCCATATTCGGTATGGAGGAGTATATTGTGTCCCCCCCTCTCTCTCTCTCTCTCTCTCTCTCTCTCTTTGTCAGTCAGTCAGTCTGTTCGGGGTTGTTTCTAGTAAACACTCTAGACTATAGATCTGAGTTTTTGCAGTTTTTTTGTCCAAACATTCTGGCATTCTTAAACAGTATGTAAGGAGGAATTCTGAGCCACAGTTCACTTTTTTGCAGTTTCACCAAAACCCTGTACACAGTTATCTATGCAAGTTATGGGTTTGTTCCTGGATTTTTACATGACAAGGACCGGGATCACCCGTGGGCTTTCTCAAGATTTGTCAACCACTTCTTTCTAAAATACTGCTGTGCATACGCTAATTACTGAAATAAGAATATCTACCATATATTAGTCTCGAAATGACCTGGTTAATGTCAAGTGGACATTAAACCCCATTTTCTCTGTGTTTCTTTCATGTACCGTCCTTGTTGTCCAACTTCATTAAAGCTGGTGGTTGTGTGTATTTACCAGTATGTTTAATCTGGCTGGAGGAACTGTTACAGTCTATGATGATTGCATAATATAAAATACTTTTAGCTTTAAAATACTCTTAGCTTTTAGAGTTGTCACTTTTTTTTATTAGTGAATATTCTCCTATATTCAGCTTTATATTCCATGAAAATAATTTTTGGAAAGATTTTTTGGGTTAATATGAAATATATTGCTAGAATTTCATAAAAGTTAAATATATTTTAATACAGTGTGCTGCATTTTTTGGTTTTTTTTTGATGAAAACAATCTTTGTCATCCTATATGGTCAGATTTGGCTTGACAGTGTAATGTTATTTAAAGATGTCTACAATTAAAATGATTTCTTGTATTTTAGGTGTCAGTGTTAGGAATATTCATGCTTTTCAAGTTCTTCAATCTGTCTTCTTAAAGGTAACTGGAAAAGATGTTTCTTGATTTATTGAATGTTAGCCAACAATGGTGGCTCAAATATGACTCATTTCATTTACTTTGATTTTAAATGTTTTGCTTTTCACACTGGGTGATAATTTTTATACACTTTTCATCCAGTGGATACTTATTAAACACTTTTCATGCAGTGGATATTTTTTAAACACTTTTCATATAGGTGTTATTGTCAGGTGATCAGCAGAAAAATTAAGACTTTGGTTAGAAATTAATTAAACATATCACAATTTAAAAAGATTGATTAGACATTGCTTGTTTATAAAAACTACAACAAGTCTATTTTATGAATTATATGTTGATGAATCAAGATGAATGTTTTAATTTATAGGCTTCTACAAGTCACCTGTGTAGTACTATATTAGATGTTATTAGTAGTATATATCACCAAGACAACGCTAACTATTTTATCTTAGAATCCCAGCATACATTATCAACATTTATAGAAAAAGCTCATTTAAAACCAGCAGATATACAGGTAAATAAAATTCTTATTAAATTTGAAGCCGCTGATTTTCTTTTGTGGGATTTTTGATCCCTTGTCAACTACAATGTTAGGAAAATTGAATCTCTTTAAAAGGAGTATCAGTCCAAAATCATTCTTTTAGCCTTTACAAGTATATGAATATGGTGAATTGAAAATTTGTCAATAGTCGGAATCCTCTCCAGACGATATAAACAGGGTATGGTCAATACGACTCATCGCCATATATAATCTTCGCTAATATCTTTTGAGGGGTTCTTTTTAATCTTAACCAAAATCTTGTGAGGTTCTCTTTTTAATCTGATTTTGTCTAAGCCAGGAAATTATCAACTGTTGTTATTTTGATTTTGTTTTCTTAAATGAATGCAATAATTTGTGTAGATTTTAGCATGGATTAAGTGAAATGAAATGAAATGGGGTTTAACGTCCTACTGTTCTGCTCCTAACCTGGGCTAATAAAGACGGGCATACGCCATACAGTGGCCTTCTCTTATATCGAATTCCAACTGCCAAGGGATCTTTTACATGCACGCCAATGTGTACACGGGACCTCGGTTTTTCGTCCCAACTGAACGACTAGACAGCTATCCTTGTCAGGACCTCCATCCTGCATCACTGACAAGGGGAAACCACGCCGGAAAATCTGAATGAACTTTCTCGGCCAATGCAGGGATCGAACAACTGACCTCCAGGCTAGTGAGCCAGCGTCTTACCCACTTAGCCACGTGATCCCCGCGTGGATTAAGACATGAAAAATTAGATATTTTCTAAAATATGTAAATGACGATCAACGGCTTTCAGTTATAAAAATTAAATGAATATAGGTAGTATATAACTACACTAAGAAGACCCAACTATTCATAGTTTTGATACATTCTTCCACATTTTAACATATGTTTTCATTATATTATTTTATTTTTTCAGAGCAAGTTGTTTGAACTGATAGAATTTATAGTTATCAACTTGAACTTTGTCCCATGTAAAGAATTAATTAGCTTAAGTATTCTTATTAAATCTCAACAGTAAGTTTGTAGTTTTTTTCATTATGAGTGTTGCAGACTTAATAAGAGTTTGTACAACATTTGCTATAAATATTTATTATTATTATATGTTTTCTAATAATTTAATTTATATCTTTACATTCAAGCTAATCCCAATATTTTGTAACATAATGTATACACATTTTTTTTGTTTCAGTTCCATATCGTGTAGTATATTATGTATGAAGACATTGCTGCATATATTAAGATACCATAGTGTCTATCGTGATGTTTTCCGTGAAGTGGGAATGTTAGAAGTTATGGTGACTTGTATGCATAGATATGCCGCTTTACTGAAAGATCCACAGTCAGAATCAGGTAAATTTCTTGTTCAGTAATTTATTTTAATAAGTGTTCAGGTCTAGAAGTACCTAACAAAATGTCAAGCACTAATGAACTAGTTCCTGACATTTTGAATTTGTGTCAGAAATGTGTTTAAAGTATCAATACAAACACTGAAGAAAGATAACTTCTTACAGAACAAAATTACATGCACTGGAGGCTTTACATGGATTTGTGTCTGGCAATGTCTGTGACAGGTGCCTTATTTCCAGGCTTGTTTAAAGTATTGTTTAGAAATTTCTTTGATTGTCAATAGAACAACAATTTTTTTTATATTTGTAACAGAAACTGAAAATATTAGTCAAGAACAACAAGAATTGGGTCATTTAGTAATGGAAGCCCTGGCATTGTTATTGAGTGGCAATAGTAGTAATGCAGGTAATGACATAAATGTTTTTTTTTTTTTACATTATATTTTGTATTTATGATATTTGGAATTTACAGAACTATCAACTGTAACAGAAGAAATATACTTTCAGCAAATTATAGAATGATTATCTTACCCTACTTTATATCACATGATTTGTTTAACTGTACAGAGAGGGGTTGGAAGATCGAAATGTTAGCATGTACGCGCTGTATCATAAGGTCTGTCATTGAGTCAACTGGCGTGGTTTCGATTCCCCGTTCGTACATTACAAGGAGTAGGATCACCTGTCTAATCTCGTGGGTTTCCTCTGGGTGTTCCTGTTTCCTCCTACTGCTAACGACCCCTACGCGCATTATTGAAATAAAATTGAACCATATGTTGGTCCCGAAGTGACCTGGTTTGTGTCGAGTGGACATGAAACCCCATTTCTCCCCTCCCTCTCTCTCTCTTTCTCTCTCTCTCTCTCTCTCTCTCTCTTAACTGTACAGATGTAAATGAAAATAAGATATTTTTCCTTGCAAGATTGTTTAATCGTTGCCATCAAAATTTTATTCTTATAAATTTGTTTTGATCAGGTGTTTTTCGCGAGTGTGGTGGAGCAAGATGTGCTCATAATATGGTACCATTTGTTGACTGTCGTCAGATGGCATTAAATATAGTACAACAGTTAGTATTATCACCTGGTGGAGATGATGATATGGGAACGTTATTAGGTTTAATGCCAACAGCTACAGTAACAGATCTAGAATTGAAAACACACATTTTAAAGGTCTGTATTTAACACTGTTAGATACTTGATATGAAGAATTGCGACTACAGCTTAAGCCTAAACATGATAATAGATTTTAAAATGATATTGTTTCTGGAGAAATACTACATAATTATAAAGTGATACAAATGCCATCAAAATAAAGATGTATTTGATTGATTCCAGAGGTATATTATTTGTAATATTTAATTAGTCTAACCAATAGTGAAACGGAAACCGAAGGCTTTAAAGGTGAATAGACTAATTGTTTGATATTTTTCATTGTTTAATTCCAGTCTCTATTGAATGTATTAAGAGAAAGTCACAGAACAAGAACAGTGTTTCGTAAAGTTGGCGGCTTTGTGTATGTTATGTCAGTTCTCGTTTCTATGGAAGGTTGTCTAGCTGATACACCTAAAAGTCCTTGGGATAAAGGTATGTAATTTTGATTCTATTATCCTTCAGCAATTTCTTAGGAAAGCTCTTTTGATTGCATATTGCAGAGTGAGTTACAATTTAATTTATGAAATCCAGCGACACTATGCATAGCTTATTAGGGAATAAGATGGAACCCTATCAGATTTCATAATTTCAGATCATACATTTTGAACTTGTTCTGAGCCATTGACTTTTGAAGCTTGTTAACCACAATAGAGCAAAATTCTGCATGGCATGTTTAAAAATGTGGTTAGATTGTTCACTTAAGTTTCTGAATAATTCTTTTTAAAATTATTGAGATTGTTCATAGGGGCATATATACTCTTGAAAAAAAAGTAGGGGATATTGAAATGCAAATACCATACAGGTTGTGATATGATAAATAGTCATGGACACTTGACATGCCCCAACAGAACCACTGAGCTGCATGTGCGACACGTAATAGCGCCATACACGTGGGAGGGGTTCATTGTCAAATTTGACACTTCAAGGAAGGGTTGATGAAAACTGTTTAGCGTATCTTTGCTTTAGTGTGTTACGTTTAATTTGATCGAGAGACGTGTTTGTCGACATCAACGTCTACCAACAACACTGCAAGAATTGTTTGTCACACTGCTAGAGGAGTGGGTCAGATTGCCCCAAATCGTGATTGGACGGTTGATTAGGAGAATGCCACAACGAATTGCTGAATGTCTTAGGATTGGTGGAGCAATTACTCCAATAAAAAATCAAAAACGTCTATTTTCACTTTTGACAGTTTATCTCGTTGTGAGTGAAATGGGGCCGTCAGATAAGCCGCCCATATGAACTGTTTACATTCATGTGTAGGCAATTGGCCTGTTATTAACATACACTGGTTACCTCTAATAAAAACAGCAGTGCATTTCCACAGTTTTGTATTGTTTCTGAATATCCCCTACTTTTTTTGAAGAGTATAGTTTCTGTAGGATTTGTTGACAATGATTTTAGAGCAACGATTTATAAGCATCATGTATACATTCGTGTAATTGATTCATTTATTTCAGTACCAAGAAAGGATATTCTACAAATGTTGAGAACAGTATTTAGTACTTTAACAGTAGCAATGAGATATGAACCAGCTAATGCTAAATTTTTTGCTTCAGAGGTAGGGAAATTAATTATATCTGCATGTCAATCATAATTTTGTAACTCCTTCTTTTTTACTTTTGATCTGTTTTCTATTAATTTTGTATAATTTCGGTGGTTTTGATTAATATTGTATTTAAAATAATTTCAATTGTTATCTCTCTCACCAAAAAAATAAATGTAATTGGTTTTGATTGATATTGTATTTAAAATAATTGTAGACCCTATTATAATCGAAAAATCCCAGCCAGTGTATTGGCAGATTTGTTAGTTTGTATATAATGTACTTTTGAACATGCCATATACTATATAGCAGGGATCTTAATCGTCTCATTATTGTCGGATTCAGCCTCTTGATGTTTGTAAAACCCGATTGATGAAACATTGAACCGGCCACTTTGGTATTATAAATCAATCTACATTTGGCCAAATTGAAACAGGTTAATTTACTGGCCGGTTCGTTTCAAAATGGATTAAGAACAATGGTCAAATAATGTTGACATCATCTACCGGTGAAGATCTGTATGCACTAATAATAACCTCTTTAATCTACGAGAACAAAAGTGAATGTTTTTTGGGTTTTTTTATGAATATATTTTTATATTTTATTTGACTTGTCTGTAAACAGGTACGATATGATAGTTTAACAGAAGCTGTAAGGTTATTAGGATGTTTTTCAAGTTCTATTGATATACAGACAGACCCTGAAGCTGCCACACCAAGTGAAAATGTTGATTTATTTCAGCAGTTATTCCTACAATCAAAGGAAGACAAGTAAGCCTTTTATTCAATGTTAATACCGTTGAAGGTATTTGAATAGATTGAAGACTTTTATTATGCGGGATGAACAAGGCATTATTTGGATGGTGTGAAAAAGCAATAGATCCATGTACACATTGACATACACTTAAAACATTAACATGTGTTGATGCCCTATGTAAATCTTTATGTGTGTATTCCTAGTGTGCATGGCCACTTAGTCAGGAAGTTATGCGTTACAAAAATGTACAATTATGATAATAGTAAATAATAATGAAATGAATAACTTTAAACCCATTCCTTTCCTCTTTACAGGTGTGATATTATAAAATCGATTTATCTTTTCAGAATTCAAAAACCCATTCCAGTAATTTTGATGTCTGCCTGTCAAATGTTTCGATATCTTTATGATATGGCTCTTGATGCTTTTGACAGGTTTGTTTATTATCTATTTATAAATTTCTCAAAATCACTGATTGTATTGATATTTATTTTTAAAATTTACATAGCAATCAGTAAGACATTTCAGTATGATATTTCTTTTCTAGGCCCTCGTGTAATTATGCTAAAGTTGACTCTCCACTATTGAAAAAACATATGTCTGTGATAGAAGAATCTTCAACCAATCAAATATTAGTAAAACCAAAGAGAGGTAGTACAGGAAGTATGGGGTTAAATCTAAGTGGTATTTCGGATCCTGTTATTGTACATGCTGGTGCCATTTTATCCATATTTCATCTATTACCAGCTCTAGAACATGATGTTAAAAAACTGGTAAGTAACTCTTACTTAAGGTGTAATTATTACTGGTTGTTAAGTTTTAGTATTTGTTACTAAAAAATTGAATCAATGCAGTGAAATTATATATAGGTAGTCACCTGACGACTTTTGGCTCGCTAATGTGAAGGTCCTGTGTTTGATCCCTGTGTTGACCGAGGATTTTCCAGCTTGGTTACCTCGTGTCAGTGGTGCAGGAGGGTGGGGGTGGCAAAGAACAGCATATAGTCGTTATGATGGAACGAAAAACTAAGGTCTTGTATACACAATGTTATGCACATAAAAGAACTCTTCACAGCGGGAACTGTAGGCCGTAGCACTGATTTCCTGGCAAAATCTTTCCCCCATAGCTCACTATTTGTCGTATATATCTCCATTAGCCCAGAGCAGAACAGTAGGACGTTAACCACATTTCATTTCATTTCACCGGCCAACTTTAATTAAAGGTGATGGATATGCAAAAATCTATTTTCTAGTTTGTAAGTGAACATAAAAACTGCAGTAATAATGAATATGAATAAATCTGTTTTATCAGGTTAAGTTCTGAATAAATCTGTTTATCAGGTTAAGTTCTGAATACTCTCATATCATATTTCTTCTAATTAGACTTTATGGACATGAATGTAATTAACTTCATAATAATTATATTTAATTCTTTACATTTCCAGGAAGCATTAAATTTAAAATATTGTGTATCTGATATATTGAGATCTTTACTACGAATTGAACGCAATCAACAGATAATGTGTGATGCAGGTTTTCCACATGAATTATTGAGTCACGGTAGTGTAGCATTAGCAGATGAATCATTTCCATTACATCCACCATTACAGTTTATGTTTGAAAGACTGGCCTCACAATCACTTACTCCACGAGACTTAAGGTACATAGATTGTATTCAAATGGCTTACCCTTCAACCTTGAAATTCTCATAGGGTTGTACATTGCCATCAACCCTTATTTCCACTCATCCCATGTGTTTTGATAGCCGTGTACATCACAGTTTTTGAGCTTTTGATAAAAAAATAACTATACTTGGATTACTTTAGATTTATTGGATCATAAAATTGAAAACATTAAAATGCTTGTGTAAATTGGTGGCTGCTATGCGTATGTTTGTTTACTGCCAACTAACTCATTCCTCTTTGAGATTTGGGATAAGTAGATAAGATTTAATTGGACATGCACATTTGATTTCTCCAGCTGGAATAGCGTCTTGGACTGTTTTGCTCATCCATCCAGTTAAAATTTTGAATGAATATTAAAATGGAATTCTAGAATTAATGATGGTAAATGTATTGTCTTTTGTAGAGATTTTTTAAGGTTGGGTTCACCATTAAGTTGGAATGAATATTAAAATGGAATCCTAGAATTAATGATGGTAAATGTATTGTCTTTTGTAGAGATTTTTTAAGGTTGGGTTCGCCATTAAGTTGTAGACCTGTAGAAGATTTCCAGGCAGGAGCAGCTCATGGAACATGGAATGATCCAGATCTTATTTCAACATCAGTTGGCATTGAAGAAAAAACATCAACTATGGAAATAGAGAAGAAATTGAAGTCTGCTGGAGGAACTGTTCCACTAACAAGAGTAAAGTGTCTTGTATCCATGACAACACCAAGGGATGCTAGAATGCACGGAGCAGCAGTGACGCCAGCATTTGTAGAGTTTGATATGAGTGCTGAAGGTTTTGCTTGTTTATATTTACCTAGTGTGGCACCTCAAGGTCCCCCTACTCCATCTGTTGTCGGGGGTGTTGTAGGAACATCAGATCCTGTTGTATATGGTGGTGTAGGAACAGGTAACACATATTTTCAAAATCTTAAACTATTTAATGACACTGTACGAAAATTCGAATTTGAATAAAAACATATCTTGAAAAAATATATAGAAATTTAAAGGAGAGGATAGGATGAGATATAATTACTATATGACAATATCCTGTGTCAATATTAGATACGAGTTCTATACACAATCTAATCTGGGTTGCATGTAGCTGATTCCAATTTCTTTAAAGGTAAAAAAAATGAAAACAAGTGTGTAAGATTGGGATATGCTAAATAAAATGCATGTTAAGTGAATATCATTAGATAAATTCTGTTTGGTAATGAAATTAGATTGATTGATCCTTTGTATATTATCACATAACATGATTTAATAATATTATATATTTATGTAATTAGGGGAGAGAGTATTTCCACCACCATCTGGTCTCACCTATTCGTCATGGTTCTGTGTAGATAAATTCAGTAATGCTGCTTTAGATGCTCACCCTGTTCGTCTATTGACAGTTGTTCGTAATATACAGGGTAGAGACGAGAATCTCATCTGTTTAAGTGTATATCTTACTTCTAAAGACAATGCTCTAATAGTCTCCACTCAGGAAACTTACATGCCTAGCTCAGGTAATTATTGTTTGTATTTATGAAAGCATCAAAATGATGTTGTGATCTTCCCGGGAATAGAAGAACTTCTAATATCCAATATTTAAGACAAAATAAACATTTTTACCATTGGTACACGAATCGTAAATCATTTTATATACATTCATATTACATTATTATATGCGTTGAACCCGTTTGTGTCAATTTTTAGGTCCCTAATATTTGCGATTTAGCTACTTTAAGCATTTTGGTTTATCTATTGCTATGTGTGTTTTAAATTTATCCATAATAATGTATAATTGCTATTAAGTAATCATAAATTCATCAATACAACATGGTTATCAAATTTTTAAAGTGTGCTCAGAATCTATGCAAATAATATTTTAGATATTTATAAAAAATTGTCAGTCATATTACACACATGTCATGTGAATGTATATTGTATTGTTGGAACCAGTGTCCGCTGACTCTCAAGTGTCTGTCCACATTTTATTGCGACTAATCTACAGGTTAGGGTTCTTGTCAGATTGCATTGATGTTCCATACATCTGCTGCAGAATTTTAGGGAGTCGTCTATGTTTCAGATATCCTTAATAAACTAATATGTTCAAGTGTATGCCCTGCAGTACATGTATGATAGACTGTAAGTTGATTTTTTTTTTTTTTTTGCAGTAAGTGGAACTGAACAAGAACAAGAACCTGTGTTAAATGATAATACAGTTCGTTTCTGGTATCCTGAATTAACCCAGGAGGGTCAGTGGCATCATCTAGTTATAGTCTTTCATAGAGCTGGTATTATGAAGAATAGTAATGTTAGCTTATTTGTTGACGGGGAACACATCAATACTCAAAAGGTAATCTTATTTCGTAACTCATTATCAATATGTATGAAAACTGATAATCTTTAAGTGGCATTTAGCGATAGGGAAACACATTAACAGAACACCTTTTTTATGGTATACAATCATTAGTTTAGTTCTAAAAACACGACATGCTTGATAACGATAAGAGGATATTTGTCGAAATGTTGTGCTTTTAGAATAAAACTAGTGATTGTATCCCATAAAAACTGTGTTCTGTTAAATGATATATCTTGAGTTCTATATACTGGTATCAAATATCAAAGATATGTGTCTTTGGGGATAATAAAGTCATCTATTCCACTTTAAAAATTCAATTAAACTGAAAATATAGCCCTTGTAATGAACAAGGGGAAAATAAATGGACCAAAAGAGTTTATTTTGCTGCTAAGTACTTACATATTATTCCAGAATTATCCCATTTCTGACAATGGCAGTGGTAAATATAGTCTTGAATAATCAGTAACATAATTACTATCCCAATTGTCCAAAAAATATGTTAGTAAGCATAATATTGATTTCTTTTTATTTTATAGTTGCATTATATGTCACCTAATCTTGGTGGTGGAGGAACAGCTAGCCCGACTGCCTTTACCTCAGTATTTTGTTATATTGGTACACCACCACAGTTACGCCGTCAATCACGGGTAACATGGCGGCAGGGACCATGCCATTTATTGGAGGATATTGTCTCTACTAATACCATACAGAACATATATAATCTAGGTCCTACATATATAGGAAGCTTCCAAGCTGCTCTCATGGGTTTGTATATTATTCTCCTTTTGGTGTTTATAAAATATCTGTATAGTATTTTTTAGAATGTTTAATATGCTAATCGTTAGAAGTTTTTGTCCGGGGTTATCCATCTGTAGTTTTAGTACCAATAGAATAGTAGTATAAAATATCTATAGCACACAAACAGAGAATTAATGGTTTAAACCCGCTGATCATCATGTGAGGGATTGAGTAATCCTTTGCAAATTATAATATTATACAAGTTGTATCTCTAAAAGCAATATCAATCAAACTGATCCAATTCCGCTCAGTATTTACAAAAATATGATGAATTGATATAAATCGGCCAGCGCCATCAAAAAGTGTTTTGTGCAATCTTTTGATGGGACTTTGTTTTTTTTATTGAATCCAAGCTGAGAGAATATATATTGTTTGCTGTTTAAAATTAATGGAGGGCCTGACAATGACAGCTGTCTAGTCGTTCGGATGGGATTAAATACCAATGTCCTGTGTACACATTGGCGTGCACGTAAAAGATCTCTTGGCAATTGGAATTTTATATATTAGTAGGCCACAGTGCCGCCGTCAGGACAAAATTTCCCCTCATAGCACACTGCATGTTGTATGCCCATCTTCACTAGTCCAGTCGGAGTAGGACATTAAACCCCATTTCATTTCATTTTCATTATAGTTAAATGGATTGTTCTTTTGAATCTTCTGTGATCATCTATTAAGTCAAAACATTTACACTGTATTTGTGGCTGTTGGTGGAAATTTTTGTATTATTTTGATTATCTTACAGAGAGCAATGAAGTCTCAAACCCATTTATTGCGGAAGAGAAAGTGATGTTTGGGGTACATGCTCACGCTCTGTCACAAATGACAGTTGCAAAAATCAGAAAAGTTTACAATAAAGTTGATAGCAAATCCATTGCCAAACAGGTATGATAGTTTGTCTCACAAAATTTTCTATTTTAACATTCCAAATTGACATCAAAGGTGTATATATCTCAGATTTTGTCCACTGTCTGATTTGAAATTTACTGCTATATAACTCTGTAATGAAATCAAAAAATTAAACTTTTGTTTACCAACTGTGTAAGATTTCCAAAATGCTTTCGCCTCTTTAATTGTAATTGATATTTCCCTTTATTTTTTTATACAGCTTGCCATGTCAGCACATGAAAATGCTACACCAATAAGATTATTACATAATTCAGCTGGTCATCTTGCTGGACCTGCTAGAAGTCTTGGTGCAATATTAATGGGGTATTTAGGTAAGATTATATTTACCTCCTTAGCATTATTATCACGCCTGAAAATATACATACATAGGGCTTTGTGAATTAAAATATTGAAACACTTCTTAATTTGTGTAAATTGTGTTTAACAAAAACGACTTTGGCCAGACAAAACATAAGTATTTCCTTTGGCAGCTAAAGTTGATTATCAGTCTGTGCCACACAAGCACAAGTACTAATGTTATTCCCAAAGAGATTGAGTAAAGGATCTCTATCACTTCATTGTTCCCATTTTGGCAAATTATTTTAATCTTATTTTAGGTGTACGTACGTTTTGTCCACGACCTGTTGCTAAAATGTTAGATAATGTTGGAGGTACAGCAGCTGTTTTAGGTTTAATAGCTATGGCTAAAGATGTAGAAGGTTTATATGCTGCTGTAAAAACATTAGTATGTGTTGTTAATAGTAGTCGATCTGCTAGATGGGATATGGATAGAATACGAGGCTATCAGGTAAAAAATTCATTGTTCTATTTCCAGAAGTGAAAATTGAACTAGAATGTTTTTGTCATTGTTGTAACTTCATTTTCACATTAGCATTAATTATAGAAAAAAAGATTTCATATTAACTTTGTTTTTGTCTTTGTAATTTTAAATGTGATGTAGTTGTTTAATGATTTAATTGGGTTTTATTTTTCAGATGCTTGCCATGTTATACAAGAAGAAACGTAATTTATTAAACAGTCATATTTTACATTTGACATTCTCGTTGGTCGGTACATTAGATAGTGGTAGAGAATCAGCTATGATACCTAATAGGGTAGCATTTGAAGATCTACTCTGTGATTTAGAGGTATAAACCTTTTTTGATCAGGCGCATATTAAATAAATGATAAAATTGTATAATAATATTTCTTTTTCTTCTCAAGAACTACAGAGTACAATGTATTAACTGAAAATGTTAGAACTACAATGTATTGACTGACAGTGCAAGAACTACATAGTACAATGTATTGACTGACAATGTACAATGTATTAACTGACAATGTAAGAACTACAGAGTAGTGTATTTACTGTCAATTTTAACTACAGAGTACAATGTATTAACTGCCAATTTTAACTACAGAGTACAATGTATTAACTGACAATTTTAACTACAGAGTTCAATGTATTAACTGACAATGTTAGAACTACAGAGTTCAATGTATTAACTGACAATGTTAGAACTACAGAGTTCAATGTATTAACTGACAATGTTAGAACTACAGAGTTCAATGTATTAACTGACAATGTTAGAACTACAGAGTTCAATGTATTAACTGACAATGTTAGAACTACAGAGTTCAATGTATTAACTGACAATGTTAGAACTACAGAGTTCAATGTATTGACTGACAATGTTAGAACTACAGAGTTCAATGTATGAACTGACAATGTTAGAACTACAGAGTACTGCAATGTATTAACTGACAATGTTTATAAATATGTTTATGTGTTTGTTTTAAGGTACAGAAAAGTAGATGTTAAACCCCATTTCATTTCTATTTAAGGTATGGCATGAAGCCCCTGGAGATCTGCAGAAGTCTTTATATGAACATTTCAATGAATTACTTACTGATTCAGCGTAAGTATTATTCCTTTTCACAGAATAACTCCACTATTCCAAGAATCATACTTTTGGCTAGTCTCCTAATATTAGATGATTTCAAACTGCTAGGCATATTATGAATATGAGTAAAGGGAGATAACTCTTTCCAAATTAATCATGTTTTTCAAGTAAAGAACATTTAAATTGTATTGAGTATATATTACAACATACCATTTCTTTCTATTTGATTTATATACATGTAGTATAATATTTTTATGTTTTCAGTGATGCTAAAGCTAACAGTATGATGATGAGAGATATAGGTCTTGTGTCAGGTTTACTTCATGTTTTAAAAGATGTTAATTTATCTGTTCACACAACACGTACTATATGTAATGTTATAGGTGAATTACTACTAAGTACACCAGATCATCAGTCCTTACTCCGGTAAGTAGTGATTAATATAAGACCTTTGCAAACTTCACTATTCATCACAGATAGAAATATTTCTTCAGTCATGTTAGAAGACCGTTCTTGAAGTTTAAGGTTGTCAGTAAAATTTGAATGAAAATGATACAGATAACGTTTAGTTAATATGTCTATCAGTCATCATTAAAAATGCTAATAACTAATTATTTGTATATTCAGGTTTGGGCAGTTTTTAGTATCAACTATTCCACCACTATCAACAAACGAAAAAGATGTGGACTTGCATCAAGACAAAACTCCAGACAATGCTGAAGGTAGAAACCTATAAGCTTCTTTTCAAATGGTGTTCGTAATAATTGCTCTGTTGTCTGTGTTCTTTTAAAACCAGGAACTGATTCTATACACTTGACACTTGGTAATCTTCTTCTTCATAGAGCAACACTCTTTAGATAAAACCTCAGGCTTTGCCAGTTCAAGTATGATTAACATAAAACTTATAATGCTTGTTCTTTGGACATTTGAACATCAATTGACAGAATTCTGTTTTTAGTATGGCTATGATGATGTCATGGTTGGTTCATGGTTTATATAGTAAACTTGTTTTATTCTCTAAATGAATGGTTGATGACTGTATATTTTATTGTTGAATTATTAAAGATATTTGTATTGTTTTATAGAAATGAGTATAATACAGAACGTGAAACTAAGAAACACTCTACTAGAAGTGACATTGAGACTGATATTATTACCAGGCTCTAATAATCTTAATCAACAGTAAGTCTTATATATTATGGATAATTTTAAACATATAATTTACCTTCATGTAATACGATGTTGAAATATTCGTTGAACATGGTTAGGGCTCAAACTGTAGTCAAGAACTATCTAAATTTCACATTTCTTTTCCACTCATGAGTTTGTGTAAATAAGAATAGCTTGTATATCAATAATTTTATGAGATAAAACAACTTAGCCCTTGAATAAATGTATGGTGATATGAAGGCAACGTCATTACAGGGTGTAGTAGGGTTGGGTTGGGTTAGCTGAAGGTTATGTTACTATTTCACCCGTACAGTCTTGCTTTTTAATCAACATACAATTAGATATTAAAATTAGAATTTGAATATTTCAAAACAGTTTGGCTTTAGTTAAGTGTTATATTCGGATCCTTGGATCCTGGGGTGTTACACAGTTACATGTGGGTGAAAAGGAAAAACAACCATTCTTCATGTTAGAATTCCAATCTCCTTCTTTATTACTCAAAAAGGCAGAAGAACTACCACATAAGGGAGACAACTTGTGTCAACTTAAACATAGGTTTCAGACCACAATGATATAGACTATACCACAATATGACATAAGCTAGAGCAAGTCATTAATTTGTAATAAAGATAGTTTCACTTTTTATGATAAACAGATCTATATTGATGTTTAAATTGTAGAATGTGTGAAGATATACAGAAAACTCTAGGATTTGATTGGTTGATGTTATTTATGCAAGAGAATTTACATCAGAGTACAGTGGTGTTAGCTTTACGAACTCTAATCACCATGTTCCGTAATGCTAATAATATACAAAGATTCCGTGAAGGGAGTTTTGGGGGAGGATGGTTAGGAGACACCGAAAATGTTTTCAAAAACCAAATGGCAGCCATGCTTGGTTAGTAGTATTATATTTCTGTCTTGATTAAAGTTTTAAAGGTACAACTACAAGTTGTACGATAAGAAAATCAAAAGTTTTGTTAATTACTAGATGTAGGCTGTCCATACAATGCCTAATTTTCTGGCAAAAGTCATTAATGGGTTTAACTATTGATAGTATTTCGGTAAGGAATTGATGATTAATAAGAGGAAACTGTAGAGAATGGCCTAGCATTTCATGTTTAATCTTTTACTGAAATAGACCAAGTTTTATAATGTTATCTTGATTTTAGGTTTTAACCTTGGAGCATCTGCTAAAGGCCATGATAGAGAGGCTAATACAGAAGTAAGCCATATACCTGGATTTCAAGTATTACAGTGGACTCTACCGAAACATAATGACATAGCTGCTGTATATTTTCTCTTAATGGCATTATTATTAGGACAGCACGGTAAAGATTTACCTACAGATGTTGAGGTAAGTGTTGAATGGCATCTTTTCAGAATTTAGTAATTGTCATCACCCCTTACTGTCCACCCAAAGATCTGTTTCTGCAATTTATTCAGTCGGCTGTGTTATGCATATGACTTCAGTGAGATTATACACAGATCAATGGAGGGTGTTGTCACACAATTCAGAATAGCTGTATTTTCATAGAATTTTTATGCTACGCAATGACGAGAAAATAAAAAATTCATAATACTTGTTAGATGTTACATAAAATTAAATGTCGTAAAATGAAAAAATATATGGAATATAAAATTATAAAACATTGTATGTTCTATTTTTCTATATTTTAGTTAAGTCTCGATGCTGTATGGACAGTTATATTTGGTGTACCAGCAAGTAAACCTGTATCTCTATTAGCTAAAGAAAGAGTAGAGTTATGTTCAGATGCTGCTATAGTTATTTTGTCTATGATCAGAAACGCAGTAAATGAGGTAACTTACTCTTGTTATTGTCCTTTGATGATGTATTTGCTATTTAACTGTTATGTTTGTCTGTATGTCAGTAATCTATTTTGTTAGTTTAAACTTATTTTATTGCATCGACAATACAATGTACAGTACGAAGGTTTTAGACAAAAGTTATAACCACTCATAAACATCTTGTACTGTTTTGAAATTTATCACTTATTACAGGTTAATGCAATAACTATCATCCCTCATATTGTCATCATTTCACTGTATTTTCTTCAGGACATTAATAATGAAAGATCGAAGGAGTATCCTGTCATACTATTACAATTTCTGCTATTTTTATATCATAACCAAGCTGAATTTCTTACATTATGTACAACATCTGATTTTATCATGGCATTAACAGCAACATTATTTCCTCATCCTGCACCAGATATAGACAGTGATATTACTACACCTATAGAGGAATTTAAGGTACAATATTAATTTTTACATATATTTTAAATATACTGAAATTTTGAATGACTGTGTAACAATGCATTTTTATACACCCACATTTTCATGTGGACATATTATGTTGTTGCCCCTGTCCATTCACATTTGTTTGTTGACACTCTAGAGGTCACAATTATTATTTGGTTTGATGAAACTTGAAATATAGGTTTGTATCCCAAAAATCCTGGTTCCTTTCGATATTGGCTTCATCGATTATTGCCCCTGATTATACAAAAAATTGTGTTTACTGAAACTTAAAATATATATTTATAACCCAAAGAGCTCTGTTCCTTTCGATATTGGCGCATATCAGACCCTCTAGAGATCACAATTTTCATTTGATTTTAAAAACTGTTCAAATATATATCGTATTACACCATGATTACAGTTCAGTTTGAATTTTGTGAAAATAGACCCGAAACTGCTTGACAAAATGGCCACTCTCCTTTACGCAAATGGTGTAAAAGTATGCAATACCATGGTTGTGGACTCTATCTTTATCTGATATGATTATATGGTTATGTATCGGTCTGTATCTTCATGGATTATGGCCCCTGATTGTACAAAAAATCTTTTTAGCTTCTTCTCTGTCCATCTATTGTAAAATGTGGGCATATTTTGCATGGCAACCGCTTGTTTAAGAAAGGATTTAAAATAAATGTCCAATGTTTATTTTATGAATATTCTGTATAAATATTGAAGCGTTTGATTGATTTAAAATTATTTATATTTATTTTTAGCCTTTTCCCGATTCTGATTCGATTGTTATTGTGAAGCCACCAGATACACGTGTCGACAGTATGTATTTATATAACATAAACTATAAAATAACAATAGTAGTTTTAATATCTTCCATGTACTTAATGTTTTTTTTATATTATTTGCCACTAAATGTTTAGAATGCATCACACTTCAGTATTTGCCATATTCTCAAATAACGATCTTTGTTTTATCTATAAATGTTGCCAACTAATTTATAAACTTGTGAGATTTAGTAATTTTATAGATGACAATAATGTAGTATGTTTTCAATCAATGCAAAAGCTGTAACCTGGATGTTTGACTTCATCAATTACTAACAGTATCAATACTTTAACATTGAGTTCTATCTATTATTTTAGGTATACTGCATGGTCATTCAGCTCGTAAATTCATCATAGATTTCCTGAGAACAATTGTAATTGACAGTTTCTCGACAAAATCTACAACAGTTATTGATTTAATGTTAGATGTAAGTAAAATATTAGTCCCGTGTTCCACACATGATTAGCTGAATAGGTTTATTTTACCATCCAATTTTGTACTCAAGGTTTATGTCTAATAAGTTATGTGTGCAATGTTGGAAAAGATCGTACTTCAATTGATTGACAATTCATGGAATAGCTCATATGTATTTGTCAGGGTTCCCGCAGTCCTTGAAAATCCTTGAATATCCTTGAATTTAAAATTTCATTTTCAAGGTCTTGAATATCCTTGAATTTCGCGGAAATAGGAAAATATCCTTGAATTTCAGTTGAGATCCTTAATTTTGTTTCAAATGTCTTCAATTCCTTTTAAATATGAGATTAGAACGATAGTTGGTAATGTTTTGGTAATTGTAACTTTAGGCTAAAAAATGTCCTTAAAAATCCTTGAATTTGACGTATATTTATCCTTGAATATCCTTGTAAAAATGTTTGACGAAGCCGCGGGAACCCTGATTTTTGCCATGCAGGGAAGAGTTATGCTTTGGCATTACATAAAGAAACTAATGTTACATGTTGTCTTGGTGTTAAATGTATGGATTCTACTGACAATGTTGATTATTGATACATATTCTATTTGAATGATTCCAGGGTTACCCAGAACATGCCAGTAGAGCACAACAGAAACAATTTCAGACAGAAATGTTAAAGATATTAATGGAACATCTATTAGCTGCAGATGTATTGTTAGGTGATCAAGCAGCATTACCTATTACTGGAAATAGCTACAGTAATATGGCTAATAATGTCTTCTACTTTGCTAGTAGAGTTGTTGATAAATTGTGGCAAGGTATGCAAACCATATTTAACACCTATTAATAATTTATTAATCATTTCTGCTTACTGTATACACAGTTCAGTTTCATTTATTTGAATACATAATTTATTTGCATACATGATTCAAACCTTAAAGAAACAACATGACAGAACAAAACACAGAATTTTAACGTGCCTTGAATGAATAAAACACTAATGTAAACTTCAAATGGGCATAACTTGCATTTGGATCGTATTGATATTCTGGATCATTGTTGTTTCCTCACCTGTTCTTTTAGAATTGTAATCTATCCATTTCTTTATTAATAGGTGTATTTACTAGAGAGGCAAAAGAAGTATTTGATTTTGTCAGTAAATTAATTTCACAGAGTAAAAGAAAATGTAAGTATTCTGAAAACAACAAAAATTTTAATAAATAATCACAAGAATGACGGGTGGGGGGTGGGGGACTTGTATCTGTCAATATTGGGATGTCATAAAAGTAACTATTTATGTAATATAAGCATTGCTGAGGTTGTAAAGATTTTAATCATATTTGTTTTTATTCACAGCATCTGGAGTGTCATTGGATCCTATATATAAGTGTTTAAACAGAACTATATTGTTTCAACTATCACGACCCATTGATAGTGTAGCTAGTCAGACAGGTGTACTTGATTCACTACATAAACTAACCAGTAACAGAAGTCTAGTCTTTGGACCAGGAAATTATGATCAGGAATTTCTAGGTTGTCTATGTTATTGTTTACTTCAACTAACAGAGGATCCTGAAAGCAGGTTAATATAATGACATTTTTATCGGAATCTCATTAATTAATTACTATCTGTCAGCTGTGATATTCACCCCGGGAATTCACATATTCAGGGCCCAGGATTATTGTGGGCTCAAGATAAAATATGTTAAGGAAGAGATAAAATGGGCAATGCGACCAGTTATCCCTGTTTAGCAGTGACTAGTTTCGTTCGTATTGAACTGTTCAATGTTGGGCAAAATAATATCAAAATTTTCCTTGTCACAAACTATGTGTTCAGGCCATATAATGTTGGACTGCAAATCTTTAAGGGATGTGAACTTATTATTAGATAAGTTATCCAATAATAATCTAACATAAATCTTTTTTAGTAGTATTACCACACAATTTTGATTTATAGTACTTAATACATAGGTCAAAACATTATGTTCAATTCTTATATATGGACATTTGATGCCAATGTCATATTAATTGCTATGTCTTTTCTTTAATTCTAATTTTAGTGGTGCCAATTTGAGTGAATCTAAAGCACGGACAACTACATGGCATGTTGATCCTGATATTGACGATCCTACCACAAATTGTTCTACAGTAAATACACATAATTCAGCTTTAACTGAAGGAATGAAACTAGTAGCTAACGCTGCTAAAAGAGTATGGGAAGAATTGTATGTATGTAAGAAACCTGTAAGTAATCCTGGCCATAATTTTATGTCATTCAACAAATTTGTGAAAATATTCAAGTTAATTATTATTTACGAGAATCCCATGTTGGTTCATGGGTATATAAAGATATTTTTAGAAACTGAATCAAACTAGCACAGTGGTGAGTGTGTCATGGTTAGATACTGAAGTTTCTTTGCCATTGATATCACAAGATGGTAGAATAGCATATTCATTCAATCATTGTCCTAATGATTAATGATATTCAACCAATTATTGAAAAATTTTTTTTTTTATTTATAGCAACAATTCCTTGACAGTTGGAATTCGATATAAGAGTAGGCCGTAGTGTCACTGTCTGGGCAAAGATTCCGCACACTATATGGCGTATGCCCGTCTTCATTAGCCCAGTTCGGAGCAGAATAGTCGGACGTTAAATCCCATTTCATTTCATTCCATTATATCAACAAGCGCTGTATTACAGTGTATTGATGGTGATCTCTGTCTATTTCTATTTGTATGGTTTTATCATTTCAGGCACTTGAAGATATTTTCCGCACTCAGCTCAATAATATCAACAGCTCCACTAAAACATTCTCCACACCTGACTTAAATACTGTTAGGTAAATTAAAATTATTTCAATAAATACAAATTAAAATCACTTCAATAAATACATGTTCAATTGAAAATGTAACATTAATTCTTAACATAAGCGATTGGGCTCAAGAAAGATTTAAAGATACATTATGTAAGATTTGGATAAAGAGCTGGCCATTCTTGCTATAATAGCTCAAAAATAGATAATGTAAAATGAAAATATTGAAAATTTCATTCAAATTACTTCATTCTGAGCCAAGTTAACACTGTTTGTAGTTTTGACAAGATGTGTGCATTGTGGTAACCAGGGCACTGGTATATTCAAGTCTTAGCCTCGCTTTCCCATTTTTAAATTAAATTTTTAAAATGCAAACCGTTCTAATCTAGTTAAAATCTCAAGTATCCAATGCCATCGAGAATTGATTATGATCTAGTTTTGTTAATAAATGCCTAATTAATAGTTTATATAATATTTCAGGCCTAAAGAAAGACAGATTTAACTCTTGCATAATGTATGTTCAATCATATAATTAATTTTATTATTTTTGTAGACTATTAATACAGGAAGCAGCATCTAAAATCTGGGTAACGTATGCTGAGAATGAAAGAAGATCACCATTTACTAATTCTGATAAATTACAGACACAAATACAATCGGTAAGTTGTTTAACAATAAACATTTATAACATAACTTGCATTTCAATTTAATATTTGTCAGAAAATATAATTAGTAACACATGCTTAATGTTTTATTGTTACAGAAACTACAGAAAGTAGGAAGTGGTGTATTAAGGTTAGCCAGCAGACGGTCAAAGAGGGAAATTCCCACTAAACAATCTCCAGCTACTACTGTTCATTATAATGTAAGATTTCCCTGAAAATAGTTAAACATAACTTCTATAAGATCACTGTTTAATTTTAATGCTCAAGAACAATATTACTTGGAAAAGGAAAAGAATTAGTGTTTTCTGAAAGACAATCTTCACATTGTTGTTTATTTTTTACGGTTTATTGAATATCAACCTCATCCTATTTCAGTTTTTCCATTCATGGACTGTAAGTCATGTGACATTAGTGAAGGATGTTGTCAACTTTCAACATAAACAGTACCAACAGGTGGGATATTATATTTAAACACTTCTCTAATAGATAAACATACATCTGGTATGTTATATGATAGAACCTGATAGGCACACATATTCCAGCAGACCTAATTATTTTCATCCATCAATATAATTGCTATTTAGGCGTTATACCAGTGTTCAGTTAATCACCATCATCTGTGTTGGTAATAATTAAAGATACATTATGGGAGATAAGATAAAGCGATGGCAGTTCCCGCTATAATAGTTAAAAACTAGATAGTGTAAAGGTAATTTGCTGAAAATTTCAGTCCAATTGATCCACTATGAGCCGAGAAAGAAGCGGGTGAAATTTTTGCATAGTCTCGGTCATCATTACTAAAATCATTAATATAAACAGCATAGTCTCGATTATCCACTTTTATTGATTTAATTATCAATAGCCGTTAGCGGCATATAGGAATCTAATCCAGCCAACATCGAAGGCTAGCCTTGACATCGAGAGTTTATTATGGTCTGAATAAGTTAATTAATGTCTAATTGATAATTTAGATAACATTTCAGGCCTAAAGAAAGACTTGTAATAAGCAGATTTTGCTCTTGCATAATGCATGTTTAAGGATGCAGTGCTGCAGAAGGCTAATAAATATTTTTCTTTATTAAAACATAACAGAAATAAGGGTTAAAAGGTGTTATTGTAATTTAAGTAGGAAACATACTGTCTTGGAAATGATGTTAGTAATTAGTTATCGTTCAAGGGGGGTTGGGTGGCTGAATGGTTAGCACGTGCGTGCTGTACCATAAAGTCTGTCATTGAGTCAACTGGCGTGGTTTCGAATCCCCGGTTGTACGTGGCAAGGAGTAGGGTCGCCTGTCCAACCTCGTGGGTTTTCTCCGGGTCCTCCTGTTTCCTCCCACTGTTAAAGACCCCTACGCGCAAGCGAATTATTGAAATAAAATTAAACCATGTGTTAGTCCCGAAATGACTTGGTTTGTGTCGAGTGGACGTTAAACCCCATTTCTCTCTCTCTCTCAGTTTAAACCATGTGTTAGTCCCGAAATGACTTGGTTTGTGTCGAGTGGACGTTAAACCCCATTTCTCTCTCTCTCTTAGTTATCGTTAGATGTCCACATACAATCACTGAGTAACACTAATTAAGATGACAGTGGTCAATCAGTAGCAAGTAATGTGGACATTAAATGGCCATAATTCAAAGTAGGATTGATTGGTTTTGATGATATTGGACCTGTATGTTTTTTGATGAGACCACTTTTTATTGTGTATGGGTTGATAGTCTGAACTTGCCATTGGTCCAGTATAATGGGCCTTTAAACTTAGTTCTGCATCATAATATCTCGGAGGATTTTCCCATATTAATAAATTTCAGATCAGAGAATTTACACTTTTCTGTGAATATTTCAGAGTCAGATACATTTAGAGAAATATTTGGTAGAAGAATGGTCGACAATGGAACACGAGTTATTAAGAGTAAGAGGTTTATGGGGACCACAGCATGGTTGTCGATTAGACAAGTATTTATTAGATATGACAGAAGGTCCAAGTAGAATGAGGAAGAAGATGATATTAAATGATATGTTTTATGTTCACTACCCGTATAGACCAGATTTAGAGGACAGTGTAAGTTATCTAAAATAATATTAATATACATGACATTTGATACAAGAATGAATAGATAAAAACAGAAATAAAAAAAGGCAAACAATTATTTTGTCCAATTATAACATGGAGTACTTGATTAAACTTTTTAGAATTTAATTGTCATGATCCTGTGAACTGTGACTGTCGTGACAATCAAAAATAAAGAACTCATGATGTTTTATGATGTCACATTTCTCCTCACATCTCATTTATTATGAGGGCTGACAGTACTTGATTGCATATGACTTAATGGCAATTGATAGTATGATAGTCTGTTATTGTCAGATAATTAGAATGTATTGATATAAATAATTCAACAGATGATGAGTGTGGTGTGCTGTCTGTTTATCTTTTTTTTTCGGGGTTGGGGGTGTGTGTGGATGGCCAAATGCTAAGCGCGCTGTATCATAAGGTCTGTCATTGTGTCAACTGGCGTGGTTTCGATTCCCCAGTTGTACGTGACAAGGAGTAGGGTCGCCTGTCAAGCCTCATGGGTTTTCTCCAGATCCTCCGGCTTCCTCCCACTGCTAAAGAACCCTACGACCTACGTGCAAGCAAATTATTGAAATAAAACTAAACAATATGTAAGTCCCGAAATGACCTAGTTTGTGTCGAGTGGACGTTAAACCCCATTTCTTTCTCTCTCTTGTTTATCTTTTGATATGTTATATATTACAGCCACTACGTTATAAAGTAGCTATAAGTTTTGATAGTAAAGAATATTGTGATCAGTATAGACCATGTGGTATATTAACTGTACAGAAACTACCTATAATACGAGATGATAACGTTGATTTATTAACAGCTGATCCAGAAAATGGAATGGGATCACCTGAAGGTATTTATTTCATTTAGTTCCATTATGATAATCGTGATTAATCTACTATTACTAGAATTCATTCCTGCCCTAGGCAAATTCTCTCCAGAATTGCACAAGTAAGCATAGAAAGCTGTATGTTACGATATCAAATGAAGTCGCATTTTTCTTTTGTATGTATTATAGAATGTTATTTGTCTATGTTTCAGTTGATATTATGAAAATGCCGAAGTTTATATCTAAATCTGGTGTTGATGATGAGGATCAAGATGATAATACCAATACAGAAGAAGATAAAACAGATGGACAGACAGAAAATCAACACGAAGATCAGGCGACTAAAAGCAGGGGAGATAATCAAGCAATACTAAGATTATTGGGAGAAGGAGAAAAGGTAGGATATATATATGAGCTATTATAATATTAAAACAATGTGCTTTATTAAAGATACATTATGGGAGATTCGATAATGAGTTGGCAGTTCACACTATAATAATTAAAAACTAGATAATGTAAAGGCAATTTGCTGAATATTTCAGTCAAATTGATCCACTATGAATCGAGAACTAACCGATTGAAATGTCGGGCTAGCCTTGATCATCATTTCTAAAGTCAGTACGATAAACAGCATAGTCTCGATTATTCATTTAATCGTTAAATCGTGAAGGAAAGTTATGCAGTAAATCAGCTCATAATCCACTAAAGATCGCAGGCTAGCGATGCCATCTAGTGTTGATTATGGTCTGGATAGGTTAATTAATGTCTAATTAATAATTTAGATAACATTTCAGGCCTAAAGAAAGACCTGCAATTTTCAGATTTAGCTCTTGCATAATGTATGTTTAAGATATTAGTTTAGCTTGCAAGATGATATTGTGATGTAAGAAGTTATCATCTCTCTATGTTACAGATCAGTCACATGTTCAGATGTGCTAGAATTCAAGGTTTAGATACAGCAGAAGGTCTCTTACTTTTTGGTAAAGATCATTTTTATGTAGTTGATGGATTTACACTTCTAAAAACTAGAGAGATACGAGACATTGACAGTTTACCTGAAGGGTAAGTAAGCAATCTTTAATACAAATTATACTAGGAACAGTCTACTGTAAAATATTTACCATGGAAATCTTTAAATCTAATAATGTTCAACAGAATTAATGTAAAAAATTAATTATTGATATATTATAGTTACCATGATCCCATTATACCTAAATCATCCATGAGTACTGGTGGAGCCTTGAAGAGAATGTAAGTAAATTAAAGAATTTATTTTTTCTTTAATATTTGAAATGTAACATTGTGTAATTAATTGACTATTCATTGTTCAGATTGGATACAGAGTGTTGTAGAATTTTTTTAAAATGTATGTAATTATCTGTAACATATTTTATTGAAATATATAGAAATAATTACCCTTGTGTAATGTATTGACTGACTTGTGGCTGCTAGACATCTGTATTCATTGTTAAGATTGTACACAGAAGGTGGTGGAATTTCTTTAAAATACATGTAATTCTATCAAATTATATCATAAGACTGACCCCAAAAAACCCAAAACAACAGAAAATATAGAGTATCTAATTTTGTACAATTACACTACAGTTTTATATAATGTTTATTTAATCTGTAGGTTTAGTAAGTTTGAATATGATGAAGTAGGTGAAGTACATAAAAGAAGATATTTATTACAACCTATTGCTATAGAAGTTTTCTCTACTGATGGTAGAAATTATCTCTTAGCATTCCCTAGAAAAACAAGAAACAAGGTTTACAGCAAGTAAGTATACTCAAATTGTTCTATCGGTTTTACATGGAGGACAATTCAGATCATCTAAGTGAAGCGATATTGAACATTATTTTTAGATAAAATTTTTGATTATAAATTGAATATTAAAGAGACATTATGTAAGATTTCGATAAAGAGCTGACAGTCCTCGTTATAGTAGTTTAAAAATAGATAACACAAAAAGGGGTGTATTAAAATTTCAGTCAAACTTCATTCTGAGCGATGTTATGATTATTTGAAGAATAGCATAGTCTCGATTATAATTGCTACCGTTGTTACGATAATAAACAGAGTTTTAATTATATATTTTTAAATTAAATTATTAAATGGTAATCCTGTTTCAGTTTCTTCGAAGTCACTGATGGTCTATAGAGTTGATTAGGTGCTTGGCATGTGAATAAATGTCTAATTAATCAATTATATAACATTTGAGGCCAAAGGAAAGATCTGCAATAGGCAGATTTAGCTATAATGTATCTTTAAGTGTATTATTTGTATATTATTTTAGGTTTATGTCTGTTGGTACAGCTATAACTGATAATGCACAACAATCAGTATCTGGTCAGAAACAAAATGTCAAGGTAGAATCTGGGTACGTACATTATTTTATACAGTATTGGAATTTGATCAAACTTATGTAGTGATATATACTGTGTATTAAATAAGAAATTGAATTTATTTCTTTTAAATGGAGGAATTTAATTATGATAATGTTTCAACAATTAAATATCATCAGATGTGAATTTTATATCTTTTGTAGTGGAGGAATAATCAGTAGTTTGATTGGTGAGAAATCTGTTACACAGAGATGGGAGGTATGATATTACATTTAACTCATTGATCGTCATTTGTATTTTTCAGACAATATCTAATTTTTGATGTCTTGAATTTATACATGTAAAGGAATTGATATATTTATTTTTAATTATATTTTCTGTGATATTTGTTTTTATTTACATATATGAATACATTCCTCTGATATTGTTTTAATTTGTCTCGTTAAATTCACCATATGTTTGGCGCAATATAGCCTGGTTGGAGCTGACGTGCCATTAAACAACATTTCATTTCATTTCATTTTTGATGTCTTGATCTATTACTAAACTGTACTCAAATTGATTTTTCAACATTTATGAAGAAAACAAATCATAATATTAACTGTAGATATTCTCCTGGCTTGGATTCAGTCAGATTAAAGGAGTTCTCTCAAAAGATTTTAGCAAAGATTAAAGAGGCTGCATGCTTGTTTTGATCATACCCCATTTGGGATGCTGAATTTTGACAAATTTTTAATTTATAATATCTTTGTACATTGAACCATTTTTGGACTGATATTCCTTTCAGAAATTCAACTTTCACAATTCTGTAATTAGCTAGGATTCAGAATCCCTCAAATGATGATAGTGGTTTGTTTTAAGGTTTAAGCTATCTATATGGTAAAGTGTTGTAGCACCACTGAGTATGATATTGATGGCTGAGTTCAGGAGCTCTATAAATTTAATATTACACAAATTACTTAATTTATTAAAATATTTTAACTGAACATGGATGAAATGACAATAATTATATATTATAGAGAGGAGAAATAAACAACTTCCAGTATTTAATGCATCTAAATACTCTTGCTGGTAGATGTTATAATGATTTGATGCAATATCCTGTCTTTCCTTGGATTCTAGCAGATTATGACGCACAGGTAACATTTCTTTTTCATTTATACTCTCTAGAATCAGCAATTGGATAGTTAGGTATGTCATCACCAAAACAAAGGTTTTGACATTTCATTTTTACAGTTCCTTATCTCACAGAAAAAACCCCAATGTTTTGATGAAATAAAATGGCATTTAACGTCCTACTTTTCTTCACAGGCTGCATGAGCTAATGAAAACTGGAGAAAATTTTGAACAAGTTTTGTGAGAGATTTATCACAGATAATAGAAATCTGTATTTTTTGTTTTCTAGGAATTGGATCTTAGTAATCCCGCTACATTTCGTGATTTATCTAAACCAATGGGTGCTCAGACCCCAGATAGATTAAAACAGTTTGAGAAACGATACAATGAATGGGATGACCCACAAGGTAAATATTTTATAAGTTATACCCTAGTACAGCATATGTGTAGTTCGATTTTATTTCTTATAATTCCATCTTAAAGGTACAAAGAGTCAGATTGTTCATATAATATCCTAAAAGTGAAAAATATGTACTGTTTAAATATAAAGACTGTTATTATGTAATTAAGTATATCCAAGTATAAAGTATACAAAATAGGCTGGCCTGTAAGTATAAATTATACAGAATAGGCTGGCCTGTAAGTATAAAGTATACAGAATAGACTGGCCTGTATGAATAAAGTATACACGATAGGCTGGCCAGCATGAATAAAGATTAAAAGACATAGATAGCTGTGTGAAATCTATAAAAAACAATGTAAACTGGAAATGGCTATAGCTCAAGTTAGAATTGATCACTTTAAATAATGTTTGGCAAGAATTTTGAATAAAAAGAGAGAGAAATGAAGTTTAACGTCCACTTGACCCAAACTAAGTCATTTCGGAACTAACGTAACGTACACTTGTGTGTAGGGGTCTTTAGCAGTGGGTGGAAACTGGAGGACCCGGAGAAAACCCATGAGGTTGGTAATTTTTAATAAAAGTAGTTTTGCTTGTGTATTTTCGATATGGTCTTAAATTCACTATGTAAGATTTATTCTGGCATGTTGATGCTGTAAAGTACTGGATTTCATATTATGAGTATTTATTGCTGGAATTACTTTTATTTTATTAGGTGAAACTCCACCATATCATTATGGAACACATTACTCATCCGCTATGATAGTTGCTTCTTATCTTGTTAGAATGGAACCATTTACGCAACACTTCTTAAAACTACAGGTAAGGCCACAGTAGGTGCTTAATGATTTTCTTAGGTTGGTAAATGTCCAGCTTACAATTGTGCCAAAAATCACATTTCAGCTGGATTATCTCTCGCCAGTACTTTTAATGAAATCAGTGGTGTCTTTTCAGCATGTCCTAATATATATATACATACAAGTCTAATTATAACATACATAAATATCTCATTTTGAGGGTTTTGGGATCAAACAATAAGCTGAAAAACGAACAAGTAGTTCAGGCACATAAATTTGATCAAAATATTCAGATCAGAAAAATGCATTATTCTACATAAAATGTTGTTGATGTGACCTGTAAATTATTTCTTGAATTATTCTGTAATGTTTATTTCAGGGAGGCCATTTTGATTTAGCTGATCGTATGTTTCATAGTATACGTGAAAACTGGTTATCAGCATCGAAACACAATATGGCAGATGTAAAGGAATTGATTCCTGAATTCTTTTATCTACCAGACTTTCTTCTAAATTCTAATAGCTTTGATTTAGGTAGGGAGTCATACTAGTAGCATTCAGTGTGGTACATATGTGTCTCTAATATATTTATTTGTTTGTTTTGTGTAAAAAAAACTCTTCAGAACATGTTTCTCAGCAGTTATCTAGAGGTCTGTGATATTTTTGAAAAAAATGTATATAAATGCTCAATTGTATTTGTATAGCCCACAAGTTTCCAAACTGTCATTCATTATGTGCAAACAGTAGGTGATATCGTGAAGAAAATTTGACAGTCATTTCAGAACATTTTGAATTTAAAGTAAATTGGGTACTAGCTATTTTAATCCACTCTCATGGGTATCCTGTTAAATGTGGGTCTGCTCCTTTGAATAGATTCACTATTTATATTTGTATATTTGTATACTTGTATAATATAAACTATTTATATTTGCAAACTTTTATATGTATAATATTAATATAAACTAATTTTACTAACAACAGGTTGTAAACAAAGTGGTGTTCCATTAGGAGATGTTATTCTTCCACCTTGGGCCAAAACTGATCCTAAAGAGTTCATCAGAGTTCACAGAGAGGTATGGTAGTGTTTGAATTATTGGTAGACAGACAAGTTATATTTTATCAAAATATTTAGAAGAATTCATTAAAAATAATTCTGTCATTTTCAATAAGTTCAGAGGGTTATTCTACTTAAATTTATTGACACTTTATAAAATGATCTGGTGGAAGAGGTGATCTAGAACAATTGGGTTCTATTGACACAATTTTTAGAAACTATTGGTAGAGGGGTTAAAAAATATACATATTTTCTTGAGAGGGTCGTTTATAAAACGCAGCATTCCTACTCTGCCAGGTAATAAAATGAAAAAACCCGGATGTGATTTGTGTTGTTCTATGGCTATATTTATAAATTTATTTGTCATCTGATTTTATTTTTCTAGGCGTTAGAATGTGATTATGTGAGTGCACATCTACATGAATGGATAGATCTAATATTTGGTTATAAACAGAGTGGTACACCAGCAGTAGAAGCTGTTAATGTATTTCATCATCTATTTTATGAAGGAAATGTAGATATTTATTCTATTGATGATCCTCTCAAGAAGAGTGCTACAATAGGTTTTATTAACAACTTTGGTCAAATCGCAAAACAGGTGTGTAACTTATTTGGAGTTATTTCAATTTTTCATTTTTATAGTTTGAATCAAGAGCAAAAAAAGGGAAATGATTTGCATTTAAGTTGATGAATGTCACCACAATATTTTGAAAATGGAATTTTAGTAGCATGTTTTGTCTTACATATATAAAAAAAAAATTATGCCCCCTATTAATGTTTATTATTTCAAAATTTCAGCTTTTTAGGAAACCTCATCCCCAGAAGAAATTAAATCTTCGTTTAATAGATCCAGTTAGTGGATCATCTACTACAGATCGTTTATTCTTCCATAATGTTGATAACCTCAAACCTTCCATGCAACCTGTCAAAGGTATGTTCACTTCTAGATTAAAATGTTCTATTGAGTGTCATACTTGATAATTGGTTCCTTTTCACCTTTCGATCCCAGGAGTTTTAATCAATCACCAATATTCGGAAGTGATTAGACCTACTCAAATTGCAAGACAACAAAAAGAACAAGTTATATTGGTCTTATTATTCATAGAAGCTCTAAGTAAAGAGATTTTTTATGTTCTCTTATTTATTATTCTATTTGATCAGGCCCCGAGTTCACAAGGCATACTCAGACTTAAGTTAAGAATTTGCTCAAAATTTTTAGCCTTATTTTAACTAAAATATAGCAGCTTATTATTTTTTTGTATCAAATACATCAATAAGAAACTTTGTACAAATTTTTGTGTTTCTGGATCAAAGATATCTCTCATAACCAGAGATTGAAAGTTGAGCAAATTCTTAACTTACCGGTAAGTCTGAGAATGCTTTGTGAACTTGGGCCCAGTACTTTTGATTTCTGTTTCAAATTTAGTATAAATTGCTTCTGTGAAATAGATCGTTTTAACGAACTGAAGTATTGTTGGTTTATTTACAGAGTTAAAGAGTGCTGTAGGGCAGATTATTCACAATGACAATAAAACTGTATTAGCTGTAGAACAGAATAAAGTTCTGATTGCACCCAATTATGGCAGATATCTAGCTTGGGGATTCTCCGATCTTAGTGTAAGGATAGGTAACTACGAATCCGAGAAAGCGTCTGCTATATTTGAATGTCTAGATAATGGTGTCATACTATGTGCAGCTTGTCCTAATACCAAATTATTTATAACTGGTGGAACTAGTTGTGTAAGTATAGATTTCTTCTTAGATTTCTGCGCAAGATCATTTCAGTTTCTTTTCCCCTTAAACTATTTAAAGTTAAGACTGTTATGATTGAAAATTCTTTTTCTCATTATCCCTTTCATCTTTTTTACATTATCCATTTCTCTCATCTTTTCCCCTCATAATTCCCTTCTCTCATCTTTTTCTCATTAGCCATTCTCATATCCCTTTCTCATCCATTTCTCATTATCTTTTTCTCATTAATGTTATATTCGGATCCTTGGATCCAGGGGTGTTATACAGTTACATGTGGGTGAAAAGGAAAAACAACCATTCTCTATGTTAAAATTCTGACCTCTTTCTTTATTACTCAAAAAGGCAGAAGAACTACCACATAAGGGAGACAGCTGGTGTCAACTTAAATATAAGGATTCAGATTACAATGATATAGACTATACCACAGTATGACATTATTTCTTTCCTCATTGCCACTTTCTCATATAACATTTTATCAATATTTTATTTGCAGGTTGTAAATGTATGGGAACATATACTAAAAGAAAGGAAGGTAATATTAAAACAACCATTATATGGCCATACAGAACCTGTAACATGTTTAGCTGCCTCCCAGGCGTATCATATAATAGTGAGTGGATCACGAGATAGAACTTGTATTGTATGGGACATGAGTCGTCTAGTGTTTGTCTGTCAACTACGACGTCATATAGCACCTGTGGCAGCTGTCTGTATCAACGAAAAAACTGTAAGTTTCATATGCAATTATACCATTATTAGGTAATGCAACCTTATGTAAAGTCCTTGAAGTCATTTGATTGATTGAGAAATTCTTTGCACTTTACAACATTGTAAAAAAATGAGTCTCTAGTCTCTAAAAGAAATATCAGTCCAAATTGGTTCAGGTCTGTCCAATATTTACAAAAATATGATGAATTGAAAATGTTGACATCCACTGTAGTAAATAATGCACACATTAAATGACATAAAAGACTGCTATGTTTTATTCAGATATGTCTGTCATGACAAGATACTCTAAAACATTGGGGGCTAAGTGGGTAAGACGCTGGCTTGCTAGCTTGGAGGTCGCATGTTCGACCCTGAGAAAGTTCATTGGGATTTTCCGGCGTGGTTTCCCCTTGTCAGTGGTGCAGGACGGAGGGCCTGACAAGGACAGCTGTCTAGTCATTCAGATGGGACGAAAAACTGAGGTTCCGTGTATACTTTGGTGTGCACGTAAAAGATCCCTAAACAATCAGAATTCTATATAAGAGTAGCCCATAGTGCCACTGCCCAGGCAACATTTCCCTCATAGCACACTCTATGGCGTATGCATGTCTTCATTACCTCAATCGGAGCAAAACAGTAAGACATTAAACCCCATTACATTACATTTCATTTCATTTCATTTCTAAAACATTGTCAAATGTGAATAGGGAAGAGTTATTTTCTCTTATTTATATCTGTATATTTGTTTTTAAGTGTATAAGAATAGTTTAATATTATATTTTAGGGTGATATAGCTACATGCGCTGGTACATATTTACATCTATGGACTGTAAATGGTGAAGAAATAGCATGTGTTAATACATCTACTGGTAGAAACCAACAAATACTCTGTGTTTGTATGTCACAGGTAATCTCACTAGTCATACAAATTGAAGATCTTGTTAATTTTTTCATTCATATTCATTGTGCTTAAAGATACACAAGGCTAAATACATAGCCATTGATTAGAAAAATTATACTTGCTGCCAAAATATTATATCTTGAGAGATGTTTTAAGTCAAGCACATTTTAGATAATTCAAATTAATATTAATGCAGGTTCATATCCTGTGACAGTGACCCATAGGGAACCTAGTGGCACATATAGAAATTGGTTCTAAGACGCTGTAGTATGACAATAGTTACTCTGCAAAATGCATCTATAGCTTGCAAGTTGATAGTTAGCTTTAATAGTTTATTATGGGCATACTTTTAGATAGAAATAATAAGTTTTGTGAGTTACACAGATGTTAATATTTACATGTGTTATAAAATGTTTTATTGTTATCTAGTTAAAAGAATGGGACAGTCAGAATGTTATAATGACAGGAAGTAGTGATGGTGTGGTTAGAGTAAGTATAAAGAAAAACACCTAAAAATATCATTATTTCTATTTTATTCTATCTGATTAAAATACAGATCTATATTTCGTTTCATTACATTTTTATACTTTCGATGGTCTCTACTGCATGAAGATCTGACCAGTTGTAGTGGGAGGTCGCGTCAGGGGGTCATACGAGCAGCTTTTGACCCTAACGAATTGATTAACGAATCAACATTGATGTTTGTAGTAGGGTACCCACAGTTTGTGCATTTGCACGCCTAGAACTCGCTGCAACAGACTGTTTCATTGGCTAAACCCTCACATCAGCCAAAATGTTGGCTATTTAACAACTCTTCCAGATCCTAATGTAGTAAAGACAAGTGAAACAAAATTTTGAACTATAAAAAACAAAATGAAATAGGATCTGTGTTTTAATCAGATTGTATTTTATTCTAATATTTGATTCGGTTCAAAGAAACTTTTATTTTTTTTGGAAACATTTTCAGATTTGTTCAAAGTATGAATCTCGATTTAATTGAACTAATATTATCAAATAGGGTATTCACATTCAATAACAAATGCCAAATAATGATTTGAAATCATTATTTGTATATTTGTATAAGCACTAATAAACCATGTTATTACAATGTATTGTGTATTTCTAGATGTGGAGTATAGAGTTTGTACAGGTACCAGATGAAAGTAAGATTAAGCCTAAAGATGAAGTAGATGATAAAGAGAAACAAGAAAATAAATTAAATAGAGCTTTAAGTATGAGTCCCCCAGTTGCTATACCTAAGATATCACGTCGAGAATCATGTGACAGTTACAGTGAACTTAGATCAGCAACTGATATGTTGAGAGATTTTAAGGACCCAGATTTTCTGGTTGCTAAAGGTTGTGAATTAGGGTCGTCTGCTGAGAGTGAAAGTCATATAGGTCAGAAGCTGAAGTGTAGTAAAGAGACAGGATGTAGCCGTGAGGGTATAGGTCACGATTTCTCTAGTTTGGAGAGATTGGAATCGAACATGAGTACTGCTAGTAGTACCAGTGATTTGTATAAAACTGATGACGCCAGTACAAATGGGGATCTCGATGATTATCTGTTAAATGGATATAAGTCAGAACAAGGTTCGAATTCTCTGGCTGCTCTCGGTGAAGATGCCATGGATAAAAGTTTTGGATCCCAGCCCAGCCAATCAGAACCGTGTCTGGCTGCAGTGGCATCTGGCACAGATGGTGTACAGGAAGTTCGTAGCAAGAGTCATCCAGATTTGAAAACATCAGGAGATTCTGAAACAGACTCAATTAAATCCAGTAGTTCAGGATATGTTGTGATAGAAGAATCAGAGATAAAAGCCGCCAGTAGTAGACTTAATGATCAATATAAAGGCAAACATAAAACCAAGAATTCACTTAGAGAAGGTACATTTAATTACTCTATATTTTTATACACACCCACATGAAAAATATGGTATAATATATTGCCTTTGGCCAGTTCTGTCTGGTGGCCTTTCCTTCCATTGTCTGCAATTTCTTATGAACATTCTGCAGACTACATTGATCATTTTAAAAATGATGTATTTTGTTTACGTATTGAAGAATCCCATATTGCCCATGATCACTTTGTAGAATCTTTTGAAAGATCTAATGACAAAAAGGTATCACCAGTCTGAAATTAATAGGCATTATTTAAATTATTGAAATGAAAATTCAGTACTTCTAGGGTTATGGCCCTTGTTTTAGTATGTAGAATGTTTAAGACCACTTTATATCAGTCCCACAACTTAATAGCAGGATTTCACTGTATTATATATTACAGGGTTCAAGTGGCAGAGACAGTTAGTATTCCGTAGTAAACTGACAATGCATACAGCATTTGAAAGAAAAGATAATAAAGAACCAGCAGCAGTTACTGCATTAGCTGTATCAAGGTTAGTTTCTATACTGATGAAAATCAATAAAGATACTTTAAATTATATTTACTTAGTTTTTGTCTGCTACTATTATACAGATATTTCATAAATTCATGAATGAAGCCTGGGTATATTTAATTATGTTTGGCTAGCTACCTTTTTTTTTTAATGTTATAGAGATCATAAAACAGTATTTGTTGGTGATGCTAAAGGTAGAATATTTAATTGGACAGTAACTGATCAACCAGGTCGAGTTGTAGCAGATCATTGGATGAAAGATGATGGAGTTGACAGCTGTCTATCATGTGGTGTCAAGTTCTCATTCTCTGAACGTAGACATCATTGTCGTAATTGTGGTCAAGTGTTTTGCTCAAGGTAGGTTATACAATTTATTAACTCTTTTAGCGCTCAGGGTTGTTTATAGCTGTTTGTTTATGATATGTAGTTTTCTGGAATGAATACTGAATACAAACTGGGGGTGGGGTGGGGTGGATGGCAGTATGGTTAGCATGCGCGCGTTGTATCATAAAGCCTGTCATTGACTCAACTGGCGTGGTTTCGATCCCCGGTTGTACGTGACAAGGAGTAGGGTCGCCTGTCCAACCTCGTGTGTTTTCTCTGAGTCCTACGGTTTCCTCCCACTGCTAAAGACCCCTACGCAAATTATTGAAATAAAATTAAAACTGTATGTTAGTCCCGAAATGACCTAATTTGTGTCGTGTGGACGTTAAACCCCATTTCTCTCTCTCTCTCTGAATACAAACTCCTGGTGAAAGGCTATAGGCAGCTGTGTAGGACAATTTTATGTCATTAAAACATGATGTTGTACTGGGCCCTTATTCACGAAAAACTTAAACTAAGATACAATCGAAATTTTAAGAAATACTGCAATTCGATTGGCTGACTTTACTGGTCAGCCAATCGAATTGCAGTATTTCTTAAAATTTTGATTGTATCTTAGTTTAAGTTTTCGTGAATAAGGGCCCTGTCCTTTAAAGCTGTAGGCTTTTAAAGTTGTAGGTGCAGGTTGATTATATTGGATATTAAGTGATATATAATTATTGTTTTGTAGGTGTAGTAGGTATGAGACAGAAATTAGAAGATTACGTATTGTAAAACCTGTTCGAGTTTGTCAAGCTTGTTTTAATATTGTACGAGCTCAACAAGCGGCGGATGCTTTGACTAATAAAACCTGAACTGTATATGTAGAGTATATTGGTATATAATGTGATAACTGTATTACTAGTCATTCTTAGATAGAATATATTTATAATATAACTATAAATATCAACCAAATACATCATACCCCATTGTTTATAGGGACATTTTGCCATCATATAACAGTTTTCGTTAAGTTATAAGTGTTATAGCATGCTTGAAAGAAAAAAAATCTACTCCCGTTAGAGAAAATTCGGAAGGATTTCCTGTTGTGCCTTTAGTTGTAGCTAGGACCCCTTTGTACAAAGCAATGCTACATTCAGTAGAATTGAATACACAACAGTAAAAATATAAGCAATTTACTCACACGCTAGTCATGCATTTGCTTTGTATATTGTGTTCCTTCTATATGCTGCTGCTAGTATGATATATGGCAGATAGTGGCATAAGAAAAATTATTTGGCAATATGTCTCTTTAAGCAGAAATTGATGTTAGCATAAATTATTATTGTGTAATTTATAGATTGTATAGTTATCTTCATTTTAAACGCTAAAGATACAGAGTAAATAATAAACATTTATAATAATAATAATATCTGGGCAGAAGAGATACCGCCTTAATAATTGAATCAACATCTATAACCTTAATTTGGTTAGTTATTGGAATGTAACAACCATTCTAAAATGTTGAGAGAAATTTGTTATAACAGTAGAATTAGACATCTGCTTCAGGGTCAGTTGTTTAAGAAAGTTTCCATCTATTTTTTATGGCTGACTAATTGCTTATGTAGGTCTAAATACTATTGACATTGATATGTTCAGTATGAAATATGAAGAATACCAGTAGTTATTAATATCAGTTCTTGAATCTCAGTCAAGAGAGATAAAGTAATCCCATTCTATTTGAAATCCATTATTTGTATTAAGTATAAATGTTTGTATATGGTTTTTATCCTATGTATATATTAGTATAATAAACGGCATATATAATAATAGTATGTATTGTGTATATTGCACTGTGTATATATAATATATATGATAGTATTTATATGTAAAATAGCTCCTTCAATGTTTTGATTGCCAAATAAGTTTTTCAGGTAGAAGTAATGAAATAGGGATTAGATTAGTGTAACGGTAGTTTTAGTTAGTGGGAAAAAATAAATAAATAATGACATAATATCTTCACATATTATTAGTATGAAAGGTATATATATAATATATTAAATGTGTGCTTGTTTTTGTTAGTTTATATACAGATGTAATTGTGTTTTTTTAGTTGCTTGCTTTTATAATGAACTAAATAAATTATGATACGTATCCAATAATAATATATAAATAGTCACACGATATACAATTAAATTGTTAATTTATATTCCAAGAATCAAATTAATTAATATTATTTTATTATTATTATGTAAGTTTATATCAAATGCAGTGTTTATAATGTAATATCTGATTTCACTGTTTTCCACTTGCCTGATTGCCATTCCATTGTCGTTTTCCTTATGTATACTTGCATGAGTTACGAAATACAGTAAAACCCCCAAAATATTAGTAAGTGCTATTAGGTTATTGAATAAACACCACCTAGCTTAAACTGTTCAGGAAAAGGGTTTATAGGAAATAGTTTTAAATAATTAGATTCCTTCTAGCTATATTCAAGGACCATGTTCACTTCTTACTATGACTGCCATCAAAGTTCTAACTTTGCCAACTTTCTTTTAGTCTAGTGGAAATTAAGGTGTTCCTTTCGAAAGAAGTGTTAGGGGTAGGAAGTGAATTTTCCTGACACAATAGTATTTTTATTTTCTTTAGCTCAGTGCCTATTAATAGTACATTCCATTTGGCGATAAAATACTAAACAAGTTTATTAAATCATTTTTCAGATAAATTTCCTTACTGCAATCATGCCATTTTAGTTACAGATTTCCTATTAAAATAGTGCATGTTGACAATATTTTGATTCTGTAACTGTATCAATTTTTAGAAGCAATGGATCTATTGCTCAACATATCAGAATGTAACATAACTCACAGATGTGCTTTGGTTTTTATCAGGAACAACTTTTCGTGTTTTTTTTCGTATATCTAACTAATAGGTGTTAGATAGATAGTTGTTCTTGATCAGAATTTAACCAATAATGTTTCATGCATGTAGTGACGAGATGTAGTTATCTTTAGCCTGATAATTTCAATATTTCATAATAAAATCAAGAACCGAGTCAGGGTATATATTTGTATTGTTTACTTTGCTCAATAACATAATACTGTTTCTTTCATTATTATTATTTATCACCCAATAATACATCCTACAGTAGATATCGCTTGTGTGATAATTTTCATATTCTACTGAATTTGATTGGTTAATTAAAAAGGATGGAAAGGGTTGGGTGATAAATAAAATCTTCTACTCGTCTTTTTTGATATCAAAAAATATCAACTTGTCGATAAAGTAAAAAATAAAATAAACCTCGGTAAAACCTCGTTCTTTGTTACATTATCAGCTTGTGTTGATATTTTCTGATATCAAAAAGGACTCGTAGGAGGTTCTCTCTATAACAATAATACTCATATTATATCATTCTTTATTACAACAGTATTCTATAACATTCAGTTACAATTCTATTGAGTAGCAATCTGTTTAAAATATTACAATATTGTTTTATTTTTCCTGATTTCTGTCACAACACTGTTCGGCTAATCAGTGAACCTTAAACTGAACACAATCACTTATATAGGCTCCTGTGTGGAATTCCAACAATTTTGAATAAAACACAAAGCTTTAAACTTTAAACAAATACAGGCAGTATATAACTGATTCGTATATCACATTTTCTGAACCAGGATTTTTAAATGAAATATGTTCTATGTTGGACAGTAATATAAAAAAAACCCACAAAGATAATTGACACTAGATTTTAATGAAATTGAGTATATTGGGTATGTTTCTTTCTGGTTGAATTTGGAAAATGCGTTTTAAAATGGGTTTAAGATACCCAGTTAGTCTGAATTGGGTGCATTGTGGTGCAGAAGTCCGACTCTGCAATTTGTTTCTTTTTTTGTATTAATTTCAATAAATAGAGAGAATTTAACAACTAATCAACTAAAAAAAACCTCTTATAAGATGTACTGATTAAAAACAAAACCCAGTTCCTTGTTAATATTGATATTTTATACCTTGACAGGGATTATGGACAGACAAAATATGTTTTTAAAACCCCACAGCATTTTAATTGTGCAATATGTATGTGTCTTTGATTTGTTAATATCATTTTGTTATTTTGTATTATTTTTTGTATATGAAATAAATTCACTAATTTCCACAGTGTTTAGAATTTAAACACTGTGTACAAGTTGTTATTTCTGTTTTCTGTTCACAAAATTATCTTTGGAGTTTGATCTGAATAACTGAAATCATTGTCGGTATTTTGACAAGTGCCCCTGGGACAACTTTATATCAAAATTTGTTGGAAATTAAATTGTTTGGTGTACACAAGGTATTAGGGTAAATGACCAGCTTTCCTGTACATAGTGCTTGATATAGTGTATATCTTGAAAATTATTTTTAAACTGCTTTGAAAGGGAAGACATTTGTTTAGAGACAGATTTGAATGCATTTGTACTGTTGAAGAAAATAGTGAATTTGTGATGTTTGTTATTTTAATGGACCATTTTCTATAAATATTTATGATTTCAGGCTTATTAACTTGCATTATATTAATTAACATAGACGGACACATAGATATGTCATAATATATTTATATCATGCTAATCACACCATTCCGATCTTTGGACTATTCTACTTATTGATGATCAATCGTTATTACTAATTAAAAGTTAAAAAATTAAGCCGATTTATTTAAATACAAGTTATTTAAAATCATTCATCCTAAAATCATTGCTATTATCTGTGCATTGCTGGTGTAGTGATGTTGTAGTATGTTGTCATTTAGTTTAAAGAACAAATATTGCCACAAAACCAAATAGTTAATGAATTAGACAACACCATTCAGTTATGTAATTATTTAATTATAAATGTACTGTCACTATGCATAATATTAGCTTGTTAATAAAGTCGTTTCACAGATAATTCAGTGCATCAATGTTTTCATTTTATCAATTCAGCCAACAGTGGACAATTATTTCATGATATAAAAATGTTTCATGAATGTTTTAAGTGGCAGCAGAACTTTAAAAATTAATTAATTTATCAAATGTACAGGAGCCACATTGAGGCAGGGCTAATAGATTCCTTTAGAATTGAACAAAATAACCAAATACAATTTCTCATGCACTATAAAAGTTAGTTGATGTTGGGAATAATGCAGAAGCAAAGGATATTTTCAATGTCTGTTTGATTTGTCCCTGATTGAAAAGGGGCGGGGGAAGTGAATGTGGTTTAAAAATCCAGAGAAAACCAAGTAGGTTATGCAGTGATGTAGCTGAAGAAATTAAATGTTATATTCGGGTCCAGTTATGCTCCACAGATCACTATTAATACTCTCCATTTTTTTCTAAACTTTCCTGGAGACATCCCACCCTCTCAATAGTCCACAACTGGGTAGAGGATCCTACTTGTCACCTACAGTGTGCCATGTTGGAAGGACGAATCAGCAGTGGATTTTTAACTGCAAAAGAGGACTGCTCATTCAGTTCCTGTTTGTTTTCTCTTTTAAATATGAATTATCATTTTCAAAAAGAAAATACTATGCAATAAATTATATAGGGTAGGGGATTATTTAGTTGGTGGGACGGTTTAGACACCCCAATATCTCGAAGGGTTATATTCTTTCTTATATATAAATATTTTAGGGAAAGGTATAATTCAGATGTTTCTTTAATTCTTCTAACAATTTCAGAATGGTTTGTAGTTGGGGTAGGTTTTAGGACAAATAAGGGCACCCAACAATTTCATATGTGTCCTCCTATATTTAGTAGTTTGCCCAGATGCCATATCATCTGTCAATTATTCAATCCCAAATAATAATGGCTTAACACACTGCTTGCATAAAGTTATTTTATAACCATGTGTAATCCCAACACTTGTGATAACCACACCAGAATATATCTATAGGATTACATTGGTCAGTTTAGGATATTCCCATATTACCAAACATATTAAATACCTGAACAATGTATAATTGAACAAAATATTTTATTAGTTAAACAGCATAACTAAAAGCTGACAATATGAAGATACAAATTTAACAAAATAATTAAAAATATTTATGCAAAATATATTGAGTAAAGAGTATTATAAATGAGATAATTGTTATTCTGAACATATGGATGACAACATTGTAGATCTATTACTGTGCATAATTCAGTACATACAAATGGCTGGTTTCTTATTTGGACCCTTGTCTCACAGACACCAATACATACATGTACAGGTAATTTCTTTACACAATAGGTGATTTATTACTGGGGCCACTGCAGATTAATTACATTTAATTTAAGGAATGCAATAAGTCAGTAAATTTGTTATCTCTTGGTATCTAAATCTAATCCATATTCAATGGAAAATTATATCTCCAACTGTATAAAGATCTGTTTTAAAATCAGATTGGATTTTTACATTTTGGTAATATTCTTATAAATTACAGAAACCATATTCCATATTTTGCTATGTTTTGTATTGCTATAATTGGTTAAAATTACATTAAGGAAAAACAACATATGTATAATAAAAGGCAGGATATTATTCTAAGTGCCTACATTTACACACAAAGTGAGGTATATGTTAAGGAAGAAAAATGAAGCAACATTATTATAAACACTAATGATGGATAATAATGACTAGTATTTTGAAAAACACATGGAATATTTTTTTACTAGCAACAAAACTACAAATACTAATATGAAGTCAACAGACAATAAATTAACTGAATTTAATTGCAAAGAAACGTGGAAGTTTTGCAGATAATTTTGTGGAAATCACAGTTTACACTAGTAACAAAAACCACACCATTTTCTACAATAAAGCTGTATTCCAATCCATACCCTTTACCAGTGGTGTAATTATTATCATACAATAAACAAACAAATGAAGAATTCTTTTTTCATATAAGAATAATCTAGTTTGCTTTTCATATAACTCACAGAAAATCAGACTATTATTTTTATTGTTGTTCAGTAAAGGTAGGATTATGGACGCATTCGAAATTCCTAAAGACATTTGTAAATATAGGAATACAGCTTAAGGACATTAAACATAACACATATTTATATAGACAATACAAGACAACAAATCTATATCACACAACATCACAACAAACTAACTGTCCATACTTATAATAATATAACCATATATATATAACTAGAGATTCTTTTTAACCATATCAGCACAAATGTTTTATAGAACCATCAAATATTATGCAACTATATATATTGTATCACTACAAACAAACCATATTTCGATGCTCAGTTTCTTCACTGAAAATAAACACAAGTACTATTTCTGTACATACGCTATCTATATCATATCTACCAGAAATTATACAAGATAAATAACAGAAAAACTCAAATTAAATAGTGTATAAAACATTTAGCACTTTTATTTTACTAATATTGAAAGAGATAATGTCAAATTTTTTAAAATTGAAGATGGTGGGATATCAACAGTTTGAATATAAAACCTGTTTTTAAATCTAAACATCCTGAGGTACTTAACAGAAGCATGTGTCTTTTTACAGAAAAAGTTTCTGCAATAACAGAGAGGAATTAATTAAGTTTGTTTCAATAAGTTAAGTAGTGGAAGGAAATTTGAAAACACTAATGAGGTTATGCAGGCAATCTGATTCAGCATCACCTATAAGCCCTGGACCAAAACCACCAAAACATGACACTGTGCAAGACACCCACCCCATTAAGTTTACAAAAACTGACCTTATCTCTTTTATATAAATAAGGAATGTACATGTTCCTACTTAATATCAAAAAGCCAAAAATAAAATGTCTGACTGAACGCATAGAAATTATGAACAATAAATAATCATCGTGTAATAATAACAAAAAATACAAAAGCAGTAAAATATATTCAGAAAATACTGTCTAAAAGTTGCAGTCATGTACGTAGCACCAAAAATAAATTCAAAATAAAATAAAAACCTTTGGCCATCAAATGAAAAATATTACTAATATAATTATTTTGTCTTGTTTAATCTAAACATCTTCTTTTTTCTTATTTTGTGCCTTATTCAGGAAGAAAAAAAATGGAATTGCAAAATCTAAACCTCGACAATAAAATACTAACAAAAATAGCGAAGACTGGAAAACTGCACAATGCGTACAGAATGTGAATACTGGTATTGGCTTTCAAACAAAATAAAACATATTTAATGTAACAAAACATCATTGGGCAGATCCCAGGTGTGAAGTTGGTGAACAATAAGTATTTCTATCTGCCAATAAGTTACTATATCGAAATGAAATGGGTGTTTAACGTCCTACTGTTCTGCTCTGACTGGGCTAAGTTACTATATCATAAACCATGCACACTTACAAATGTGCAAACTCTTTCTATGTCCTTTTCAAAATTCCAGTATCCACATTCAACACAAATGTACATGTATAATGCATGAAACCAACCAGTTCTCTTTAAACAATCAAAACAAAAATATGTATCAAGCCTGACGAAATATTATGCATAACACCTTATCATTAATTCTAATTTGCATAATTACAAGTTTAATATAGTAAGTGATATCAAACATACCAGTAGAATGGTAGATTGATTTACTAAAACTAACATAATAAATACATCTATATATGGCTGGCTTCCATATAGTCCTTAAGTGTGTGCTGTTTCTTTTGAATCTCAGAATGTTAACCTTCTACTAAAAGTCTGTAATTCTGCCCACATGATGTTAATTTTTGTCACACCAATATTCTCACAGCATTAAATAAATTTTAGACAGAGAATTTAATATAATTTTCTAAATAAATCTATCAGTAAGATCAATGTTATTTCCTCCTCTCTTATAAATATAATATAATACCACTACTACTATATGGAAACTCTATTATTGATCTAGAATGATTATTATAACTATATAGCACCTGGTATATTATAGCAGATTACCAACACAATATATATCATTATTATATATCTAAACATGCTATATAGTATATATTTATACCATTTAATAATGGCCATTTTCAAAATCAAATTTTGAAATAAGATTTTTTCTCAAAAACAACATTTGAGTAATACATGTAGATTATATTAATTTTATTCATCAAAAATACTAACAGCCGATGTCTACTTTTGGATCTTGTCATATGCATACAGGTATTAAAATATTAAATAAAATCCAGATTGTTTATATCAGTTTTAACACTAGATGTGATATATGTTAATAAAACTGTGTAAGCTGTTAAATCTGTGCATTAAGCTTATATAGTGTAGAAAATGTAATCAATTGTCAATCAAGTTCTCATATTCTCCACACGATACCAAACTCTTAGTTCCACAACTTTCCGTAAAAAGAAATAAGCTATCAGTATTCCAATAATCTGTAAATAAATAAAAATAAATTATATCATTCATCTATCATCTAACATTACGAATGCTTTTGTAAAGTACATGTAGATAAATTTTACATTATAAGCTATTACTATAATCTGTAATGGTGACTTGAAGAACCAATTTCGGGTTTTAAAGATCCCTTCTATTAGAGATTTCCGGTTTAAAAGGTTCAGCTGTTTAGATATTTCCCAGTTCCCCTGGTCCAGAATTTAGTGATAGCTATTTTACAATCTTTTATTTAACTTTACAGTGTATTTTATTAAATTTTATCAAATGTACCATTAACTATTTTTTTACTTCAAACTGTGGAAGTTATAAAAATTTGCCATTTCAATAACACAAGTCATCCTAGAAATTGTAGACTGATGATTGATGAAGGTTGACGACAATTAAATAATTCATGTTATCCAATATTTTAGGCTCATATAAATAATTATTCTGGTTTTCAGATACCTCTGCATCACTTAAAAAGTGCTGCATGACCATTTCTATTAAACATTTCCCCTTGAATTTGGAAGCATCTAATAGACTGAATTATAAAGTACACAACCCTGATAAATACTGTCATCTTAAATTTCACTAGATAATCATAAATTGACTCATTCTAATCAAGAAGTGGTGACCATTGGTTTGTCTACTTAATTTCAAAAGAGCCTTAAAGTCCATTCTTTTGTGGATGATATTTATGGTGTGAACTACATCTATTTATGTAATAGAGAGAGAGAGAAATGGAGTTTAACGTCCACTCGACACAAACTAGGTCATTTCGGGACTAACATATGGTTCAATTTTATTTCCATAATTTGCATGCGAGTAGGGGTCTTTAGCAGTGGGAGGAAACCGGAGGACCCGGAGAAAACCCACGAAGTTAGACAGGCGACCCTACTCCTTGTCACGTACAACCGGGGATTCTAAACCCCGCCAGTTGACTCAATGACAGACTTTACGATACAGCACGCACGTGCTAACCATTCAGCCATCCAACCCCCAAGTAATGTAATAGAAATGACTGAAATGATACTAAATGTAGATTAGTTACTGCGTGTAAATAAACTTGTATTCAGCTTAAAATAAAAAAAGACTGTCTGAGAACCAGAATGTTTTTTTTTGTATAGCCTAACTTATTTTTTTTTTTGTATAGCCTAAATTATTTTTTTTTTTACTTAAATAGCAAAAATATTTATAGTTACCTGAGGAATGGCAAAACCTAAAGCAGAAGCGCCAACATGATCAAGATTAGCAGCCAACCAAGTGAGAAACATATTTGTACAACCATCCATAAATACTTTCTCACTAATCTATAAGAAATATATTTCATACATATAAATACATGGTATTTCAAGGAAGGTTACAAAAAGGAGACTTTTCTATTTGTATACACACAAATGAATTGAAAGATCAAGCATCTCTAAATGTTATTTCATTATACCATTTGCACATAAAGGAAATCCTTGTGACATACAGTTTTGGGGCCAGACTTATGATTAATAGTTTAAAACCATTTGTGCTGAACTCACTGGCTTCCCTACACTATAAGCCAGAGATAAATCTATGAAGAGTATAGTTATACTTACAGTTCCATTACCTATAATACCATATCCACAGTTCTCAGCTGGTTCTCTTTTCTACAAAATATAATCTCATTATTAATATAATCATCAAATGGATACATAAACTTCTGCTTGTTTAAAATAACGCATAAAGGGCAACTTTCAATATGTTCTCCAAATAAAGTAGTTATAATATACTAAAAGATGAAGTGGTTATAATATACTATAAGTTAAAGAGGTTATAAGTTAAAATGGTTATAAATATACTATAAGTTAAATAGGTTATAATATACTATAAGTTAAAGAGGTTATAAGTTAAAATGGTTATAAATATACTATAAGTTAAATAGGTTATAATATACTATAAGTTAAAGAGGTTATAATATAATATAAGTCAATGGGGTTATAATATAATAAAGTGGTTGTAATATACTATACATTAAAGAGGTTATACTATACTATAAGTTAAAGAGGTTATTCTATACTTTAAATTAAAATGGTTATAATATACTATAAGTTAAAGAGGTTATAATATACTATAAGTCAATGGGGTTATAATATAATAAAGTGGTTGTAATATACTATACATTAAAGAGGTTATACTATACTATAAGTTAAAGAGGTTATAATATACAATAAGTTAAAGAAAATGATATTTACCAGGCCTTCTATACAACATGAACTTGGTACACCACATGACTGGGGTTTCTCTGATACACAATTAAAATCGTCATTATACAAACTGTAGTCTAAATAGCTCTTGAAACCACAACAATGGAACTGTAAAGAAAACAGATCAGAGGTAACAAGTTAAAATTTTAACAAAGTCCATTAACTAGTTTAGTGTTTCAAACAATCAACCATTCAGATTCCAGTAGGTCAATTAAATATGTGTCGATCTACAAATTTCTTTAGAAATAAAATAACTGCATTTCAAAGAAACATGTAATGAGTTTCTAGATGGCCAACTAAATATGCAGATGGCTTTATTGTTTAATTTTTTTTGCTTCCAAGAGTCAACAAATCCGATTGCATTCGGTGTATCAAATATATACATGAAAGTGCAGATGATATTGATGTTTGACTTTGACATCAAGTAAGTGAAAGTGATCATAATGAAGATATATTTCAAATTAGAAGTAAATTTATTGTGTCTTACACATTAGACTAATCAGTATGTCAATTAGATATACACCAATCAGAAAGCAATAGACTACTCAAACATACACAGTTGGTGTTAATGTTTCAAACCTAGATGAGTAACTGTCATAATGAAAGTATATTTCAAGTCGGATCAAAATCCATATATATTTGAAGTAATATAATTTATTTCCAAGAATCAAACAATCAGAGTGCAATAGGCCTATTAACTATATATATATATGCATGGATGGTATTGTTGTTTGTCTGCAATATCGGCCTATATAGAAGCAGACAATAATAATAGATTTGCTTACGAATATAAACTTTACATAACAATACCTTTTTCTGTATCGAGTCCATGGCTAGTCTTATTCCACTGTTGTTAGTATATTCTTCAACACCAAACATCAGATGAGAATTGAGAATCCCAGGAACCTACAAAATTCATAGAATGAAAAACTTCCCCATTTTAATGTATAAATTTCTATCTCATTTGTAACTATTAATGTACATATGTTCCCATTGTTTAAAGGGCAACATGTAAGAAAGGCCATTGGCCTAATTTTCAACCCTTTTGAAATAAAGTAATTATTTTTTATTATTATTAACCTTATTAATAATAAAACCATTTGGCTTACTGAATCTTGATAAAGCAATCGTTCATCAAAATTCATTGATCGGATGGAATGGGTCAGTTCAACCACTGTTTAAAAAAAACAAAAAACCTCAGAAAACAAAAAAAAAACCTCAGAAAAAAAAAAAAAAAATGACTTCATCAATGTTAAGGAGATATTTGAACACTGGGGACCTGAAGAATTATGCTTTTGTGTGGAACTTCCACAGTATTATATTGAACTTACAGAAACCTCTCCAATATATTTAGTATGGTACCCATTTTAAATAATTTACTTTTTGTTTCTGTGATTTAAATAACGAACGTGTCATAAGAAAATTGTATAAGAAACATTATTTGAATATTGTTTAATTTAAGATACATGATAATTGAGTTATCTTCTGCCTGACATTCTAAACTTATTTCTATCTGAAATTGTTATATTTTTACTGACAAGGAAAAATTAAAACTACAGACTCCAATTGTCTAGTAACGCACGATGAATAAAATAATTTCATTATAATAGTGTTAAACAGTGGGTCTGGTATGGTGTATGCATTAACCACTGAGTTTGTCTACTAATCATCTTGAAAGCTTAATAATGGCAGCTACATTAAAATTCATAGATTGCCCCAAAGCTTCCATTGGAGTATCTGGAAACATATGTTTGGATATATTTTGTATATTTAAAGATACATTATGGGAGATTAGATAAAGAGTTGGCAGTTCTCATTATAATTGTTAAAAACTAGATAATGTAAAGGGAATTTGCTGAAAATTTCAGTCAAATTGATCCACTCTGAGCCTAGCCTCAATTATCAGTACTAAGTCGGTACGATAAAAAACATACTCTCGAGTATCCATTTCATGATTAAATCATGAATGGATGTCGAACAGCAAATCGGAACCTAATCCAATAAACATCGCAGTGATGACATCAAGAGTTGATTATGGTCTGGATAAGTTAACTAATGTCTAATTAATAATTTAGGTAACATTTCAGACCTAAAGAAAGACCTGCAATAGGCAGATTTAGCTCTTGCATAATGTATGATTAAATTCAAGCTAATAATCTACAAAATACTGAAACTATATTTTCTCAGAAAAGGATTGGGGAATAGACTACACTAAGCTTATCTAAACTGTGTATCAAAAAGCAGCATTTCATATTGAATGACAAAGACAACTTGATATAGTGGCAGATTCCATGATTAGTTATTAAATAGTCAGACGCCATAGAAATTGAATGTCAGTGTTATGACAAAAAGGGTCACGGCATGTCACCTAGTTAATTGATCTCTTTATCCTATATAATCAGCTGGGGTTAATCTGGTCAGCTTTTACAATAGACCTATTCATAGTGAATCATGCATATTAACACCGTATCAATAGTATTGGGGGAAATGGTAATAATCTTCTTCTATATCTTCTCTTATACAGCTTATCAACGACTTTACACAGACGTTCTAACATCGGGATCGCAATGCTACCAATGCACTTCAGGATTGAACGTTATTAATGACCAACGCTGACAGTATTAGTAAAATTACTAAAGTTGAATTTCTAAGGGACACAATTGCAAGCTCCACCATTAGCCCATAAAATGTAGTATATTGAGAAATGTTAAATTCAGATAATGAGGGATTAAGTTCATAGACTGAGCCTTATCTTAGCTAAATCCCAGCTAACCTACTGGTATGGCTATCTATCCTTTTTTACAACAGAAATATCCACTGAAAAGGAAATCAATGAAGTTTAACATCTTATCATCAGGATACTCTGATCACATGTACAATACTAGAGATCAGAATTTTCCAATGTCCTACTGTTCTGCTCCGACTGGGATAATGAAGACAGGCATATGCCTTGCAGTGAGCTATGAGGGAAATTGTGCCGAGACAATGGCACTATGGCCTACTCTTATATTGAATTCCAACTGCAAAAGGATCTTTTAGATGCACACCAATGTGTACACAGAACCTAATTTTTTTGTGTCATCCGAATGACTAGACAATTCTTTGTTCAGCCCTCTGTCCTGCTGCACTGACAAGGAGAAACCACACCCGAAAATCCTAATGAGCTATGTCAGCGAACACCGGGAGTGAACCTGCAACCTCCAGACTAGCGAGCCAGCGTCTTACTCACTTAGCCACCATGGCTCCCAAGCTTTCCACCTACTCTTCATGGAATTCTAGCTGTACAGAGTTGTTTTTCATGCATGCCAATGTGTACACAGAGGATCTCGGGTTGTTTTGTTTTTTTGCCCCATTTGAACGTTTCGGCAACAATTTATTTTGTCATCCCAAAGGCACTACCCTGAGCAGGTGGAAACAAGACTTGAAAAATACAAAAAGTTTTCTCTGTCAATGCCAGGATTTGGACTGTGAGTCATGAGTTGAATTCTCTTGCAACTCAACTACCACAGTCCCAAAAATATCAAATTGGTTCTTATTAAAATACACATTGTTCCATCAAATCTTATTAGTCATACTTTTCAGAGATTGATTCAAATTAAAATATTGTGTTGATATTAAAAAACATTTGTAAACATAGAATTGTATGCTTTGTATGCAGAGCGAGTAAAATTGTGATTACATGTTTGCAGTACATGTACAATAAGGTGCAAGTATTGGAAATCAATAGATATTGGCACAATGTACTACATCATAGTGTTATTTATAGTAACATCCTCCTTCACTATTTATACAATATAAACAACACCAGTATACAATATCATTTCTACTTCTTATTATTACAACACACACACATTTATCATTTATCCATTAGAATATTGCTTTTTAAAGATATTTAATTATTGTAATCACATCTGTCTACTGAATAAATATATCACTCAATTTACAAATGTAACATCTTCTATCTTAGTTTCTATATGAAAACAAACCACCTAAATTTATCATTTTCAAATGTTTACTCTTCCCTGAGGAGTTTCATGGTTGGCGGCCATTCAGTCTTTTCAGACTATCAGACTATATATGTTACCAAACATTTGGCAAAGATGGCAGAATAGATGTCTTTTTGATAAAATTTTACTTTCTTTTAGTACAAACAGGCAAGGGAGAGGGGGGGGGGGAGAGAGAGAGAGAGTTCATCATCAACTCCACACATATTAGGTCATTTGGGGACTAAAATGGTTCAATTTTATTTCAATAATTCGCTTCTGCATAGGGGTTTTTAGTAGTGAGAGAAAACCAGAGGATCCAGAGAAAACCCATGAGGTTGGACAGGCGACCCTACTCTTTGTCACGTACATCATCAACTCCACACAAAATAGGTCATTTTGGGACTAACATGATTCAATTTTATTTCAATAATTCACTTGTGTGTAGGGGGTCTTTAGCAGTTGGAGAAAACCAGAGGCTTCAGAGAAAACCCACGAGGTTGGACAGGAGACCCTACTCCTTGTCACGTACAATCGGGGAATCAAAACCATGTCAGTTGACTCAATGACAGACCTTATGATACAACGCACACACGCTAACCATTCCCATTTGCCATCCAACCCCTCAGTACAAATAGGGGAGATATGTTTCAATTTTGAAATAATCTATGTCCAACTACAAAGGTTGGGATAAGGACCTCAGTTGGTCCACTAAGATAAAACTCATATATACATGACATTACCGATAAAAACCCTCTAGTAATGACCGCTTGATATCTAAACAGATCAAATAATCTGGATCTCTTTTTTATCATTCAATATTACAAGAATTGCTGAAAACTGATATGACATAACATGATATAGTTGATCAATAATAATTGATAAGCTATTGAATAAAGACTGCTTAAATTGTTTTAATCCTCTTCCAATTCCATTATTTTGCTTTTTAGGGCTTTTGGGAATTTAGTTTACTTTTAAACAATTTTTTGTTTTTACATTTCTCTTGTCATTCAATTGCAATATGATGTCCACCTCTAAAATTATATCCTTCTTCTAACATATATTAAAATAAATTATATATTCCATTTCCTGTAACTGTTATTTGACATTTAAAGTAAAGAGATATAATTTAGTACTCCTACAATCATCTCTTATCAGTTCAGATTTCCGGTTTAGATCCTGTGAGCAAAGACATAAATTTTGAATATTTCAAATCCACAAATTAGGTTTTGCTTTTAAAAACTAATGAACACTTTACAGTTTTTCCAATGAATTACCGGTCTAATTGAAAGTTGACCAACCATACATCCAACTTAAAACCCCCAAAAGATCTAATTTGATTGACATGTAGCCTAGAAAGCCTGAGATTCAGATCACGATTTAAACAAAATAAAAACATGTTCCTTTACATGTACTGACGGAATACAATTTTATTTAACAGTTGTAATGAGAAACCTTTGGTTTTTAGCTCGGGTAAATTTGACTTGAAATCGTCAGTCAAGTGTTGATAATGTCTTGAAGTAGTTTTAATGTTTCAATAAGAAAACATGGCTAGATGTTAGTGAAAAAAATATTGATTTATATAAAGTGATAAGTTAGAGAGGGTGGAGTGGGATTAGATTACTGATCCTAATATCCTATCACGCTTAATGTTACTATAAGATTTTATATAGAATCAATAATACATCTCACTTTTAACAACTCTTGCTACAAGATCAACATAACATGAAACAAAATTACAATTTTAAAGATACATTATGGGAGATTAGATAAAGAGCTGGTAGTTCTATAATAGTTAAAAACTAGATAATGTAAAGGGAATTTGCTGAAAATTTCAGTCAAACTGATCCAACCTGAAGCAAGTATTTAGAGATTGAATCTTGGGCCTAGCATTGATCATCATTACTAAAGTCCATACGATAAAAAAACATAGTCTCGATTATCCATTTTTTGATTTAATCAGAAGCAGCAGACTGGGTTCTAATCCAGTAAATATCGCAGGCTAGCGATGCCATCGAGAGTTGATTATAGTCTGGATAAGTTAATTAATGTCTAATTAATACTTTAGATAACATTTCAGGCCTAAAGAAAGACCTACAATTGGCAGATTTAGCTCTTGCATAATGTATGTTTAACAATGCCTCGTATATATAAAGAATGTAATTCATTAAATCAATTTGTACAAAGATACTATAAAATTCCTAGCTATGCAAATTAAGAAAGTAAATGAGAAGTCATCCTTGCGATTGAGCAAAAAAAAAGACACAACAGAATTTATATTGGAAACAAACCAGTGTTTTTTAAAATAAGATGTCATATCAGTGTTTGAGAAAGAGCAAGCACACATATAATCTATTTATCTTACATGATTGTATCACATCTATTTAATCAAAGTAATGTCTAGATGGATTGAAATCATTCTCTCAGTAAAATTAGATGAAGTCTGTTACACGCAATAAAAATGAATATGTGGGTGAACTTTAATACAGTTAAGTATGTTATACCTCCTGATAACATTTTATAGATAAATAAAATTGATTTGTCTAACATTCAACTGATACTACCAGATGCAGTAGACAAGATATATCATGTAGACCTACAGTACATAGATTAGCCTTGAGCACATTTAGAACAAAAGTTATGCATGCATAACCTCATCATAATGTTCATAACTTGATTTCATTGTCTGTCTTTCATTGACAAAACATCATAATTCGGAACAAAAATGACAGTCAAATCAAACAAATGTAAACTTGTTAAATTCCTTGCATACAGATAAACACACAAGAAAAATAGCGTAGCTTAAAAGAGATCAGTTTCATACAGTAGCAATTTTTTTTTATTCAAATAATATTATTATATAGGTATGTTGACAATGTACCAGTATTATATAACAAATTCCAATGTAACTAGCAACAGAAAAAACTTTTACTGAAAGTTGTAAAAAAGCTGAAGAATCTGGAGATCAGTGTTTGGATCATGGTGATACGGTCAGGTAGGATTATATATCAAGGTACCAGACAAGCTATGGTACATCTACAAACAATGTTAATATGGTAGCTCACAAAATCAATAGGAAGTACACAATTCAATTCATCATGCATTCCAAAAGGTCCCAAAGGTATAATGTGAAATGGAGTATGTTTTATTGAAATAAAAGAAGTAGAATAAATTCCTAAGCATTCCATCACCTGCTTTTCTTTTAGAAGGATTTATATCTTTAAAATATTCCCTATATTCTTAATTTAACCCATGTACATTGGGCAGCCCAATGCAAAGTGACATTTCGGACATGTACTGGAAAAGATGCTACTGAAATACATTGATAACCAACTATATTTACCTGTTCTCTGTAAACAAAAGCCACAATACCAATTGTTACTTGTATCAGGAATGCCAATATTGTAATACCCAAAAACTGCAAGGAAATATTAATCATCAATAGATACAAGATACCCAAGTGATTAAGTTCTATTTATATTCTAACAATATGGTTAAAATCCATTGAATGCTCTAGGAAATGGACCCTTTAAGGTGCCTCGGCCATGCCTCTAGCCTTTCTGCCAACTTTATATTAACAAATATTATGAATAAGTACCATCCAGTCACTATACCTGTAACTTTAGACGATATATCAAGTAAAATTCTGGTTTATCAGAGAATTAATTAATAGCATTGGAACAAATATTCCTGGTGTATTAATATTTGTATTTTATGTTTAGCTAGATACTTACCACTTTAAGTAGAGTTGGGTTCTCTGTAATGGTGCCAACCAATCCACATACAGCATTTATCGTTATAATAAGACCAACTAATATTAGTAAAGCTACTGGTAATGCCAAGTTTTTGTTTAACGCATGATAATCTTGACGACTAATTTCCACCAGTATACCAGTACCCAGTAAAAACAAACCAACAAACTGAAAATATTATTACATGGAATTCATATTTAAAACTTTGAAAATTAAATAATTTCAGACACTTGAAAATGTCTGTACTTCCTAGAAAATAAATCTGCCAGTTTACGATTCACAGGGTTTCAGTGCATAAATAGTGAGGGTTAATTTTTATCCTTTTTTTAAAAGATGCATTATGTAAGAACTAAATTTGCCTATTGCAGATCTTTAATTTGGCTTCAAACTATTATGTAGACATTTATTCACATGACAAGCCTAAAATCAATTCTGTAGATCATCGGATGGCCGAGATTGAAATAGATTAGAAAACCAGCAAGATTTACAAATTTAATGATAAAATGGAAAATCAACAATTAAGACTCGATTGTCAAGTACTGTTGCTATGATAATTAACAATCAACGTTAGATCTTGTCAAACTTTCCAACACTCAGAATAAAGTCATTTGAATAAAATTTTCAATATGTTCATTTTTCAATATCTATTTTTGAACTATTATAGCAAGAATGGCTAGCTCTATATCTAAACCATACTTAATGCATCTTTGATACAACAGGATAATGATTGGGCTTCCTAAAAACAAGGTCGTAACATATATATTTAAACTTTAACCCACATGATTATATTTTGAAATAATAATATGTCATGTAATTCTGTCCAATCATGCAAGGCTTCTTGACCCCACTTACAGAGTGCATATAAAAAAGGATTTCCACAAGAAATAATAGATGAACCCAGAGATGATGACAAGATTTATAGGATAACATAACCAATTCATATTAGTTTAAATGTGTGTGTTCTACATCATTAATTATCATCGATACTTGTTACCTTGAAATTAGGAAATCAACATTCTATTGTGTTATCGCAAAATTTTATCTTATGGTTTTTTTTTTGCACTGTAGCATTGAGCACTGATCCAATTATTTCCTGATGCCTTATAGGCGATAAATGGGTTACAAAAATAGAAGAATTGTAGTAGGAAATATAGACATAAACTACCTTGGGACATTGTGATTTGACATGAAAGTTGCACAGTATTATTACATTTCTGCCAATTTTTAAATGCCCAAATTTTAGAGTGGCCATATATTTACAAATATTTGAACAGGTTGTTCAGGTCATTAAAAGATGCCTTTAGCTTGGAATGATTTCAACATATACTCCCAGAGTTATTCATAACACTCTATGGATCACAATTATCTCTTTTTAAAGGGATTTCACATGTTTTACCATTTTGTGTTATTGTTGTTTTGAGTGGTGAGCTCGATTGTATTAGATTTTTATATAATATTATTTACTTTATAATTCTATGCTAATGTTATTAGCCTGTATCTATGCAACACAGGCAAATTATTTTATCTAAGTCATTCAAAAATGAGAACAAAACAAGGCAGCTTCTTATAGTTATCAATTATGCTAGTCAATTCCAGAATAAAAGACTTCCATGACATCAGAAACAACACCCACACAATCTAAAGTCTAATTGTAATAAAAAGAAAAGAACTACAATGCAATATCGGCATCTTTGGAGTTTTATGTAAAGTAAGCTATCCTGACATTTCATCAAATTAAACCATATCCATACCACCTAGGTATTGATTCCAGCAGCCAACTTTACTTTAAACATGCTATGTATGTAGACACAATAACAGACAGACTTGTGTGCATATATCAATTAGATAGTTGGTCTGACACCTACTACCTTCTTGTGTTAACATCAACATTGATATTGGTGTTAAATAACCTGTATGTTACACTTAGCTGTTTAATTATTAATAATATTACTAGTATATATATAATTATGATACTGTGACACTGAATGTTGGGAGCTCTATAAATTCCTTAATGTAATGAAGTTTAACCACCTGTCAAAATGCTTACATAATTCATATTTGGCTTAAGATATATGTCTTATTTACTATGGTTACATACATGTAAATTCTAAGTAGGCAGATTAGATAACAAGATTTCAACCTACTCTTAATGCAAACTGAAACTAGGAGGTTGGGCAAGTCAATAGTCTAATGGTTTAATGCTTGTGCTGTGGACTGCAAGCTCTGTCATATGTGCAAGCTCTGTCCCTAAATGACCCGGGGGGTTGGGTGGCCAAATTGTTAGCGTGTGAGCGTTGCATCATAAGTTCTGTCATTGAGTCCACTGGCGTGGTTTTGATTCTTCGGTTGTACGTGACACGGAGTAGGGTAACCTGTCCAACCTCGTGTTTTTTTTCCAGGTCCTGAGGTTTCCTCCCACTGCTAAAGACACCTATGCGCAAGCGAATTATTGAAATAAAATTGAACCATATGTTAGTCCCAAAATGACTTAGTTTGAGTGGAGTGGAAGTTAAACTCCATTTCTCTCTCTCTGTCATGACACGTCCACAATCTGGGTCAATATTTATGCAAAATATGAGTCCATAATAGAATAGAAATTTCAATTTCATTGGCATGAAATGCTTACGCTATTTTTGGAAGCGGTGTAATTAAACAATGGCAGATTATTTTTCCCACTCGATAATCGTCGCGTTTCGACTCATTGGTCGTTCTCATTTTCCCGACCCATGGTGATAATAGAATTTTAAACAATAATAATATCCAATATGCATTCTTAACTTTGCATGCCGTATGAAGCGACAGTCAACGGAATTCACCTATCAATAAAATTCTCTTCGGAAAGAAAATTATTGGCTATTTTGTTTATTTCCATTTAAGGACTATAAATTATTTTCTAACAGACCAAACGAGACATTAAATCATCGCCGCTTTGATTAGTTATTCGGAGTAAATAATGAATTGTCGGTGGCCTTATCATTGTTAATTATCAATCAACTAATCATTAATCTGTGAGAAGTGATTACAGATTAGTATTACTCAATGACACGAACAGCTTGTTAATTGATTTACAATGTTTTGATTAACACTCAACGGCTATCTATATACGATCAGAATTAAGTTGTTGGTATCCGAGGAGCTTTTTATTTTGTGTTTTTAACAGTTTTCAAGTGTAAATAATTTAATTAAATCAACCTGTCCATAATATCATATTCATTGTATTGAACATTAAATCTTTAATAAACAACAGCAACAGTTGTTTTCTGCCACTTCTCAGAGTGAATCGCATGTAGATACACCATAACATTGCTCAAATCTAATTTCTATCGTCTGCTTGAGCCTCGATGCGGCCACAGAACCACAATGCTTTGCACGCGTCGTCTGGGCCAATCAGCAAACGAGTCGTGTTGGAAGCATAGCAACAAGCGGAGTATGTTTACATTTTTAGGGGTTTTAAAACCCTTTTGTATTTCTTCAAAATGAATTCATCGGCAATACTTTGGTCATATTTATAAACTAGAGATTCTCCGCTTTACAACGATGCCAAGCATTTTGCAAGAGGATTGACAGGTCGTCCCGCTGGGAGCAGAGAAAAATATCTAATTCCGCTGAGAATATTCAGAAAAAGAAAGATTTAAGAATACGGTACTCTTACTAAACGTCGAAATAAAGGCGTTTTAAAATGTTTTATTGCTATTTTGATCTTTAGAGTCGATAGATAGTATATTTATAGACTCATTTTTGTGAAAATCTCAATTTCGATCAAAATCAATATTTTCGCTTATTTTGTCTTTTGTGCAAAATTAATTTTACCGCATTTCGACTCATTTACATGCGGCGGGTCACAATTTAGGGTGGAATTTACTCATAAAATTACTTTGAAAGGTAAAGCAACAAAATAGCAAGTCATCTTACTGGGAAATATATAAGATAGAAACAAAATAGCAGGCATATCTATTTGTATGAACGCCCAAACTCAAAACTGAGCTGAAACTTAGCTTTTTCATACAAACCATGAATTGTCATAAAAGTTTTAAGACACTTTTTGATAGATATGGCAAGGTGTCAACCTTTTGTACAAATGATCTATCCCGGTGAGTGATGCAATTGGCAAATAGCTTCGATTTTGGTATTTTCAAATTTCATAATTTTTCCATGAGAGATCTACTGTTATTTTGTGCATGGAATATTTAATTGTACAATGAATTTCATTTTCCAGAGGTGACTAAGTTTTTCAGGACCATAATATAAAAATAGTTTACTTTGTATGGCTCAAAGCGAATCGGGCTACATACATTTAGATGGGAGAGAGAGAGAGAAATGGGGTTTGACGTCCACTCGACACAAACTAGGTCATTTTGGGACTAACATATGGTTCAATTTCATTTCAATAATTCGCTTGTGCATAGGGGTCTTTAGCAGTGGGAGGAAACCGCGGAGGACCCAGAGAAAACCTGTGGAGGACCCAGAGAAAACCCACGAGGTTGGACAGGCACATTTAGATGGGATTTTAAGATTGTAGTAACCTTACCAAAAGTTTACCCTGGCCCAAATTTATATCATAGATCTGAATAATAATAATTAGTTTCTAAAATCATATTGTTAGAATGAGACAGGAGACCATTTGATAAAAAAAAAGGGCATCAAAACAAAGATTTTACTAAAGCAATTAATGCTTGCTGATTTTGAATTGCAAAATTCCACTCGAAAATGGTGTTGGATTACTATAAATTTGTGTCAGATGTGGCTAGAAATTATTCGTTTTGGCAAATGGAATGAAACGTTCTACAATGACTGGGCTAATGAAGACTGACATTCGCTGAAAAATTGAAGGTAAGGAGTCCAAAATAGCCTAATAACCAAATGACAGACAGGAACAGTCAGAGGAATACATCAATTCTGAAAGGAATTTACAATAATTCACCCATTTCAATAAATATGATAATGCTCAGTCACTGAGTCAGTGACAGTAGGGTGGGTATAGGCCTATATCATTGATATCATTTATAAAAATATGTTTTAAAAATGCTAAATTAAAAGACAGTCTGTTTAAAGACTTCACCGAATGGCGATCCTAAGGTCCTAACTCAATTGGATTACATGTAGTTCGAACAGTTGGATCCATTCAGGCTATTAAACAGTTAGCAGCTTGAGTTGACAGTCTGAGTTTGCCGAGATTCAGATTGAGATTGTATATTTCATTTTATTAGCATGCCACATCCAGTTATGACTCTACTCACCAAAAATATCAAGGTGTACAGAAACAGTAGGAGCTTAAATATACTGTAACTGCTACAAGAACACATAGAACGCCTTGGTGCTTTACGTGGCGGGTGAACTTCTGGTAACATCTTCTGCATGCCTTCTGTATCGGCCGCCATGATGCTGATTTTCATCTGAAATGTCAGGGTCAATAGATCACATGACAGTCACGTGAGATAATAAATGCTACTTTCACTTGACGTGTGATGGCTGCATGAATTAAGGGGAATCTCAAACATATCTATACATGTATTTTATATATATATAGGGTCGATATTTTATAAACTTTTTTTTATAGGACATAGTATATGTTATGTTTTTCTTGTTCAACTTGGGCTAGTTTTCACATTTGTCTATTCTACAATTGGAGTTTAAATTGTGAAAGACGATAAGATAAGAGTGACACGTGTATTATTAAATACTAGATGCACGAAATATACAGTGTCATAGTCTACATACGTGATTGAAATCAGTAGAAAACTGTCACGATTTTTACTACCTTATGTTCAAATTGTGATTTTTTCTTCTATATTCTTTCTAGAATGACTTTATCTGTGCACTCCAGGATACAGGGACTTTTAAATATTTTAGATGTATGCCTGGGATATAATTAATTAACTGAACCCAGTATGTATAATTTTCAATGTATGCCTGGGAGATAATTAATTAATTGACCCCAGTATATATAATTTTCAGATGGCAGTAAGCCAGTATGGTCAATTTTTTGTGTGTGTGCACCTAGAAATGGTTCCACTACTGATGTTTTCCACCTTAGGCCTACTCCAGCCACAGGTAGTGGCTCGTCCTACAGAGTTCCTTTGCGCAAGTTTTTTTAGTCAAATGACTAACTGACCCCAAACTGTACTGCACATAGCTTATATATAGTAAACCAATTCCCATTGAAATAAAGATGAAGTCTTACGTATAATTATATGAATTGATGAAACCCAACGTTACGCGAAATTTGGCGAGATTTCATCTGGCTGGTGTCATGGTGGCTTACATTAAAAGAAATGTTGCTTTGAAAATGTAGAACGCATAATTACCACAAAGAAAAACTGTTCAATACCTATATTAGTGGTTCAGTTTTCACTATTTGTGATAGAATTACTTATTTCAATACAAACTGTAATGATATGTGTTGACAATTGTGCGCTTGAACCTATTTGTACTTGCATAAGGAGTCTTAGACTGTATCAATTGTAGCGTTAATCACAGTTTAACAGTATGACATTTGTAGCTAGTGTGCACCATACCAAACCGTTAATCTAGGGTGATCATATCCAAACTACATTGAATGCACCTATAATTGGCACGTCCATGAAATCAAGGAATGAATAAATGCACATATTATATCAATCAGTTCTCTTTCTTGGGGTTACCTTGAAGACAAATTCAGTTAAAAATCAACTGATTGTGCTATGTTTATATAACTAACCCTATAACTTGGTTTAAATATATATATATAACTAACCCTGTTAGCTTGATATATAAATATATATATAACTAACCCTGTTAGCATGGTAGCATGGTTTTTATATATAACTAACCCTAAATTAGCTTGGTTTGTATATATTCCAGTTGAACCTTCTAACCCTGCATGCAGAACTAAAGTTAATTGGGGTTTATTTTAAAAATATTTGTGACCGTAAATTCCATTTTTGATGTAACATATCCTTGTTTCGCATAGTAGGCTTTTATCACTACATTATCTATTTCAGATAATGACAATATCTTACCAAATAATAAATATGAAGATCACAGATAACATGGAACTGATTCAGTTCACGATTGAGCTAGAAAATGATCATGTGGTCGATAAAGGTTATCTTTATGGGATGAAAGTCCGTATTTATAACTCGGCCCACTTTTTCACTTTGATGAGTTTACCTGGCAGAGAAGACCGTACCAGGAATCATGTTGAAGTTAGCATGTATTCTAGCCATTGCAGCATTAGTGTCAGGTAGGAGTATAAACAAGTTGAACTAAAACTTTTATTAATATTGACAATTCTGGAACTAGACTGGACCTGGTTTCAATTTTGCTTGAAGAATATTGCCAAACCTATTATGTGATTTCTTTTTATAAACTCACATTTAAAGTCGATATAGTCACTTGTATCTATTAGTCCATATATTCATTGTCTGGAATTATTATATGTTTAAAAACATTTGTTCCCGAGTTATTGAAATAAAATGGGGCATAGCATCCTACTGTTCTACACCGACTGGGCTAACGAAGATGGGCATACAAGCCAAATTTTCCCAGACAGCTGCACTACCGCCTACTCTTATTTCGAATTCAAACTGTCAACAGTTCTTTTACATGCACGTTAATGTTTACACGGGACCATGGTTTTTTGTACCATCCGAACAACTATACATTGACCCTTGTCAGGCCCTCCCTGCTGCACCACTGACATTTGGGAACCATGCCGAAAAATCCCAATGAACTTTTTTGGCCAACACTGGGGTCAAACACGAGACATTTAGGTCAGCGAGCCAACATCTTTTGAGCCACCATGGCTCAACCAGCAGAGTTATTGTTTAAAGTATAATGTCTACAAACTTTTTATGGAATGACCTTCCTATCTAATCTAAAACCTTGCAAACTTATTGCTGAACTGAGTTCTCTACTGAATGTCATGAAGCATAGGCCTACCTGTAATTAAAATAAAGGACTTGATTTCTTTCTATTATTATGCATATTTTCAAAATAAATAGAAATTTATGAAAATAAATAGAAATTTATGAAAATAAATAGAAATTTATGAAAATAGATAGAAATTTATGAAAATAGATAGAAATTTATGAAAATAAATAGAAATTTATGAAAATTAAAGTTTACAGATGAATAATATATGAGTAGCATATATAGTATAGTATACAGATCTTCTTGTTTTAATATCCATTTTACTAAATGATGTAATCAGTCTAATCAGTGGTAATATATAGTAAATTGTTCTAATTTTTTCAGGTTCCCCAATTTCTACCATAGAGAAAGCTGAAAATGAAATAACATGTAGTATTTGTACACATATAATAACCAACATACATGATGCTTTAATTGACAAACAACATCAGGTAACTTTAAAATTTAGTCTCTCTACATATCTCACTGCTGGGAGCCTTGGTGACAGGCTCACTAATTTAAACAGGCTTTATGCAAGAGCTAAATCTGCCTATTGCTGGTCTTTCTTTATGCCTGAAATGTCATCTAAATTATTAATTAGACATTAATTAACTTACCAATACCATAATCAACTGTCGATGCCATCAGATGCCTGCAATATTTAGTGGATTCAAATACGTTTTGTGCTGGATGCGGTTATGGTAAAAATGGATAATCAAGACTTTGTTTATTATCGTAACAACGGTATTAATGACAATCGAGGCTTGGTTCAGAGTGATGTAATTTTACTGAAATTTTCAAAATATTCTGTTTTCATTATCAATTTTTCTAACTATTTTAGCGAGAACTGTTAGCTCTTTATCTAATCTTACCTAATACTGCTTTAACTAATAGCATCTTGCATGGAGTATATCCATCTGCTATAGCCTGGTTGGTGCTGAAAAGTAGGATGTTAAACCCCATTTCCTTTCATTTAATTATTTCAAAAGTTGAAGTAGGGCCAAAATGTAGATTTAGAGATTCATCTTTCGGGATTTTTAATTTAAAATCTTTAGCTAACAAACAAATTTGATTCTGAATCTGGAAAATCCAGCAGACTTGGTGTTGTTGAAACATTTAGCTCTAATTCCATGTTCAATGTATTCTGTGTATCTATGAACATTTGGTTTAAATCTTTTTTACTAAAATTGCACCAACTATTGTATTGGTCCATGGAATCTCCAATTGTGCATTAAAGTTTGATATCATCTCAACCAGAATTTAGAGTGTAAATGTACATTTGCCTTAAACAGTGGTTGCCATGCATTCGGCTACTATTTATTGCCATGGTGTGGCTAGAGCATGCCAGAGCTCTTGTGTGATGACCTTGAGAGCTGCTCTTTTTGTTTTCACATTTCATATTACATTGAAGTCAATTCTAGACATAAGTGTTTACATAATTACAACTTGCAATTTTAGTTGGATGGTAAATTTTAGGTTATAGTAAAATTCTTGATCTCAATAAAGATTGTCAGTCCAATTTTATCTTTGACCAATGACCTCTAATAGATAAAACCAAAAATATCCCACAAATGAAATCTCATTGTGATTGGTCTAAAAAAGAACTAATAAAGTAGAAAAACTCATAAAAAAGAATTATTAATATTTTATCACTAGAAATTGCTGTGACCAGACACTTATCCCTTATACTTCAGCATTAATTCAAAAATTTCACTCTGTTTATTTGTGTTGGCACTCATGTTGATTTTATCCATTTAATCCACTATGTTCATGCACTAATGTTACATTGATAGAAGGAGAATTAAATATGCAAATCAAATAAAAAAATGTAAAGAAATAACCCATTTACTCCACCTGAAGTTTCCAGCTCTAAATTATCTCCAAAAGTGGGGTATAGTGGATGGATAAAAGATACCACTTTACTTTATTTTAATACTCTCCGTTTTCAAGAATGTTTTGTTTTGACACCTCATGTACACTGTTATCTATTGGAAATATTGTTCTCTAATTAGTAACTGATAAAATGCATTACCGGAGCAAAACTTGAAATATTTTGTTGACGTAGACTGAATGGGGGAATATTTTCTCCATTAACATTACTAACAATATATTTTAGAGTCGAATAACTGAGCGTTTACTGTCTTTGTGTAACAATTTAAACACAGAAGAAAAAGAAGAATGTGAACTAATTATACATAGTGCTGGTGATGATACCATGGGTAGTATGGCAGAAGAAATGGTAAGATCTTGTAAACTAACATTATTGACCTCAGTTCTATGTGTCATACAATTTTATTAAATTTATATTTCACCTTTATGGTTGTGATTTTCTACACTACATAAGATCTAATATAACTGTTAAGATCACTGAAGTCAGCTGTGTTATGCTTGAGACTGCAATGAGTTTACAAATAGATCAGGGTAATTGAAAGATCTGCACTTTCATTGGCTGTTGACAATATTCAAGTAAAAACACAAAACAGTTTTAAATCTTTTCAGATGTTAAGCCTGGTAAATATGAACATACAATTTGATATAAAACATCTGAGTCTAATCAGAATGTTTCTCAACTAGCCTTATATATATATCAGTGATATTTGTTTACAATCATAGAATATTCATATTTGACAAACTCTCCTCCAAAATATGATAACCACCATCACAAATTTTAAGTAAGAACAAGTCGTTTTCTTTGAAAAATACCCAAAACAAAATGATTACATCATACAATTATGACTTTATCGCAGTAATTCATGTGTTCTTTTACATTTAGATACATGTGAGAAATAGAAAAATATTATTTTATAAAAAAGAAATAGCCCTTTACATATCATCTGATATTATTTATATTAACCAGTGGCTGATTTTTAATGCTGCTGTATAGAATACTAAACTATTTATATTATAATTAATATAGAGACCTGAAGAATTTTGTGGTATGTTGGGTTTCTGTCAGGCAGAACCCCAGCAGATGAAACCAGTAGTAATACAACAAGTTAGAGAAACCCCTGAAGAGGTATTTATCATCGTTTTAATACAACACAGCACTTTTTAATATAGGGGGAGTATTTGCATTCAGACTTTCATCATTTAAAAAGCTGTGTTTATTACTAGTTGGTAATATTATATATGCCTGTGGTGATCTCAATGATTTTACATTAAAATGTTTCTGTGTTTACCTAATTCGTAATATCTCATAGCTGTAATTGGTGTCCAAAGACTCTGTTTCACAAAGCACATTGAGTTTACCTCTATGTAACTATACATATGGGCCCCCAAGCACTTCAAGGTACATGTACTATTATCTTGGTTAATACTAGGATTGAATCTTGAAAATTATTATTTCGTTTATCAAAGAAATTTTGATTATATTTCATAAATATATTTTTAGAATTCCAATTTGAAATAAATTTATAGCTTGTCTAAAGATATTTAGAGAGACATGTATATTTGATTTGTTTTAGGGAGCAGCAGGATGTGAATTGTGTGAGTTTGTGGTTCAACTTATTGATGGATTCGTTCAACAAAATTCTTCTGAAGCAGCCATTAATGCTACAATTTATAAAGTCTGTAACTCATTACCTGATCCAATTAAATCTACAGTAAGTTATTACATTATACAATAAGTTATTATATTATACAATAAGATATTACAATCTACAATAAGTTATTATATTATACAATAAGTTATTACAATCTACAATAAGTTATTATATAATACAATAATCCATTACAATCTATGTACAGTAAGTTATTATATTATATAATAATCCATTACAATCTATGTACAGTAAGTTATTATATTATACAATAATCCATTGCAATCTACAGTAACTTATTATATTATACAATAAGTTATTACAATCTACAGTATTAGTAATATTTAATACATATTATAAATATATATTATGATATTACTCTGTTTTAATGATTAATTTCCTGAAAATATTATTTTATTTTATATTTGATAACAATTCATTTTATTATATTAAAGTAGTTCATATATACAAATGGTGATTCCATTGGGGTCACTTTTTTCTTACATGTTGAATTTTTTCAGTGTTTGGGCTTTGCTCCTGAATTGGTGAAAGTTTTGTCTGCTGGATTTGACCCAAAAGAAGCCTGTACTAAAATAAAACTCTGTGATGGTTTGTATAATTATCATTATATAGATCACACTATTCAATTAATTTGTGTATTAATTAAAACGTGAATTGAATTTCTGCTTTCACTCACTCCAACTTATTATCTAAGGAGCCAGCCCAAATATATTTAATTCAATTCTGTGCTGAAGACTCTGTGACTACCTCTTTAAAATCAGTAGTACTATTAGATTTTCTGTGTCAAGGGAGACAATTTGATGTGTCAAGGGAGATAATCTGTACATTTCTGTATAGGAATGATAATTTTATTGTAGGATACAGAGAACCTACGATGGATTCTACCTTGTGTGAGTTATGCCAGTCTCTAGTTGAAATGAATGTATTTGGAGATGTAAGTACTGCCTTAAGATTTCTTGTTTTTGCCATTGAGGTGATTGTAGAGAAGCAAAAGTAGACTAGACTATTAGATCTACTATTTGTAAAACTTTTCCAAGAGAGAGGTAAATACAGGAAACACCAGCTGAATTATGTTAATTGCTGGTAAAACTTTAATGAAAGTATAGCTGGAAATTGTTACTGTGCATGTGTCTTGAGATAGATAGGCTTATCCAGGCTCAAGTGGATTGCTAGTCAAGAAATTTGTCTCCAACTCAACCTAACGCATGGAATAAAGGTTCTAGGAGACTTTCATATGGAATTACCAGCGACCAGTTTTTTTTAACCAATTTTATTCACTGAAATATAATTGGGATTACACCTTTAACATACACTAAACAATACTGATTGTGTGTATATTAAATGTTATACAGGTAACAAATGGATTCTGTTTTAAACTAAAGACTTGTCAATCTGTCAATAAATCTGTAAAACAAGGTCAACAACCTACAGATGTAAGTTACATTTTTTCTATTCTCATTTGTTTATTTTGGGTGCTGGGAGGGGGAAGGTTAGTTTGACTTTAACTTTTTCGTGACTTTTTTGGGGTGCTGGGAGGGGGAGGTTAATTTGACTTTAACTATTTCATGACTTTTTTGGGGTAAGAATCATATATTGTGTGTAAAGCTTATGATCGGACGACAATCATTTTATAATTTCTAATGTGTAATATTTGTTATTATATTTTCATATAACACAAGATACCGTATTGCCAATTTTCAAAATTTTAAATTTCATTAATGTCTGTCAAAGGTATCCTTTCTATCTTAGTTACAGTATGCTTTAAGGAATCTCTTGTCTGGTTGAGAGAATCCTATATTCAATACACAAATCATTGCTACTTTCTCTGTAATGTTAATTCCATAGCTATCAATTTCTTAGAATTAATATTTTTATTTATTTTAATTAGAGTCCTGGATGTGAGATTTGTCAGTTTGTGGTACAGATAGTGGATTCATATCTTGATGAAAATAGGACTGCTGCAGCTGTAAATTCAACTCTGTATAAAGTGTGTAATTCTTTACCTGATCCAATCAAATCAACAGTAAGTCAAATATATTTGATCATTGATAACTTGTTCTGTGAAACCAAACATTACATTCTTTATTATATTGATATTATTATTATTCATGTTCCTGTAGAAAGTGACCAGTCACAAACAATTACATAATTATATAAGCCAACTTCCTCTTAATCTTTTAAGACAAAAAGTTAGTCATATAGAGCTTGCCCCATTGAAATAACATATCGTTTCAAGTTTTAACCAAAGTCAATACTTTATTTTGATCCAAATCAAGTGGATTCTGTATTTGCAATTTTCAAAATGCTCTTAAAACAAAAAAAATGAGAGAAGAGTTTTGTGATGATTTGTGATGAATTTTTAAATTTATTTCAGTGCTTAACTTTTGCTCCAAACTTGGTGAAGGTTTTAACTGAAGGATTTGATCCTAGAAGAGCATGTACGGATATCAAATTATGTCAAGGTAGGTCAGTAACATATTCTATAAATATAAAATGTCACCAGAATCAGTTAATACTCTATAAATATTAAAGTAACGATGCACCATTGTCATTTATCCATAAAATATCAAATTTCTCACAGCTTAATCCAAGGTTATATGTACTCAGATTGATTATTTAACGTTTATTTAAGAAAACAAAATCAAAATACCAACACTAAATAATATTTTGACTAGGATTAAATTGGATTTAAAACAGGCCTATCATTAGATTTTCGTGGACAATAAAATATGTACCGGAACATAAACTGTTGGGGATTAAAAATTAATATGCATATTCAACAATCAGTATGATTAAAAGCTTTGTAATATGCATATCTTTGTAAATACTGAATGTAATTGAAACATTATTAGACTGATATTCCTATTAGAGATTCATCTTTCACAATATTGTAGTACGGCCTGTCATTGAGTCAACTGGCGTGGTTTCGAATCCCCAGTTGTACGTGACAAGGAGTAGGGTCGCCTGTCCAACCTCGTGGGTTTTCTCCGGGTCCTCCGGTTTCCTCCCACTGCTAAAGACCCCTACGCGCATGCGAATTATTGAAATAAAATTAAACCATATGTTAGTCCCAAAATGACCTAGTTTGTGTCGAGTGGACGTTAAACCCCATTTCTCTCTCTCTCTCACACAATATTGTAGATTGCAAGGGATTCGAATCCTATTGCTTAAAAGTCGTTAATGAAGTTTATTTTTTCTTGTTTTCTAAAATTAAAATCTGGCAATTTCATTTTGTTTTAAAAAGATTATAAGTACCCAAGACCTTTAGTAAAATGTTAAAGTAATTTAGTGAGACATTGACATTTTTTTTTTCTTATAGCTGGAGCTGTCTTTAAAAGTAAATTTGAAGACTGTGATTTGTGTCGTGACTCTATTAAATTGATAGCTGGCTCACAGGTGAGGGATAAATTTCAACAAAATTTGCTGTCAGCATAAATATTCATGTAATTGAAAGACTTGAGTTTGATGTTATTGTATATTTTTAAAAGTTGATGATGAATCATATTTTACTTTGTTCTAGTTCATGACCAGGTTTTGATTAACCAATGGTTATATCAGCTAGTGAATTGAGCTTTACTTTCAAACTAACTATGTGTATTTCTTCCTTTTTTTCTTAAAGGAATCTGAAAGAGTTTGTGAATCTGCCAACATCTGCCCTAAACAAGAAAAAAAGAATGTTCAGGTAAGTCTATTTTTGGGTCACTTCAAAAAGGCGAAGAGTCAATTAGTGTCCGTATGTATGAAATATATGTTTATCAAATTTAATGATAATGAAATAATAGATAAATAATGTTTAACCAAGAAATGATATTGTCAGGTGTATAATAATAAGCTTTAGAATTCTGTTTATATTTAGTGATATCAAATAAACGTTAACTGCACCAGTTATTAATATATTAATATTATCAGATGTTCTCATTGCATATCTATTCCACAGGCTTAACTTTGTTAAAGAAAAAGTTCATATTGATGATTATGCAATTGTTAACTATAATATCAATCAGATGTTTTCATTACATTTCTATGTCACTGGCTTATAACTTTGCAAAAAAAGAATTAATATTCATGATTTTACAATTGTCACAAATACCCACAAGTACAAAAACACAAAATTCAGTTGCCTTAAATAAGATTGGAAATTTATGTTTTCAGGGAGCAGGATGTGAATTATGTGAATTTGTGGTTCAACTTTTTGATGGATTCGTTCAACAAAATTCTTCTGAAGCAGCCATTAATGCTACCATTTATAAAGTCTGTAACTCATTACCTGATCCAATTAAATCTACAGTAAGTTATTACTTTATACAATAATCTGTTACAATCTACAGTAAGTTATTACATTAATCCATTAAATCTACAGTAAGTTATAATAATTATATAATAATCCATTACAATCTACAATAAGTTACAATATTATATAATAATCCATTACAATCTACAGTAAGTCATTACATTATACAATAATCCATTACAATCTACAGGAAGTTATTACATTAATCCATTACAATCTACAATACAGAATTACACAATGAATCATTACAATCTACAGTAAGTTATTATATTATACAATAATCCATTACAATCTACAGTTAGTCATTACATTATACAATAATCCATTACAATCTACAGGAAGTTATTACATTAATCCATTACAATCTACAATACAGAATTACACAATGAATCATTACAATCTACAGTAAGTTATTATATCATACAATAAGTTGTTACAATCTACAATAGTCCATTACAATCTACTTCATTACAATCTACAGCAAGTTATTAAAATCAAGAAGTTATTACAATCTACAGCAAGTTATTAAAATCCTTAACAGATCATTTCAATCTATGGTAAGAAGTTTTTACAATCTACAGTAAGAAATTGTTACATTCTATGATAAAAAAATTGTTAGAATCTATCCTAAGAAATTGTTACAATCTACTGTAAGTTATTAGAATCTACGATATGTCGTTACAACTTAGAGTAAGAGGTTATTGTAATCTACAATAAGTTATTACAATCTACAATTACAATCTACAAAAGTAATTAAAATCTACATTCGACCATTACAATCTACCGTAAGTTACCAAAATCTTCAGTAAGTTAATGTAATATATATTATTACAATAAGAATTTACATTAAATTATTATAATCTACATTAAAATCTACAAACTACAATAAAGTTATTAAAATCTTATAAATTATTAAATGGACGATCAGTAATGAATTATTTTGCAGTTTAAGATGAGGTACAAACTACAATATAGTTATTAAGATCTTGTATGTTATTAATGAATTATTTTGCAGTTTAAGAGGGATGTGTTCTTACATCCAAATGGTGATTCTTTAATGGTAACTCTTTTATTGATTTAAACTGTCCATCATCATTCTTACATGTTGAACTTTTTCTCTTTTTTCAGTGTTTGGGCTTTGCTCCTGAATTGGTGAAAGTTTTGTCAGCTGGATTTGACCCAAAAGAAGCCTGTACTAAAATAAAACTCTGTGATGGTTTGTACAATTAATTATCCTTATATAGATCACACTATTAATTTAATATGTGTAAATTTAAACTTCAGATTAATTTGGTATCTGGCGTATTGAATCGATGAGAGGTCTAATGCATGCCCTTAAGGTCATAAGGTCTGTCATCAATATCGGTGTCATTTCTTCAATTCCATGTGGCAGTCAGTTTCGTTGCTTGCCTAATCTGTTTACAAGCAAATTATCGACCATAAATAGGTCATTTGTTTGTCCAACAAAACTTATTTTATCTGAAGGTGTCATATTTCAAATGATCAGGAATAATAGAATTATAGTCTCAAGTTGCTTAATTAACCCACAGTTACTTATTATGGATCATCAACCACCAGTAGCGATTTGTCCTCTTGTTAACATTTACATGGTATCCACACATTGGGTGAGGTCAAATGTAGTGTTGAAGTATATAGTTATGACATAATGTAACACTAATGTAACTATTTTCCTAACTTTTGACCTCAAATAAAGTGTTAAGCCAAAAAGGGAGATAATTACAGCTTTATTTTCAATCAATTGTGGATAAAATTGTACAAGGTAGAGTTTCCAAACAACACTAGTGTTATCTGAAACAATTTCAGACATGGCTTCCACTTATCCTGCTTTGATAAGTTCTTGAATTATTTCTAAAGAATTGACCACAACAAATTTTAGATTTTGTGTGTTTTGTATAAATATTGAATAATTATATTAGATGACAAAATTACATCAAGGCTTCTTTTATGTGTACAGCAAATTCCTGTACATGGACAAGGGGAAGGAACGCAGGATAATCCCAGGCACTTTCTAGACCAACACCAGTATTAAACCTCCTGCCCTGATCAGTGAACCATTCACCTTACTAACTAAGCAAGCATGGCTCCCAATTCATCTAGAATAAATATTTATATTTTGTCTTATTTTAGGACAGACTAAAGAAAGTATTAAAGAGATATTATCTTGTGATGGATGTAAAATAACAGCTGGTATATTGTTGGGTGAGGTATGAACTAATTATCATACTGATTATAAAGTTATTAACAGCAATATTTCTAATGATATAAGTACTGTCTTTACCTCCAGATATTGATGCTTCATAAGTTTATGTTTATTGATAGGACAAAGTGAATATTTGTGAAAAGACAGAAGCTTGTAAAAATAAAGAAGATCCAATTCCTGTTCAAACTAAAGATGATATAGATGTTGAGGTAAATATCAGTAACTTTATATACCCACATATGGAATAATATTTTATTCCCACTGATTATTTTTTTAGATATTTATTTTTAAACCTACTGGGATTGTTTGGTTCGTCATAAGCAGGAACTTTATTGCTTCTGTCACTGAAACTTTGTAGACCTTCAGAGTTTTTGATATGTTTTTTCAGATATTTATTTTCAAACCTACTGGGATCGTTTGGCTAGTCATTAGGAAGAATCTTATTGAAATTTATAGCCTCTGTCAATGAAACCTGTCAGAGTATGTGATATATATTTTTTCAAACTCACTGGCTAGTCATAAAGAGTAAACATATGGAAAATTGGAATCTTTTAAGGGAGCAGCAGGATGTGAATTGTGTGAGTTTGTGGTTCAACTTATTGATGGATTCGTTCAACAAAATTCTTCCGAAGCAGCCATTAATGCTACAATTTATAAAGTCTGTAACTCATTACCTGATCCAATTAAATCTACAGTAAGTTATAACATTATACAATAATCTATTACATTATTCTATTACAATCTACATTAAGTTATTACATTAATCCATTACAATCTACAGTAAGTTATTATAAGTTATCTAAACCTACCATTACAATCTACATCAAGATATTAAGTTATTACAATCTACCATTTGATACATGTATCATAATCTACATTAAAAAGATATATCAATCCACATTAAGAAGTTATATCAATCCACATTAAGAAGTTATATCAATCCACATTAAAAAGTTATATCAATCCACAATCTACATTAAGAAGTTACATCAATCCACATTAAGAAGTTATATCAATCCACAATCCACATTAAGAAGTTATATCAATCCACATTAAGAAGTTATATCAATCCACAATCCACATTAAGAAGTTATATCAATCCACATTAAGAAGTTATAACAATCCATGTAAAGAAATTATATCAATCAAAAATAAGACCTGTCGCTTGTCCAACCTTGTAGGTTTTTCTCTGGGTCCTCCTGTTTCTTCCCACTGCTAAAGACCCCTACGCGCTAGCAAATTTTTGAAATAAAAAATTCAACCATGTGTTAGTTCCCAAATGACCTAGTTTGTGTCGAGTAGGAGTTAAACCTTATTTCTAAATCTCTCTCCAAAATAAGACCTAATAAGTTAATACTGACATCAAACTTTGCTGTTTAATATGCAACAACTAGCTCATATACAAATGGTAATTTGTGTTGGGAGCAGGGGGAAGAGAGTCGATTTTTATTTTGCTTTAAAATGTCAGCCGTCCTTGCATGTTGAGTGTTTTTCAGTGTTTAGGCTTTGCTCCTGAATTGGTGAAAGTTTTGTCAGCTGGATTTGATCCAAAAGAAGCCTGTACTAAAATAAAACTGTGTGATGGTTTGTATAATTATCATTATATAGATAATTACCAGTATAGCATGGTTTTGTGGTCTTTTAGTGTATATCGTCAGGGAGTCAAAAGGTCATGTCAGCCATGATATGCTATAAATGAAATTTACTTTTTTGATTTTGCACATCTTTTCATATACATATCGTGTTTCTAAGACGAGATAAGTTTCTGGTGTATAAAATTGCGAATTACTAGCTTTCATTCCTTACCCCTGTACTAGATGTTTAGCCGATATGTGCGGATAGTTACATGCTGTTTAAATGGCTACAAGTATATTTTTTACAGAAATATTTGAGAAATTCTTTAGAAATACATCATTTTACAGACAAATTTTGACAGGACATTTCTATAGAACATTTTGATTCTTAACCTCTATGCAATTTTTGGGTCTACTGGACAACTTCGCAAAATTCAGATACAACCTTTTGACTCACCACAGATAATATACTATATTTGACTTTTGGGGTACTCGATTGAACGTTCCGGAATTGAATTCTCTCAATCACAAAAATAGTGACAATCGAGTGAAAAGGTGGATTTCGAGCTACAACGCATGCGTCGACTGAATAAGTGAATATCTCAACCAACCATGCAGCCGAAACATATTTGTTGTGTTTAATTACGTCACGATTCTACTCACACCACCTCCGTTGTCTGGACTGACAGAACTGTGACGGAACTGAATTCCACGTTACTCGATTGCAATTCTGTCAATTCGGGAAGTTCTGGACTGTTAATTGAGCATCCCCATTATGTTCAGTAGTTTTAAGTGTAGGATATTCAAAGGTTTGCTGATAATTTGAAATTAATGAATTAATGGTATTTCTGTAACTCGAAAGCTTCTTCTTTTAAAGAATAATACCGGTATATTTGTTCATGTATTTCTGGAAGTAAACGCCACTTGAGCACAGACACTGTCGTAGGTGCTATTTATACATAGCTCCAGTTAAAACTTTAGTTTACTTTATTATCTAAGGGATTGTGTTGCCATGGTGATATATGAATTATTGAAATTAAAATATAACACATCTCAGCCCCAAAATGACCTATTTTATGTCAAGAGGAAATTAACCACATATGTATTTACTCTGTATTTGGTAATAAGATTATAGATTTTGTCAAGTGTTTTGTAATAAATGATATATTTTGTAATAATATTATGTATTTTGTAATAATATTATATATTTTGTAATAATATTATATATTTTGTAATAATATTATATATTTTGTAATATATTTTGTAATAATATTATATATTTGTAATAATACTTTAGGACAAACTAAAGAGAAAATTCCTGTTCAGACTAAAGATAATATAGATGTTAAGGTAAATACAAGTACATATAGAAAATAGTAATTTTATACGCCCACATTTTATATGAGAGTATATTGTCTTCCCTCCGGCCCCTTGGTCTCTTTGAGGTTTTTATTTCAAACTTTCTGGGATTTATTTTATTTATTGTGTTACCAAAATCTTCTAAACACTCTATGAGTCAGAATTTCTGTGATTTTTTTCAAATTTACTGGGATATTCAGTTACCTATAGGGATGATTCACAGACACAAATCAATTTATACAGAGTTTTTGCTGCTGAGTTTTTAGATCATATATATTTTTCTATATATATTTTCTGATCTAATGGGATTGTTTGGCTCGTCATAAGCAGGAACCTTATTGCAATTTATTGCTCCTTTGTAAATGCTCTAAAGGTCAGAGTTTTTGATATATTTTTTGTTTTCAAACTCACTGGCTAGTTGTAAAGAGTAACCCTATTGAGAAATTTTCAAAAAAACAGTTAATATGGATGATTTTACAGTCTTCAGTATTACTCTAAAGAAGGACTGAAAAATATAAAATTTTGTTAATTATTTGGAAAAATAATTTGGAATTTTATGTTTCAGGGACCTGGATGTCAATTATGTGAATTTGTGGTTCAACTTATTGATGGATTCGTTGAAAAGAATTCTTCTGAAGCAGCCATTAATGCTACCATTTATAAAGTCTGTAACTCATTACCTGATCCAATCAAATCTACAGTAAGTTATTATATTATACAAAAAGTTATTATATTATACAATAATCTATTACAATCTACAGTAAGTTATTATATTATACAATAATCCATTACAATCTACAGTAAGTTACTATATTATACAATCAGTTATTACAATCTACTGTAAGTTATTAAATTATGCAATAAATTAATGAATTATACTCTAAATCATTACAATACTGACATCAAGCTTTGTGATTCAATATGCAACTGCTATGTATGTCATATATAAAATGATGATTTGTGTTAGAGGCAGAGGGGAAGAGTGTCTACTTTATTTTTGCCTTAAAATGTCGGCCATCATTTTTCAGTGTTTGGGCTTTGCTCCTGAATTGGTGAAAGTTTTGTCAGGTGGATTGGATCCAAAAGAAGCCTGTACTAAAATAAAACTCTGTGATGGTTTGTATAATTATGTTTATATATAGATAGTTACCAGTATAGCATGGTTTTGTAAAATATTTTGTAAATATATGTATGATATATTTGACATTATGTCCAGTAGTTTTAAGTGTAGGATATTCATATCATGTGTGTAAGGTTGAGAGTACTGTATATTCATTTAAAATCCCTCATAGTATTGTTGTTGATTTGAAGTGAGTGAACTCAATGAATTTAACTTGAAAGCTTCTTCACCAATGATATTCAAATTATTGATTTTCACAACTTTCAAAGAATAATATATCCGTTCATGTATTTCTGGAGATAAACATTGTAATGTATTTCTGGAGATAACATTGTAATGTATTTCTGGAGATAAACATTGTAATGTATTTTTAGAGATAAATATTGTAATGTATCTCTGGAGATAAACATTGTAATGTATTTTGTAATAAAATTTTATATATTTGTAAAGAATTATGTATTAATATTATAAAGTGGTATTAATATTATGTATTTTGTAATGATAATATATATTTTATAATAATATTTTAGGACAAACTGAAGAGAAAATTCCTGTACAAACCAAAGATAATATAAATGTAAAGGTAAATACCATTACATATGTAGAAAATAGTAATATTATATGCCCTCATTTCATGTATGTTTCTTCCCTCTGGTCTGTCAGTCTGAGATTTTTATTTCAAACTTTCTGGGATTGTTTGGCTAATTATAAGGTATAAAAATTCTGAGCCATGCATAGGGTGGCCCACGCACCTACAGAAATACAGTCCACCGCTGATAGTTCGAGACTACCACTGAAGCATGCACATTCGCCGTGTCGAGGCCAACTTTCTGACAGTATGATACTATAAATAGCCATGGCACGTGCAATTCTCTACAAATCTATCAACTATTACAGCCGTAAAAAAATTATTGTTGACGATTTTGAATAGCAGTGAAATTAAGCTTCTTGGTTATTACAGCAGATTTAGAAATTACGTTCGTTTCATTTTTTAAATCGCTTTATCATTAACTGTACCGTTAAGAGCGGCATCTTTTGGTTTAGTACAAATAATATCTCAGAAACACTCGGGTAAGACAGGAACATGATACTAGCAGTAGTTTCATTTTACTTTTACAAGCTTCTTAAAACAATTGTTGAGCTAGCTAACATGCTCATTTCTAAATTCAATTTCTTGTTCTAGCTTTCTGTTATGTTTCGTAAAAAAGTAGTCTTGATTATCCCGACCTGTCAATCAGCCCTAGAATGGTCGATAGACTGGTTAAGCGAACCTAATTTCAAAACAAGGGCACGTAACCTATCTTTTACTCAAAAGTGTCTGGATGTTATGGACGACACATGGAACCAGTTTTCAGTCTATTATTTATAGATGATTAATGGTCATAGCTTATTAAGTACAACATGATCGTTTATTTAGTGACTATAATTGTGTGAAACTGATTTGAGGCTTGGCATATATATAAATATTGTGGCGAAATTGTCGAGATATATGGAGATATTTATTTATGGTGGGTCACCCTACCATGCATTGATTTTATTTGGTGTGTTACCAAAATCTTATTAACAATTTACAAGTCAGAGGTTCTGTGATAGGGATAATTCATAAAATAATTTATACAGAGTTATTGCCCCTGTCTCTGAAATCATGCAATCTTTGAAAGGTTGAAGATTTTTTTTTCATAATTCAGAGTTGTACATCAGTTTTAAATCATATATTTTGAGATCTTTGTCTTCAAAACTAATGGGATTGTTTGGCTGTTATAAGCAGGAAACTTATTTAAACTGTTTGCCCCTTTTTAAACGCTTTAAAGTTCAGAGTTTTTGATATTTTTTTCAAACTCACTGGCTAGTTGTAAAGGGCAATCCTATTAAAAACTTTTTCAAAGAAACAGTAAATATTGATAATTTTGCAGCCTTCAGTATTACTTTATAGAATAAACTAAAAAATATGAAATTTTCTTAATTATCTGGAAAATAATATTCAAATTTTATGTTTTCAGGGACCTGGATGTCAATTATGTGAGTTTGTGGTTCAACTTATTGATGGATTTGTTGAAAAGAATTCTTCTGAAGCAGCCATTAATGCAACCATTTATAAAGTTTGTAACTCATTACCTGATCCAATTAAATCTACAGTAAGTTATTACATTATACAATAAGTTATTATATTATACAATAATCTATTACAATCTACAGTAAGTTATTATATTATACAATAAGCTATTATATTATACAATAAGTTATTATATTATACAATGAGTTATTATATAAGTTATTATATTATACAATAAGTTATTACAATCTACAATAAGTTATTTTATTATACAATAAGTTATTACAATCTACAATAAGTTATTATATTATACAATAAACTATTAAATCATTACAATTTAATAGCCCGTTCAGACGCTTATTTTTATACCAGTTCATAATCGCTGGGGTTTTTAAGACAGCATCGTGTTGCGTTCACACGTACTATAAGCCAAACCAGTTTAACTATTCTGACCTCTTCGGACGGAGGTTAAAGTTAACTAGCTTCATATTCATTATTCGGTTCTCACACACTTTCTATAACATTGGCACTGTCTGACCCCAATATTTTCACAGGAATGTAACTTACTGCTACTGTGCTTGCTCAAAGCAAGCTGAAGCCAGGGTTTTTAAGCCAACCTGTTCAGACGGCTAAGATGAACCAGTTTAAAATAAAAAGCCTTCTTGAAGACAAGTCACAAGCTGAGGTCTTTAAACTGGTTTATTTGCCCCACATTTGCCTTCAGACTCGTTAAACTGGTTTAACGATCCCCTGGGTTTTTAAACCAGTTCAACTTAAGCGTCTGAACAGGCTATTAGTTATATCAATCCACATTAAGAACTTATATCAATCCACATTAAGAACTTATATCAATCCACAATAAGATCTAGTAAGTTAATACTGACATCAAGCTTTGCTGTTTAATATGCAACTGTTAGGTCATATATAAATGATGATTTGTGTTAGGGGCAGAGGGGAAGAGTGTCTACTTTTTTTTGCCTTAAAATGTCGGCTATCATTTTTCAGTGTTTGGGCTTTGCTCCTGAATTGGTGAAAGTTTTGTCAGGTGGATTGGATCCAAAAGAAGCCTGTACTAAAATAAAACTCTGTGATGGTTTGTATAATAATCGTTATATATAGATAGTTACCAGTATAGCATGGTTTTGTAAAATATTTTGTAAATATATGTATGATATATTTGACATTATTGACAGTAGTTGTGTAGGATATTCATATCATGTGTGTAAGTGTGAGAGTATATATTAATTTAGAATCTCTCATAGTATTGCTGATGATTTGAATTGAGTGAACTTAATGAATTTAACTCAAAAGCTTATTCACCAATGATATTCACCAAAGTTATTGATTTTCACAATTTTCAAAGAATAATATATCCGTTCATGTATTTCTGGAGATAAACATTGTATTGTATTTCTGGGGATAAACACTGTAATGTGTTTCTGGAGATAAACATTGTAATGTATTTCTGGAGATAAACATTGTAATGTATTTCTAGAGATAAATATTGTAATGTATCTCTGGAGATAAACATTGTAATGTATTTTGTAATAAAATTTATATATTTGTAAAGAATTATGTATTAATATTATAAAGTGGTATTAATATTATGTATTTTGTAATAATATTATATATTTTGTAATAATATTTTAGGACAAACTGAAGAGAAAATTCCTGTTCAAACCAAAGATAATATAGATGTAAAGGTAAATACCATTACATATGTAGAAAATAGTAATATTATATGCCCTCTTTTCATGTATGTTTCTTCCCTCTGGTCTGTCAGTCTGAGATTTTTATTTCAAACTTTCTGGGATTGTTTGGCTAATTATAAGGTATAAAAATTCTGAGCCATGCATTGATTTTATTTGGTGTGTTACCAAAATCTTAATAACACTTTACAAGTCAGAGGTTCTGTGATAGGAATAATTCATAAATTAATTTATACAGAGTTATTGCCCCTGTCTCTGAAATCATGCAATCTTTGAAAGGTTGAAGATTTTTTTTTCATAATTCAGAGTTGTACATCAGTTCTAAATCATATATTTTGAGATCTTGGTCTTCAAAACTAATGGGATTGTTTGGCTCGTTATAAGCAGGGAACTTATTTAAACTGTTTGCCCCTTTTTAAATGCTTTAAAGTTCAGAGTTTTTGATATTTTTTTCAAACTCACTGGCTAGTTGTAAAGGGCAATCCTATTAAAAACTTTTTCAAAGAAACAGTAAATATTGATAATTTTGCAGTCTTCAGTATTACTTTATAGAATAAACTAAAAAATATGAAATTTTGTTAATTATCTGGAAAATAATATTCAGATTTTATGTTTCAGGGACCTGGGTGTCAATTATGTGAGTTTGTGGTTCAACTTATTGATGGATTTGTTGAAAAGAATTCTTCTGAAGCAGCCATTAATGCTACCATTTATAAAGTCTGTAACTCATTACCTGATCCAATTAAATCTACAGTAAGTCATTACATTATAAAATAATCCATTACAATCTACAATAAGTTATTTTATTATATAATAAGTTATTTTATTATATAATAAGTTATTTTATTATATAATAAGTTATTATATTATAAGTAATTATATTATATAATAAGTTATTATATATTATAATAAGTCATTATATATTACAATAAGTTATTACAATCTACAATAAGTTATTATATTATACAATAAGTTATTACAATCTACAATAAACTATTAAATCATAACAATTTATGTTATATCAATCCACATTAAGAACTTATATCAATCCACATTAAGAACTTATATCAATCCACAATAAGATCTAGTAAGTTAATACTGACATCAAGCTTTGCTGTTTAATATGCAACTGTTAGGTCATATATGTTTCATGATTGTACGGACGATGTGGACGGATTGGTAACACTGAGATATAAAATACACTATTTATGGTTCAGCCATCTTTAATCAACGAACTTCCTAAATGGAGATAACTCTATTCTGCTATAAGCCAGGAGGGGTTATCTCCCATTTTACATGTTAATACTAATACATAATAAAGAGTACAAGGAAAGATTGTACATCATATTACATCCCTTTTGTTTTGGAATAAAAATAATTTTAAGCATTAGTAAATACTTCATTGATTACGCATATAGTTCAAAGCTTAATTTTTAACTTTTGCATGTAATAAATTTGATAATGAAAATTGAAACTTGAATAAAATTATATGAAATACTCTAAAATACTACTTGTTATTTTGTTATCACATTTTAGTGATCACATTTTATAACACAGTTTTTGGCACATGTTAAATGTCTAATTTCTTTGGTTTGGTTATAGTGCGACTAGATTTCTTTCTGGATGGTATGCTGCTATTGGCTTCTGGTTTTTGGTTGTTGAGTTGTATGGAGTGTTCTGGACCATTTTCAGAGGATCTCTGTTTTATGTGTCGTCTGTTTCTCCGATACGTTTGGTCATCTGATGTTCTGACGAGGTAAGATCTGTGTGGCAAAACACTGGAAATTATGCCAGGTGTCCAAGATTTGTTGTTGTCGCTTTTCTGGACGTACACCTTGTCGTTATGTTGAAGGTCTGGAAGCGGCTTAGCTGTTCGGTCATAAAAGCGTTTCTGTTGGGTTTGTCTGTTTTCTCGTGTGGCACATACATTGGCAGGATCTTGTATTTCAGGTTGGAGTTGTGTTTCTGTTACTGGGAGGATGGAACGTAGACGGCGACCCATTAGTAATTGTGCTGGGGAAGCTAAATTGTCTATTGGAGTCACTCTATATTCCAGAAGACTGATATATGTGTTTCCACCATCTTTCTTCGTTTTGTTTAAAATGTTCTTTGCTGTCTGTACACTTTTCTCAGCCAGACCATTTGATTGTGGGTACTTTGGACTAGACGTGATGTGTTTGAAATCCCAAGTCTTGGCGAAATTGTAAAATTCACTGGAGGAGAATTGCGGACCATTATCACTGATAACTATGTCTGGAATGCCGAAGCGAGCAAAGTTTGCTGATAGTTTACTGATCACTGCTGCTGATGAGAGAGAATGAAGTTTGTCGATCTCGAAGTATCGGCTGTAATAATCAGTGAGTACGATGTAGTTCTTGTTGTTAATGGTGAATAAGTCCGTGCATACTTTCTGCCAAGGTCGTGTTGGTATCTGATGTGGTTTTAGTGGTTCCTTCGTGTTGGAAGACTGTTTCTCGCCACATATTGTACAGTTGGTGACAATCTTCTCAATGTCTCGGTTCATGCCGGGCCAAAATAAGATGTCTCTGGCACGCTGCTGACACTTTTCTATACCAAAGTGACTAGAGTGTATCTTTGTCAACATTTCGGATCGTAGGCTCTTGGGAATTATTATTTTGTGTCCCTTGAATATAAGATTCTCCATGACTGTGAGTTGGTCTCTGTAATTCCAATATTCTTGTACCTCTGATGGGCATTTCTTGCGGTGTTGTGGCCATCCATCTAGAATAGTTGTTTTCAACTTGTTCATTTGTTGATCTGTTGTTATCTCTTTCCGTAGTTTTGACATTTTCTGATCACTAACTGGTAGGTTGGCTATTACGCTGTGGACTAGTAAATCCATTTCTTGAGACATGTTATCTGGTGGTATTGTGATGAAATTACGACTAAGTGTATCTGCTACAGGAATGTCCTTTCCGGGTACAAAGATAACGTTAATGTCGTATTTCTGTAGTTGTAGGAGCATCCGTTGTAAACGTGTTGGTGCTGTCGCTAATGGTTTCTTCATTATGGTTTGGAGAGGTTTATGATCAGATTCAACTGTGATCTGATGTCCGTATACCATTTGATGAAATTTTTTGCAACCAAATAGCACTGCATACAGCTCTTTTTCAATTTGAGCATAATTCTGCTCTGATGTTGTTAATGATTTTGAAGCGTATGCTATTGGTTTCTGCTCCTGCATAAGTATTGCTCCAAGTCCGTGTTTTGATGCGTCAACTTGTAGCGTGATATGTTTTGATGGATTGAAGTACGCCAGCACTGGTTCACTGGTGATTAGTTTCTTGACATGGTTTAAAGCGCTGTCATGTCTCTGATCCCAGTGGAATGCTATCGTCTTCTTCGTTAGTTCCCTTAATGGAGTTGTAATTTCAGAAAGTGAAGGCGAGAATCTGGCTAGGTAGTTGATCATTCCTAATATTGTTTCCAGTTCTTTCTTGTCTGATGGAGCCTTCATTTCGTCGATTGCCTTTACTTTCTCTGGATCTATTTTGATTCCATCAGCTGTAATAAGGTGACCGAAGTAGCTAACTTCTGTGGTCCCTATAACTAATTTGTCTGGATTCAATTTAACATTTTTCTGGCAACTTCTATTAAGAACTGCGAGCAAGTTAGCGTCGTGTTCTTCACGTGTTCTGCCGAATATTAATATATCATCTACGATCGCTATGCATCCGGGAATATCGCCATAGATTTCGTCAATCTTACGTTGAAAAACATCTTGAGCTGAGATGATCCCGAAAGGCATGCGCAGGAATCTGTATCTGCCGTATATTGAATTGAAAGTTGTTAGGTATGAAGAAGATTCCGTTAGCTTGATGTTCCAATAACCAGATCTAGCATCTAATTTGCTGAAAAACTTGGCTCCATTAAGTAAGGCAAAAGCATCATCAATAGTTTTAAGATGGTAATGAGGTCTTTTAATCGCTCTGTTTAGGTCCAGAGGATCCAGGCATATTCTGAGTTTTTTGCTGTGTGGTTTTTCTACCACGACTAACGAATTTACCCAATCTGTAGGTTCTGTAACCTTTTTAATGATGTTATTCTTCTCCATATTATCAAGTTCATTCTTGAGGCGATCCTGTATGGAATGTGGAACTCGTCTCGGAGCATGTACTGCTGGGACGGCATTATCTTCGATTTGAATTGTGACTTCGCCATCAAATTCGCCAATTCCTTTAAATATATTTTTGTATTCATTCAAAACGGATTCACGTGAGAGTGGAATCGTTGCTTCTTCGAGAGAAAATATGAATTTTACCAACTTCATTTTGGTTAAGAGAGGCAAGCCTAGTATGGGAGGACCTGTGGTATTTATGATGTAAAATTTATCAGTGGCTGATTTGGTTTTATAGCTACACTGTAAATCTATGAATCCGTGGACTTTTAATTGTTGTCCTGAGTATCCGGTGAGTCGCTCTTCTGTGTTCTTCAATAGAGGGGGGTTTGGAATTTTCTGGAAATGGTCGAATGGTAGGACATTGACTTGAGATCCTGTATCAATTTTGAAAGTTGTTGTTTGCCCTTGACCTATTTCCAATTTTACAAAAGCTTGGTCTTTTGGTGTCCCTTTGCCCTCTATAGAGTCAATATATAACTCGCTGACATCAGTATCCGAGTAGCTGTCATCATCCTGATCTATTGTGTGTATCTTTCTGTGATCTCTGTAATTGAAAGAACCAGAACGGCAAACAATTGCAAAATGATGCCATTTTCTGCATTTCAAATACTGTGATCCTTTTGCTGGACATCTTTGATGTTTTCCGTGCTGTTGACCACAGAATGAACAGCGTTCATCAGGTTGTCTGGAACTCTGATGTGATCGTTGCCTTTGGCCTTGTCTTCGGTTTCGGTTAACATCACTGTGTTGCGATCTGTCAGTGTGCTTATGTCGGAACTTTGAAATAGCGTCTACTGTTTCTAGAGATTGCTGTGGCTGTGCTTTGGAGCTTGACATTGATTTAAGGTGAGATTGTGTTATTTCATGTGAACGACATACGTCTATAGCCTTTGTCATGTCCAACGTATCTCCAATATCGAGAAGTTTTTCCCTGACTTTCGAGTGCAGGATTCCACAGACAATTCTGTCTCTGACCATTTCTTGGGGCTTATCATAGGCACAGTCTTGAACCAAGAGCTGCAGGTCTGTTGTAAATTGTTCTATTGTTTCCCCTTCATGTTGTATTCTTGTCTGAAATTGATATCGGGCGAATAACGAACTTGACTTTGGGGTCACATACGAGTCAAATTTATCTAGAACTGAATTTAAACTTGCTGCTTCTTGTTCTGTAACTGTGAATGTGTTATAGATATCTCTGCCTTTCTCACCGGCCCAAATTAAAAGGTACGCACACTGCTCAGCCTGTGTTGCTTTCTTTAATGGTCCCATAAACATCAAACGGACGTGTTGCTTGAACTTTTTCCATGCTTCGGGAAGGTTCTTTGAACTCCAGTCTACGTTAGGATGCGGTGTAGAGGACATTGTTTTGCTAGTGTGTGTAAATCAGTTATGGCGCCGAAATTAGTGAGTTTGACAAAAAATGTTCCTGTATCTTAATTCCGCCCCATCTGTCGGAAATTCGTATTTTATAATGAGGAGTGAGGATTTCTTTTTAGTTTTGATCCATTCTGACACCATGTTTCATGATTGTACGGACGATGTGGACGGATTGGTAACACTGAGATATAAAATACACTATTTATGGTTCAGCCATCTTTAATCAACGAACTTCCTAAATGGAGATAACTCTATTCTGCTATAAGCCAGGAGGGGTTATCTCCCATTTTACATGTTAATACTAATACATAATAAAGAGTACAAGGAAAGCTTGTACATCATATTACAATATATAAATGATGATTTGTGTTGGGGAACAGGGGGCAGAGAGTCTACTCTTTTTTTTTTGCTTTAAAATGTCGGCCATCATTTTTCAGTGTTTGGGCTTTGCTCCTGAATTGGTGAAAGTTTTGTCAGGTGGATTGGATCCAAAAGAAGCCTGTACTAAAATAAAACTCTGTGATGGTTTGTACAATTATTATTATATAGTTCATAACCAGAAAAGTATGATTTTGTAAAGTAATAATAATATTATATAAATATTGTATATATTTGGTAATAATATTATACATCTGGTAATAATATTATAAATTTTGTAAAAATATAATATATTTGGTAATGATATTATAGGACAAACTAAAGAGAAAGCTCCTGTTCAAACTAAAGATAATATAGATGTTAAGGTAAATTTTTAATTTCATACTTGCTGGAATTGTTGGCCAATTATAAAGTGGTGCTATATTGATATTCTGAGTTTGCATTGATTTTATTTTTCATTTTACCCAAATCTATTAAACACTATTAAAGAGAAATCATATTAAAAACCTTTTCTATGAAACAGTTATTATTGATAATTCTGCAGTCTTCTGTATTACTTTACAGAATAACTAAGAAATATGAAATTTTGTTCATTATCTAGAAAATAAATTGTAATTTTATGTTTTCAGGGACCTGGATGTCAATTATGTGAGTTTGTGGTTCAACTTATTGACGGATTCGTTCAACAAAATTCTTCTGAAGCAGCCATTAATGCTACAATTTATAAAGTCTGTAACTCATTACCTGATCCAATTAAATCTACAGTAAGTTATTACTTTATACAATAAGTTATTGCAATCTACAGCACATCACTACAATCTACCTACAGACCAGTTTTGAGCTGTTTTGGGTTTTCCAAATGCTAAAGGGTTATGTCATTACAATCTACAGTAAGCTATCAGGATCTAATTAAAGTAATTTATTACAGATTACAGCAACCAATTACAAATAAGTTCTGTATTTATTTTCAATTTACTGTTAGGTTAAACTTATATACTATTCAAAAAAAGTAGGGGATATTTGATTTTGGGGGCATAATACTAAAATATGCAAATGACTACGAAAAAAGTCACTATAGAACCTAACAGAAGAAACATTTCCAGTTACATGTGACGCCCAAACGCACCAATAGCTACCGCATGGAATGCAGGTGATGCTTGGGATCATCATGGGGGTCCAACCCAAGATTTGCACGACTCTGACTTTGAATGTTACAGTCATTGTGGCATTGAATTCCAGGGTGGAAACATCAGTTTAATTGTTTAAGTGACCAGAAATCAAATTTTGATATGCGTCGGCTTACCCAAAATGAAAGGTTACGTGCCCTTGGCATGCTACAGATCGGCACAACACAGGCGGTTGTGGCGCGGACGATGAATGTTTCTCAGTCTGTCATAAGCAGGCTATGGTCCAGATACCGTGATACAAAATCTGTACAGGACAGACCACGCTCAGGTCGACCAAGGGCGACAACTCAAGCCCAGGATCGATTTATCCGTACCTTGGCCTTGAGAAATCGTGTCATCACAGCAAATCAGATCAGCGCTCGTCTTCAAACAGACACTGGTGTGAGAGTGAGTGGCCAGACGATTCGGAATCGACTGCATAGGGGTCACCTTCGCGCCCGACGTCCTTGCGTGATCCCTTGTTTGAGAGATCATCACATTCAGGCAAGACGTCGTTGGTGTAGGGATCGTCAACACTGGGATAATCGACGCTGGAGCAATGTGATGTTTTCAGATGAGTCAAGGTTCACTGTTGATTTTTTGGACAGACGTAGGAGGGTGTGGCGTCGTCGAAACGAGCGCTTCCAAGACGTTAACGTCATCAGACATGATCGATTTGGGGGTGGTTCTGTTATGGTGTGGGGAGGCATCACTGTTGCTGGAAGAACGGCTTTACATGTTGTTGCAGGGCGTGTTACAGGCCAGTACTACCGGGACAACATCTTGGCAGTCCATGTTGTGCCGTTCGCACGACGTCATGGCCGCCGTTTCATCTTCCAGGATGACAACGCAAGATGTCACAGGGCCAGGATCGTTACAGGTTACCTCCAACAACAGAACATCACCACATTACCTTGGCCAGCACTGAGTCCCGACCTCTCCCCCATCGAGCATGTCTGGGACATGCTTTGACAGAGGTTACGTCAACGTCAACAACGTCCTGCCAATGTCCAAGAACTTGCTGCTGCGTTGCAACAGGAATGGGACAATCTGGACCAAAATGACCTTAGACGTCTCATTAGGAGTATGCCACGTCGGATCAATGCTTGTTTGGCAAACAGAGGAGGATTTACCCGTTACTGACTTGGTTGTGATGCTGTGGTAACTTTGCTGTTTGACCCCGGGTATCATTTTACCCTTATAATGGTCAGTCTGTGCCTTACTTAGTCTAACGATCATTTGGAATAAATCGATGAATGTGAACTTCATTTCATTTTGTCATTTGTTTCTTCGTCAGTTTCATTAGGTGACTTTAATAACACTTAAAAATCAAATATCCCCTACTTTTTTTGAATCGTATATTTTAAATTTAGTAATAAAAAACTGGATGTGACACTTTTAAATGAAGCTTTTTAACAAGTTCAGTTTCTTTCAGTGTTTGGGCTTTGCTCCTGAATTGGTAAAAGTTATATCGTCAGGTTTAGATCCAAAAGAAGCCTGCACTAAGATAAAACTTTGTGATGGTGTGTAAAATTTAATTTTGGTTAATATTTTTGATACAGCTTCCACAACTTTGTTCAAATAATCTGATGGAAGTACAGTTCTGTTTAATTTTGTTATTGAACAGTTCTAATTGAAATACTGTGACAAGAGACACCAGGCATATTGCAATTATTTAATTATCATATTAGGTGACTTGAATTCCATTTTTTTGCCACAGATGACCAATGTCATTAAAAGATTATATCATGTTTTTTTTTATTTCAGGTCAAACAAACATACATAATGTACAAAAAAAGGTAAAGTATGTACAAATTGTATAAAACACCCTTCTCATCATGGGTTAATGACTGTGATGCTTATAGAGCTGTGTGTCTGTATATCTCTGCAATTACAAGATCCCTAGGCCATTGAAATTCAGTTCATGACCTTCAGCAAATAGACTGTTCATTGCCAATGTAATCTTAATTATAAGATATTTTTATATATTATAAACCCCATTAATTTCCTTTTACATTGTATATAAATGATCAAATATTTATAGATTGCAAAAGTGCAGAAACAGATATGTTTTAATGAATAAAACTGTTTATTTCCGTTATTATCCTAGTTCCATGCAACTATCTGAAGCTACGTAATACTTTTTCATACATATACCAACTTTTAGTTTTCACATAGGGTTGGCCATAAGTCTCCAAATTCTAAACTGGTTCATTTATTATAGGTATCTAGATATTAACCATATATTTCAGGTTGGAAATGCTGGTTGTGAATTCTGTGAATTATTGGTGAAACAAGTTGACCAAATTTTACAAAGTAATACATCAGTACCAGCTATCAACGCTACCTTAGATAAAATCTGCAATTCTTTACCTCCTACTTTTAAAGCTCTGGTAAGTTCCTTCATGTCTTCTTTTATGTCTTCTATGTGCAATCAATACAATATTTGGATCAATGCATTTTAGTATATACATATATTGACAAGTTTACCAGACTATAAAAGTAATTAGCCTATAGATAAAGTTGTGATTAAATTTATACATCTATCTTTTCGGATGAGGTGGTTGAATTGTCTAATTGAGTCAAGTAGCGTGGTTTTGATCTCAAGTTTGTATATGACAAGGAATAGGCCTCATGTTTCATCAAACCACTGAAGACATCCTATTTACAAGCAAATTATTGAAATAAAATTGTATGATATGTTAGTCCCGAAGTGACCTAGTTTGTGTCAAGTGGATGTTACACTATACCTTTCCACTTCTTTTCCCCCCTATAGTAAATCAATATCTAACAATATTTCAAGCCAATTTAATCGTAGTAAAGAAACAACACTTCATCAAACTATTTGACGCTTTGTAGATTAGTGAATCCTCTGCAAATAGATCACAGCATTCAAGCATTAACCAGTTTTAAATCTTAACAGAAATAACACCTCTTGCTTTCTGTGTTAACACATTCGTCTTCATGATGTCCAAGGTATAAATTCCAAATGTGGAAAATGCTGATTTGACTCGACCATTGAGTTAACGCAGATTTCTTTTTTTTTTTAAATCTCTGATTTGTTTTATTTAAATCTCTGATTTGTTTTATTTAAATCTCTGATTTGTTTTACAGATAGTATGAATTAATAGAATTATTTTATTTCCCAATTTAATTTAGTGTGAAAGCTATGCCCCAGCTTTAGCAAAAGCACTAGAGAATGGTTTTGATCCTGTTAAAGCTTGTTCGGATATTCGTGTATGTCTTGATGGTATGTATTATGGTAATCATGTTATAAAAATACAGCATAATATAATACCTGTATAAAATTAACTAGGAATTCTACTTCCCAGGATGTTATTACTAAGAACAAAAGATAAGATAGCTCTGATCTTTTTATTTCAAGATTCTGAAAAGAGAGAAAATGAATGGAAGTATGCTGTCTGTGATGTCTGCCATTCCGAAATGAAAATTATATTCCCAGAGGTATTTTATGTTTTATTTAGGCATAAACTATATAATTAAGACCTGTTTCCTTACATAGAACAGTAAAATTACCTTATTCCAGGAATTACTGCTATTCAAGCTAGACATTAGTTTTTGGAAGTTTAAATTCAAATGAAAAAGATATATTAAGTAGTGCCAATATCAGATATGTTGTGATTCTGGAAGTTTATTTTTAAGTGTAGGCTGGCTAGCTGTGTATGAGGAATGTGTTATCCATATTATTCATGTTTTATGTTAAAGGATTATAAGAAATGGTGCCTACCTGCATGTGATGTTCTAAAGAATGATAATACACCCATAAAAGTTGTGTCACATGTTGCTGACAATGCTGTTCGAAGAGTTGAGGTAAATGAATTATCATAAAACTTCAAGAATCTATGGAATTCCCATGATTCTGTACATAGCGTTTACATATTGAGTTAATTTGTTATGTTCATCATCCACTCAAGACATTAATATAATACTGTCTGACACCATAGTATATTAATTCTTTGAACTTTAATAAAGCAGGAGCATATTACCTATGAGACAGGTCGACAACATTACTTTTGGTTGATATTAATATAATAATATCTGACACCGGAATATATTATTTCTTTGAATTGGTTTCAATTTCTTGTGTATAGTAACTGTACTAAAGGCAGGAGCACATTACGTATGGGACAGGTTGACCACATTAATTTCGGTCAATATTGCAACCTGATCTTTAACCTATGTTACTGAACACCTGAACTATAATTGATTTCTATCCATGAACATCATGATCAAGATGGTATCTAATGTACAATTTAAATAATGAAATTATTCGCCATCAGTTGCATTGAGACTTTAAACATGGATCTCTGGATATAATCCATCCCTTAACCCAAAATTATTTGAATAAAATTATTGCACTTGGATCTCACTGGTATTATTTTGGATTCTTGTTCTCATGCCTTATAATATGGTTATTTTTTTAAAGGAAAAAGGTGTTGGTTGTGAATTGTGTAAATTGATCGTTCAGGAAGTCGATACCTATTTAGAACAAAATCGTTCTGAGGCTGCTGTTAATGCTACTTTATATAAAGTGTGCGATAGTCTACCTGCTGCTTTCAAAACTCTGGTTTGTATTTAGAATAAAAAGAGCAAGATTGCATTTTCTATATGCCCACAAATTCATATTGCCATCACCCCAAACTGTCTGTCCAGCCATCTCCTTGTTATCGCTTTAGAGGTGAGAGTTTTCTTTTTATGTTTGCTGGACTACTCATGGACAAGAACTCTTACCAGATGCATAAGGGGCATTAACTACTTGCAGCGTTATAGTGCTCGTTGTCTATGGATTGTTCTTGAGACTTTTATTGGTAATTTCTTGGGATTTTTTGACAAGTCATAAGGATGGAATTCAGAGTTTCCCAACAGTTGCTTTGAGATTTGTAATCAGTCAGAATTTTGGAAATTATGTTCTTTTAAACTTGCTAGGATTCTGTAGAAATGCTTTTTAAAACTTCAAGAAATTAAAATGATGACCACCTTTATATTTCGGATGATTAAACTCCTGATTACCTCTTTTTTAATTCTTAAATATTAATTGTAATAGTTTTAACCACAGTCTACAATGTAACTTAAAGTCTTCAAGTTTAGCTCAGGACCTCTGCTTCGTTTAATTGAAGATAAAATAAAGTATTACAAAACACTTGTGTAGATCTATTAATGTTATATTGTTTTATTTCTAGTGTTTGGGATATATACCTACTTTAGAAAAAGCTTTACGCAATGGTTTAGATCCTCTTCAAGCATGTACAGAAATTCACGTCTGCACAAACAGTCAGTAATTTGATAATTTATATATACTGAGACACAATGAAAACTTACCACTGATTTGACTGGAAGAGCTGAAATGCAATTTTTGGCAAGGTTGTAGACACAAGATAATCAACCAATAACAACTGTACATTGAATACTAGGCACAGGGGGTAAAAATCAAAAGTCAGTAATGCATTGCAACTGGTTGAAGAGAAGTATCTTTGCTATCGTGGTGACGTGGTGATGTTGTCACATTCCTATTTGAAAGACTAGAGTGTTTCTCTTAAACAAGATATACAATCATTTGGTTGTTAAAGTGGTGTGCTTTCATTGCATCTCAGGGATAAATATATTATTCAAATTTAATGAAGTGTAAAGTGTATGTAGATTAGATTACACCATATCAGAGCTGTTATATCAGTGATTACACAATATCAGAGCTGTTCTATCAGTGATTATGATTACACCGTATCAGAGCTGTTCTATTGGTGATTACACCATAAAAGAGTTGTTCTATCAGTGATTACACATCAGAGCTGTTTTATCGATGGTTACACCATATCAGAGCTGTTCTATTGGTGATGACATGATATAAGAACTGTTCTATCAAAGAGTACACCATATAAGAGCTGTTCTATTGGTGATTACTCCATATAAGAACTGTTTTATCAGTGATTACACCATATCAGAGCTGTTCTATTGATGATTACACCATATCAGTGCTGTTCTATCGGTGATTACACAATATCAGAGCTGGTCTATCGATGATTACACCATTTAATTCTATCAGTGATTTGGTAGTTTTAGTGAGCTGACACAGTTACCAGTCAGTCATATAATTAATAATGGCTACAATAGCAAGGGTACCTTGATAGTAATCTGATAGCAGTAGAGATCTTTCTGAAATTCAACTTGATTAACTCTTTTTATTTGTGAGTAATACCAGGCCCGGCGGAGTGGGGGGGCTAAGGGGGGCTAAAGCCCCCCCCCCCCCCCCAATAATTTGGCTGCAAGTACTCTTTTCTCCAGGTTATTACTGCCTCTGGACCCTTGCCAATAAGGACCTAGGATGGAAACCCCTCCCCAAATCAAGAATTGCTTCCGCAATTGAAAAGAATGTTTGGTTTATTTAAAATCTGTGTCTAATAGACTGTGCAGCACTAACTGTCCAATACAATAAAAATAGAACAATCTAAATGTGAAATATAATGGCAAAAACCCTTCACATTTACATAAAATAATATAATTATTAAGGACAAAATGTCAAGATGCAAACAAAATGATCAGCTAGCCTACATGAATCTGTCAATGGATATCACCTCCATAATAGCTGAGAAGGTTGACAAAGGTTGCAGAAAGAGTAAGCAAACCTGCTTTTTATGTGACACCCATTGCTACTTGTAGCCATGAGTTTATGGAAGAAATAGTGCCCTAATTAATAATTTGTTGCAGGTACAATGAGTCGAATAGTGAGGAGTACAGAAGGATTTTCTTTTGGTGAAGTCAAATGTGATTTATGTAGAGACATCATGAGATCTTTAGATACAGATGTATTTAAAGATGAGGTATAGGAATATATATTATTATTCATATTTAAAATACAGATGTGACGTCATCCTTTGATGTTGGCGTACCATTATTTCCAATAATGTACAGGCAACTTGCCTATTGTACATTATCTATACTAGATGAAATATTGAACTCGCATGACATATTTCATTGAAAAGCACGTGCGGGATAGTGTCTGTATTTTAAGTTGTTTAATGGTCTTGAGCTAAAGACATTGCGTAATATATTGAAACAACAATCGGCTAACGCCTCGGGCAGTATCAATATATTACTTAATGTCTCCCTCTCGACCATTAAACCATACATACAGTATCTTCACATTAACATTTGCTAATCAACTTGCCAAATGGAAACTGGAATTTAAAGTTAAAAGTGCTTTCTCAATGATTTTTGATCAATCTAAGTCAAAGAGAATAATAAACTTTATTTTGAAAATTAAATTTCTCCAAATCATGTAGCCATTCAAAATGTTCATCCAACAAACAAGTGTATCCGTGTGACAAATTTTGTATCATTTATCCCTTGAGAAAAATTATCATACAACAGATTTCATCAAAGTATGTTCTTAGTTTGATACTTGAACACTAAATTTAAATGCCCAGTGAAAGCTTATGAAATAAATAACTTATTCTTCAGGCGACAGTAAAACAAGGTATTGATAATATATGTGATCGTTTACCACAACCAGCTAAAGATCAGGTCAGTGATGCATTTTTCAGAAAATTTCAGTTTGGCCAGTTTTCTGGCTCAATATCCAAGTCTAGATTGTTGATGATTATGGGTTTGTTATGTGAATAAATGTCTAAATAATAATATATATAACATTTAAAGCCATATGAATGTTCTGCAGTAGGCAAACTTAACCTTACATGAACCCTGGTTACCACTTTCCATTTACAGAGTATAGCTCATGTCATCAATCAATATTGCTAAATACATCCATTGGAATTTGTGTTTTATCCTCTCGTTAGATTTGATTGTGGTTGAGTTTTACTTTAATGAATATTTCAAGTGTATTGAAGACTGCAGTACTATCGGACTTCTTTCCTTGTTGTGTTTGTTTTCTTCGTGATCGTAATAACACTACAGAATAAATGGTTGATACAACTTTATTGTTAAGCTGTAATGGCTGTGAAGGTGCCTCGTTCTCAATTATAATAGCTGCTTGGAATATCTAGGTGAGCTCTGCCCAGTCTCGCTCAACACCCTCTTTTATAACCCCCTAATTTCTGCACGTTCTTGCTATTATCTGATGACATGGTGGAGCTGGCAAGAAACTTCATTATCTCTTTGATCATGTAACGTGGTAGATTAATAAGTTTTTTGTATGTAATATTGAAAATACTGGACAAATCAATATGATATGTGTTATGATGAGGAAGAAACAAATGAACAAATACAGGGTAATAGAGATTGACTGGACCTAGTTGTTGGTGACCATTGTATCATGGTTTCTTGATACCAAACGTCAACTTTTCAAATCAAAATCTCAACTATTACTCCGTTAGGTGGGGACAGATACAGATTCTCTTTCTAGAGCACCTTATACCACTTCTTGTTTAGATGGGAAGATTACACATATAACTAGGTACCTTTGTATTTATAATTGTTTCTTCTAATTCAGGATTTTTTTTTCTTTTTAAGTGTCGAAATGAAGTCGATCCAAACTGGAAGAAATTCTGGAATAATCTTGTAAATGTTGTGGCATCCCCTGACCATGTGTGTGATCTTCTTACCTTGTGCAAAAAATCATAACTCATAATAACATGATACATTTATTAAGATTACCTTGTGTATTAGACTATAGTACTAAAATCACTAACATTGTTTTGTAGAATGATGAATATATTTCTGGATTGAGCTTATAATAATATTAAGTATATTCTATGTTGAGTGATGCTTGTTTGTTATTTCAACTAATAAAGAATTACATTCATGATCTGATTTAGTTTACTCAATTAATTACATAATTATTCAATAATAAAAACACTCGAAATGAGAATATTTATAAAATGTTATAATGGAATTATTGGAATAAATACATGTCACGTGTCCGTATACAATTTCTTGTGTATACTGATGTATACTCTGAATGTCAGAGTTTTGAAAAGTTTTTTGTGCGCCCATATTTTCAGGTGGACTTATATTACCTCTAGAGGGACCACAAGCTAAAAACATGATTTTTCGTACAATCAGGGGCCGTATTCCAGGAAGTTAGGATCTGATATGTGCAAATATCAAAAGGAACCAAGTTCTTTGGGTTATAAACATACCTTTCAAGTTTATCAAAATCGGTCAAAAATTGCAATAATCCGCAAACTAAAAACGCAATTTTTCAAACAATCAGGGGAATAATCCATCCACAAGCTAAAGAAACAATTTTTCGTACCGTCAGGGGTCATAATCCATGAAGTTATGGTCCCGGATACAACCAATATTGAAAGGAATCCAGATCTTTGGGATATAAATATATATTTCATGTTTCGTCAAAATCTGATAAAAATTGTGACCTGTACATTGTCCACAAACAAAATGTGAATAGACGGACAGACAGGGATAACGACAAAATAAGTCCACACGAAAATGTGAACATATAAGAATTTAATGTTTGATTAAGTATGAAATGTTTCAAATTTGAGCAAAATTGAGATGGGACGCCAGTCACAAAGTTTGTTGTGTCAGAAAAAAGTTCTATCGCTAATCACACAACCCAAACATCTAATAATAGGGCCTACTGGAAGTGTGAGTATGAACTTGGTGACAATACAAACCACAATATAATGTGTAAAATAATTACAATCTTTTAAGGATGAAAGTTATGTTAATACAAATTATCCAAAAATTAAGCTCTATGAAAACAATGGGTACATTTCAAATATAATACATCTTTACAGTACAATACCCAGTACTATTAAAAATTTCAGCATAAAGGTATCACATATTACATTTTAATAGGAATTGTCATGATTTCTTGTACACATATCTATGATAATATTCCTAATTTGATAAGATGGTAACTTAAACTTAAATCAATAAGATTTGTCATCTCATGAACTTTTTACACTTCGAAGTGTGAATATATTTCAAGTCAATTGGTTAATAACTTTAATCTCTACATTGTCCACAAGATTTAAAAAATTGAACAAAGGCAATAACTCTAAAGGTAATTATCAGATAACTTTAACTTTTCGGGTTACCAGAAATTATTGAAAAACAATAGGTTTCTTCCTCTGGTGAACTTTAACACTGCGAACACCTTTCAAGTCAATCAGATATTAACCTTTGTCTCTAGAGTGTCAATGTCTCCAAGATTTTCCAAATTGATATACTGTTAATGTAAATGCGTATGCCCTATATTGGATTTTGATTCCATTCTTTTAAACTAATTTTAGATCTTTTGTAAGACTAGAATAAATACAAGGTACCACCACCTTATCATCATATTTTGCATGTTCTTTATCCAAACTCTTGAAGTCTAAAGCAATTCTTCTACAAGTATTAGTCAGGTAGTGAACAAATGGTTTATTATTAGAATAGTTATTGAATTCAGCACACAGACTTTGAATAAACCATGAACCACTAGTCATGGTGTATGACACATGACCTGTAAAATAAATTCAAAATTTGATAAATAGGATAGCATAATGTAGTCCAACTATATTTAAAGACAAAACAAAATCAAACATCATTTAATAGTACAATCATACTATGCAGACAGGGACTTGTTAGACCCCCCCCCCCCTTCAACATACAATATGCAAGAGCTTAATCTGCCTATTGCAGGTCTTTCTTAAGGCCTGAAATGTTATATAAATTATCAATTAGACATTAATTGACTTATTCAGACCATAATCAACTCTCGATGTCATCACTAGCCTGCGATATTTACTGGATTAGGATCCGATCTGCTGCTCAACTCTCATCATGATTAAATCAAGAAATGGATAATCGAGAAAATGTATTTTATCGTACTGACTTTAGTAGGCTGGGCCCAAAATTCAATCGCTAAATTCTCGGATAAGAATGGATCAATTCAACTGAAATTTTCAGCAAATTCCCTTTACATTATCTAGTTTTTAACTATTATAGAGAGAACTGCCAGCTCTTTATCTTATCTCCCATAATGTATCTTTAAAATGCCCACCAACAGCAACATCAAACTCTCTTGTTATTGAGGGGGAAACAATTCTGTGATTTTGGATTAAGTTATTCACAAATGTGACTGGTTTTTTTAAAGTATTTTCTACTGAGCAAAGTTGGCAGACAGTTGAAAGCTTACAACTAATTGTTAGCAGGTGTAAATAGCTAGAAGCTGTTGTGTCTGCAATGTTTTGTATAGCTATTGGCTACTGGCAGCAAACACTGAAATATCACAAGTATTGGCAGAATTTTTTATTTGAAATAGAATAGGATTTCCCATTTATAACTCATCAGATCTGTTTTTATAATCAATAAATATATTTGAATATATACTATTCAAAAAAAGTAGGGGATATTTGATTTTTAAGTGTTATTAAAGTCACCTAATGAAACTGACGAAGAAACAAATGACAAAATGAAATGAAGTTCACATTCATCGATTTATTCCAAATGATCGTTAGACTAAGTAAGGCACAGACTGACCGTTATACGGGTAAAATGATACCCGGGGTCAAACAGCAAAGTTACCACAGCATCACAACCAAGTCAGTAACAGGTAAATCCTCCTCTGTTTGCCAAACAAGCATTGATCCGACGTGGCATACTCCTAATGAGACGTCTAAGGTCATTTTGGTCCAGATTGTCCCATTCCTGTTGCAACGCAGCAGCAAGTTCTTGGACATTGGCAGGACGTTGTTGACGTTGGCGTAACCTCTGTCCAAGCATGTCCCAGACATGCTCGATGGGGGAGAGGTCGGGACTCAGTGCTGGCCAAGGTAATGTGGTGATGTTCTGTTGTTGGAGGTAACCTGTAACGATCCTGGCCCTGTGACATCTTGCATTGTCATCCTGGAAGATGAAACGGCGGCCATGACGTCGTGCGAACGGCACAACATGGACTGCCAAGATGTTGTCCCGGTAGTACTGGCCTGTAACACGCCCTGCAACAACATGTAAAGCCGTTCTTCCAGCAACAGTGATGTCTCCCCACACCATAACAGAACCACCCCAAAATCAATCATGTCTGATGACGTTAACGTCTTGGAAGCGCTCGTTTCGATGACGCCACACCCTCCTACGTCTGTCCAAAAAATCAACAGTGAACCTTGACTCATCTGAAAACATCACATTGCTCCAGCGTCGATTATCCCAGTGTTGACGATCCCTACACCAACGACGTCTTGCCTGAATGTGATGATCTCTCAAACAAGGGATCACGCGAGGACGTCGGGCGCGAAGGTGACCCCTATGCAGTCGATTCCGAATCGTCTGGCCACTCACTCTCACACCAGTGTCTGTTTGAAGACGAGCGCTGATCTGATTTGCTGTGATGACACGATTTCTCAAGGCCAAGGTACGGATAAATCGATCCTGGGCTTGAGTTGTCGCCCTTGGTCGACCTGAGCGTGGTCTGTCCTGTACAGATTGTGTATCACGGTATCTGGACCATAGCCTGCTTATGACAGACTGAGAAACATTCATCGTCCGCGCCACAACCGCCTGTGTTGTGCCGATCTGTAGCATGCCAAGGGCACGTAACCTTTCATTTTGGGTAAGCCGACGCATATCAAAATTTGCGATCAGGTCATTAAAACAATTAAACTGATGTTTCCACCCTGGAATTCAATGCCACAATGACTGTAACATTCAAAGTCAGAGTCGTGCAAATCTTGGGTTGGACCCCCATGATGATCCCAAGCATCACCTGCATTCCATGCGGTAGCTATTGGTACGTTTGGGCGTCACATGTAACTGGAAATGTTTCTTCTGTTAGGTTCTATAGTGACTTTTTTCGTAGTCATTTGCATATTTTAGTATTATGCCCCCAAAATCAAATATCCCCTACTTTTTTTGAATAGTATAGTTGGTTATGTTAACTTGGGGTCGACCATCTATAAACTTTGAATTTCAATCTGACGTTCCTTTTGCCCTATTAATTACTGATAGTCGACAAATAAAGTGTAGCAGAATGCTAACCCTATGATTAGCATTCAAAATATTTTATAAATATATTTTCATTGCGATTGAGTTGCTTCTCATGACATAATTAACGTTTATAAAAAAATAAAATCCCAGACTGTTACACATTAACTCCTTACTGATGAGTGGAAGAATCCTTTTCTTTACAGTACAGGCAAGATCGGATCTTAGTGATAGGGTTGGAAACCAAAATAAAATATAAATAAAATATAGGTAAAATTCACTAAGTGAAGAACTTGACAAGAACAAGAGTTGTTTTAATACAGGACGTATTTCAGGTGCTAACCCTTTATCAACATTAAAAGGAAATAAAATAAATAATTGTAACAGTAATTACTATATTGGAGAGATTGGGTTGGCCTAGTGGTCTAGAGTGTCGCACTTCGACCTCTAGTTGGCCGGTCAGCTCTGGCTTGCGGTTTTGATCCCTGGTGTGAGCGTATCAGGGTTTGAAATGTTTGTAAAGTTTTACTTGTCACTTGGTCATTTCAAGTTGTCACCACTGATTTTCGTTTTTAATAAAAAAAAAAAATTAATAATAAATAAACTTATTGTATTTTAATTTCATTTGTAAGAGATGCTTACAATCAGACTCTGCGTTCACTTTAGCACATTTTGGCGGAAGTAATGAAACAAATGACGACCGTTTTCTCACTCGAGAATCTTCGCTATTCTATGGTGGCTGATAGTGGCCATGTTAAATCTCGCCCTTTTCATAACGCGACAACACGACATCACGACAGTATTGGCGCAATCATACGACACTTAACTCTGTCGTATCATCGTGTTATTTTTATCCTAACGTCGAGATGTCGACTTATTGGCATAGTCTCTTTCTACAAGTCAAAAAAATACAGCTGTACTCATTACACTCATTACATCAGATTAGATACAATAAGACTCGTCAAAAGAGATAATAGGAAAGTGTTGATTAATTATTCGTTTTCTCAAAAAAATGAAACATTTTGCGCCCAAAATTGAATTATTGGTATTATATTCAAAAAATCTAGAATTATAATAGCAGGACAAAAGTGAGTCAGCTATGTTAATTCCTTGAATAAGAAGTGGTGTCGGTAGGTATCGAACAAGCATGCATTGCCTCGTGTACGACACCCACCAATACTTATAGATTACTGAAGCGATAGTTTAGAAGCGATTTCAGAAGATTTCCAATTTATTTTATTAGAGTGGGAAGGGGATTATATAAAACCTCAAATCAGATCACAGAAAATCACTGCATTGGTGTAGCACGCCATCCCAATAAGTGCAGGGGAGGTTTTTTTATGAGGTGAAGAAAGCGATTTGCAGCTGTTATTGACCTTATCGCGTATTCATCCGTTTGGCATCACTAATGGGATCGGGGCCTAGATGATTAAAAATAGGCCCAGTATTGCCTTCAGCTATGAACACACTCCGAAAGTCCCCTACGCACCCCCCCCCCCTCTTATTTTGTTTAACAAATAATTTCGGAATCAATAAAATGGCAGGTCCCTATCAATGATGTTTGATACGACTGGAAATTAATGTGTCTAAAATTGATTAAACAACATAGGGTAGTAAATATTACATTTCGAATCCGTATCAATGATACATTTACTCAAAATGTTCCTTCTAATGGATCACCATTTAACTTGAAAACAAGGGAAGCAGCCGATCGAAGAAAAAAAGATTTTAAAAAACAAGTTTCAATATGACAGTCGTGGTTCGGTCATGCATTTACATCCGTGGGTGTCATCCTTTCTTTGAAAGTAATGATTGTGCCAAATTTGAACAAAGTCCATCTAGATTCGCGGCCTGTAGGTAAAGTGTTGACAGATAAAACGAAAAAAAAACCAGACCTATAAAAATATATTTTCTAAAACTATTTTAATTTTGAAATTATATTATTTTCACATTTGCCAAGTGTTTTAGCGAATAGTTATAGAAAGGGTCTTGTCGATTAAGACTATAGCGCATGTGCAATGTGCAGTTTTAAACTTCCGAGACGACAAGTCGATGATACGACAGTTTCGCTTTTTGTCGTGTCGTCGTATCATCGACTTGTTTTGGCGATAAGTCGATGATACGACGGCACGACAAAATTGGGTCGATGACACGACAAAATCACGCGATCTTACGACAGTTTGTTCTGTCGTAAGATCGCGTGATTTTGTCGTAAGATCGTGTGATTTTGTCGTGTCGTTGTATCATCGACTTACAGTGGCGATAAGTCGATGATACGACGGCACGACAAAATCACACGATCTTACGATAAAATCGGGCGATCATACGACAGAACAAACTGTCGTAAGATCGTCTGATTTTGTCGTATCATCGACCTTATTTTGTCGTGCTGTCGTATCATCGACTTATCGCCACGACAAGTCGATGATACGACGGTACGACAAAACACTAAACTGTCGTATCATCGACTTGTCGACTTGTCGTCTCGGAAGTTTAAAACAGCACATGCGCTATAGTCTTTATCTACAAGACCCTTCTATAAATAAAAAAACAAAACTGACACAGTTATATGGGACAACAATCGCTGTTTTATTATACACAAGCACAACGTTTCGATAAGTATTCTCTTATCGTTATCATTGTGCTTGATAACGATAAGAGTATATTTATCTAAACGTTGTGCTTGTGTATAATAAAACAGTGATTGTTGTCCCATATAACTGTGTCAGTTTTGTTATGTTTCCAATTGCTAAATGCCACTAAGGATTATATTACCTTCTATAAATATTCGCTAAAACACTTAGCACATGTGAAAACAATATAATTTCAAAATTAAAAGAGTTTAAGAAAATATATTTTTATAGGTCTGGGGTTTTTTGGGGTTTTTTTGGTTTTTTTTTTACATTTGATCTGTCAACACTCTACCTACAGGCCACGAATCTAGATGGAATTTGTTCAAATTTGGCACAATCATTACTTTCAAAGAAAGGGTTGCACTCTCGGAGGTAAATGCATGACCGAAGCACTACTGTCACATTGAAACCTGTTTTTTTTTTAAAATCTGTTTTCTTCGATCGACTGTTTCCCTTGTTTCAAGTTAAATGATGATCTATTGGAAAGAACGTATTGAGTAAATCTACGCTATCACTAATACGGATTCAATATGTAATATTTCTCATTACTACCTATGTTGTTTAATCAATGCTATACATGTTATTTTTCAGTCGTATCAAACATCATTGATATCATTTTATTGATTCTGAAATTATTTGTAAAACAAAATAAGAGATGTGGGGAGGGGGGGGCGTATGAGGCTTTCATAGTGTGTAATCATCTAGGCCTCGATCCATTGTTTTTGGTGCTTGATATTTTGCGGGGGAGTCGCAGTGTCTAGGCAGGTAAGACGTTGGTTCGGTAACCCGAAAGCTGGGTGTTCGATCCCTTCATTGGACGAGAAAGTTCATCCAGATTTTCCGACGAGGTCTTGTCAGTTGTGCTGGACAGAGGGCCTGGCACGTAAAATATCCCTTGGTAGTTGGAATTCGATATAATGGTAGGCCACAGTGCGCTGTCCTGGCAAAATTTCGCTCATAGTATGGCGTATGCCCGTCTTCAATATGACAGTAGTGGTTCGGTCATGTATTTACACCCGAGAGTATCATCCTTTCAGAGGATCGCGTGGCTACGTGGGCAAGACGCTGGCTAGCTAGCCTGGAGGTCGGGTGTTCGATCCCATACTGATCAGAAGTGAATATTCGCTAGGCCTCTGATAAGAATGACATCGATGCGACTTAATGAGTCCCCAATATTAACATTATTCCTCCGACAAATTTAATTCTAAAAAATTTTTTTTTATGTATTAGAAAAATAAATAAAGACATTTGAAGTATTTGTAGGTAAAAAATATTTCCTATGTAGCGTAAATGGGTATTAAAATGAGTAAAAGGCATCATTCTACCCGAAGCAGTTACGTCTTATATAAACAATGCATGCGCCATTGGTCCAATGATTGACACCGCGTGACGTGATTGCATGTCTTGAAAACAGTCATCTTTTACAGAGATATTAGACGACTTTTTTCACAGATTGGTTCGATCCCTGCATTGGCCGACAAAATTCATCAAGATTTACCGGCGTGATGCAGGACGGAGGGCCTGACAATGACAGCTGTCTAGTCATTCGGATGGGACGAAACACCGAGGTCCTGTGTACACATTGGCGTGCACATAAAAGATCCCTTGGCAGTTGGATTTCGATATAAGAGCGGGCCGTAGCGCCGCTTCCCGGGCAAAATTCCCTCATAGCACACTGTATGGCGTATGCCCGTCGTCTTTAGCCCAGCTTAGGAGAGAACAGTAGGACGTTAAACCCCATCGCATTTCATTTCATGCCATCCTGTCTTTGAAAGTAATGATTATGCCAAATTTGAACATCTAGTTCCGCAGTCTGTAGTTATACCAGAGGGTTGACAGATAACACCTTAAAAAAAACAGATCTATGAAAATATATTTTCTAAACCTTTTTTAATTTTGAAATTATATTGTTTTCACGTGTGATAAGTGTTTTAGCGAATAGTTGTAGAAAGGGTCTTGTAGATTAAGACTATAGCGCATGTGCAGTTTCAAACTTCCGAGACGACAAGTCGACAAGTCGATGATACAACAGTTTGGTTTTGTCGTATCATCGACTTGTCGACTTGTCGTCTCGGAAGTTTGAAACTGCACATGCGCTATAGTCTTAATCTACAAGACCCTTTCTGTAACTACATGTATTCGCTAAAACACTTAGCACACGCGAAAACAATATTATTTCAAAATTAAAAGAGTTTTAGAAATATATTTTTATAGGTCTGGTTTTTTCTTTGTTTTTTTGTACGTTTGATCTGTCAACACTCTACCTATAGGCCGCGAATGTAAACTGACTTTGTTCAAATTTGGCACAATCATTACTTTCAAAGAAAGCATGACACTCTCGAATGTAAATGCATGACCGAATCACTACTGTCATATTGAAATGTGTGTGTTTTTAAATCTTTTTCTTCGATCGCTGCTTTTCTTGTTTCATGTTAAATGATGATCCATTGGAAGGAACATATTGAGTAAATGTACGTTTAACTGATACGGATTCAATATGTAATAATATTTCTCATGTTTAATCAATTTTTGACATATTATTTTCCAGTTGTATCAAACATCATTGATACCATTTTATTGATTCTGGAATTATTTGTAAAACTAAATAAGAGACGTGGGGTGGGGTATGAGGCTTTTAGAGTGTATTCATAGTTGAAGATATTACTTGGCCTTTTTTTACTCATTTAGGCCCCAATCCCATCAGTGATGTCAAACGGATGCAAGCCTATATGCGATAAGGTCAATAACGGCTGCGAAACGTTTTCTCCACCTCATAAAAAAACTCCTGCATCTATTTGGGTGACGTGGAGGGGGGGGGGGGTATGAGGCTTTTAGAGTGTGTTCATAGTTGAAGATATTACTGGGCCTATTTTTACTCATCTAGGCCTCAATCCCATTAGTGATGTCAAATGGGGGAGAGAGAGAGAGAGAGAGAGAGAGAGGGGGTTTAACGTCCACTCGACACAAATTAGGTCATTTCGGGACTAACATATGGTTTAATTTTATTTCAATAAATCGTTTGCGCGTAGGGGTCTTTAGCAGTGGGAGGAAACCGGAGGACCCGGAGAAAACCCACGAGGTTTGACAGGCGACCCTACACCTTGTCACGTACAACCGGGGATTCAAAACCACGCCAGTTGACTCAATGACAGACTGCGAATCGTTTTCTCCACCTCATTCAAAAAAAAAAAAACTCCTGCAACTATTGGGGTGACGTGCTGCACTATGATAATGCTGTGATTTTAAAGAATGTGACCCGATTTGGGTTTTTTACAATCCCCTTCCCACCCTGTCTTCTGAAATCATTTTTAAACTATCGCCCCAGTCATCTATAAATATTGGTGGGTGTCGTACACATGGCAATGAATGCTTACTTGTTCGATACCTCCCGACACCACTTTTTCTTCAAGGAATTAACTTAGTTAACTCACTTTGGTCCTGCTATTGTAATTCTAGATTTTTTAAATATAATACCAAATATAATTCACTTGTGGACACAAAATGTTTCATTATTTTGAGAAAACAAATAATTAATCAACGTTTTCCTACTATCTCTTTTATATTTATCAAATCTACTACTTAGGCCTATATATGATGTAATGAGTACAGCTGTATTTTTGTGACTTGTAGAAAAAGACTAGGACAATAAGTCGACATCTCGACGTTACGATAAAAATAACACGATGATACGACAGAATAAAGTGTCGTATGATTGCGTCAATACTGTCGTGATGTCGCGTTATGAAAAGGGCGAGATTTAACATGGCCACTATCAGCCACCATACTATTCCGACTCGTTCGTTGTCCGCACGTTTCCGACCCATGGTGATAATGTAATTTGAAATAATACGGTATCCAATCAGGCATGCGTGTATATATTTTACATTCCAAATGAACCACAGCAAATGGAATTCAACAATCAAAATATTTAATTTTCTTCGGAAAGAATTTTCTAATATTTTATTTTATTTTTTTAAGACCAATGATAGGCTTTTATCGATGTATGCCGCCTGTTCGCCACATGGTTGTGATTGGCATTCAAATTTCAAGGTAATTAATCGTCAAGCAAGGACATATATACATGTATGAGATTAAAATTTTAAGATTTTTTCCGCCATTTACCCCAAAACATTATCGACAAAATTAAATTTTAATCACAACATCCATTTTAATATCGTAAATCGCCAATTTGATGACCTACAGCTGAGCCATGATTGCCATGGAGTTATGTAATGTTGACTGTGATTGGGTGATTAAAAAGGAATAGCCAATGGCATTATGGCTTTCACAGACTCAGTAGTGTTACTATTTTAATGCAAAGAAATCTTTCCCAGACGTATGGAGCGAACTTAAAAGGACCATATAAGTTTCAGTCTTGTTACTCAGGGAGAAATTCACCACCACACTACTATGGCGACAAGCGGACAGCTTGTCGCGTGCTGTTAAATAACGTCTTAATTTGTTTTAAAATGAAAAGTTCCCCTCTTCCAATTTTATTGGAATGGATAAAACAGACATACATTTTGAGCCTGAATTTTTATAGATATTATTCTAGTTGTCGCCGGCGACAAGTAGATTTTTTTCTACTTCAGTACTTGTCCATTGAAAATGTTACTTGGATTCGACAAGTAGACAAGCCTTATTTCGACCCCTGGAGCGTATGTGACGCTTTACCTGTATACTCCGGGTACTCCGGTTTCCTTCTACAGTAAAGACCCTCACGCGTGCGCCAAGATTATAAAAATAAAAATAAGAAACGGACATTAAACACTAAGAACAACAACAATAACCACACATTTTTATACTCTACCTGGTGGTGATGAAAACATAATTAGTGAATCTGTATAACAAGGACTGGGCATAATAATTAGTTGATTATCCATGTCTTCAGGCACAGGTCCAGTTCCAGACGTTCTTCCCTGTCGCCCATCCTCTTCTATTGCTATCGGTAATATGGGCTGACTATCAGAAATGCTTATTTCCTGATCATTAATGGCTTCGGAAGATATGCTTGGTACAGCATCTACTTGTGTTTTCTATTAAAACAATAGTTGCAAGACTTAAAGGAGCTAAGTCGCTAATATTTGGGAACTAGAAATTGACACAAATGGGTCGCATATGTAATATGAATGTATATAAATTGATTTATATTCAATCGTTTCTGTTTTTACTGTAATTTCTAATCTGTTAGGTTCGGCGAAATACGTCAGTATTCTTAATCTAATTTCAATCTCCAGCGTCTGGTTTTTCCAGTCTATGCTGATAGTATTTATTGGGCATGCTCTCCAGATGAGAATATAGTGTCACCGTTTGACATGACTTGTGGAATATGCCTAGCCTCGTTTTTCGAGTCCCTTATTACAAATAGCACTGTAACGCATTATGGTACACGATTCGTGTACCAATTGTAAAATGTTTATTTTGTCTTAAATATTGGATATCAGAAGGTTATCTTTTCCCTGTCAGATCATAACATCAATGTTGATTTAAAGCGACAAATAAATCGTGTTTTCAATGTCGAAGATTTTTGATGATATTGAGTTAGAGACTTAGCTACTCTAATAAATGCTACTCTGCCTTGTGATTGTAAGATCGGTTAAAACATATGCAGATAGCAGCTAAATCATATGAAAAGTTGACAAGGGTTGTCTAATATTTATTCTTTTGTGGGTGTTGAAAAGTTGACAAGGGTTGTCTAATATTTATTCTTTTGTGGGTGATGGAAGTGTTTATGTTTTTTTGTCACTTCAGTAAATATAACCTGTCACTCAAAATTATCCATAGGTACACAAACACTCTTAAATTGTTTTGATCCACATAAATATCGTGATATAAAACAGTTTTATTTCTTTGACTTGGCAGGACTAAAAATATCAATTATTCATTTTTCCTGTTGTTTTCTTGGAAATATTGACTTAAATTTTAATAGGATTCTTCCTAGAATTAACATAAACAACATTTCAATCAGATGGAACCCTAAAGAGGTGACAGCATCCTCAAGAATTTTCAGTGATCAAGTGCAATAACTCTGAAAGTAATTATTAGAAATCCGTAGGATTGTATCAATCACATGATAGCCTCTAGCGCGTCCACAATAAATAGGCCTTTTCTGCTAATGAACATTATAACAGTGTGCATAAATTTCTAATCATTTGGATGATAGCTTCAGCCGGGTGGAACGATTCACTCAATACTACCCAATACCACCTCAATATCGCCACACACTACCCAATACTACAACATAATGATGCTAAATGGGTATATTGCTTAATTTTTTTCAAAAATAGTGAGTTATATTGCGGGAAATGTACTTCAAATGCGATTATCGATGTCTGGCTGTTCCATTTGCCCCCCTATATCACCCAAAACATGCAAATAATAACCCAATACTACCGAATAGTTATCAAATACTACCCAATAGTATAAAATAACAACCTAATATCGTCAAATAGCAGCACATCAGTACAATTGCAACCGATAAATAGATTTTAGAGTGCTACTCAGATTAATCATAGAGTAGACTGTCATCCCCCATTCTTCGAATGATGTTGAACAAATATATCCAGGGGGGATTACCACCTAAATGAATAAACGCTGCACCTGGTTTCCTTCCACTGCTAACGAGCCCTACATGCAAGCGAATTATTGAAATAAAATCGAGTGGGCATTAAACCCCATTTCTCTCCCCAGGTTTCATCTCTATGTTAAACACCCCTTCGCACAAGTGAGGTAATGAAATAATATTGAACTATATGATATATCTCACTATTTTTGAAAAAAAAATCAAGCAATATGCCCATTTTGCACCATTATGTCGTAGTATGGTGTAGTATGTGGTGATATTGGGGTTGTATTGGGTAGTACTGGGTAAATCGTCCCACTGGCTTTAGCCTCTAGAATGTCAACAAGGAATTGTGAGCGTATAAAAATATGTAAATACCTCTTTTATAGTTTCCCTTTGACTTGTATTTTTTCCTAGTAGTTGAATATTTTCTCCAGCATCACTATCTTTACCACGACATGCCTTTAATTCAAAAGTATACATCATATACAATCTATTTAAAATCAGAATAAAGGGTGTTGGACAAGGGGGTTCGGTCCTTGCCCCTAACATTAGATTAATAACTACAACCAAAAAAGTGCTAACTAAAAAGATTTTGTGACAAAGGGTCATAACACTGGAGGCTGAAAATCAGTAGACTTCTTTATGTCAATGCAATAGAAAAACCATACCAATCACAAACAGATAAGTTGTCAAGTACAGCTTTTATAGTACTAACATGCAGATGATTAGCATCACAACAATATACAACAACGTTAATTATATCTGACGTCCGGTCCCCAAAAATCCTTGATCTGTGTTTGTTTAAAGTGAAGAACAGGCAATGAACTTTTAAAATGAAATGAAATGAAATGGGGTTTAACGTCCTACTGTTCTGCTCCGAACTGGGCTAATGAAGACAGGCATACACCATACAGTGTGCTATGAGGGAAATTTTGCCCGGACAGCGGCACTACGGCCTACTCTTATATCAAATTCAAACTGTCGAGGGATCTTTTACGTGCACACTGGACCTTGGTTTTTCACCCCATCTAACGACTAGACATCTGTCCTTGTCAGGCCCTCCGTCCTGCATCCCTGATCACTGACAAGGGGAAACACACCAGGAAATCGGGATGAACTCTCTCGGCCAATCTCCAGGCTAGCGAGCCAGATTCTTACCCATTTAGCCACTGTGATCCCCAACTTTTAAATTTAAAATAAAACTGATGAAATGATTTAAATTATTTACTCTTACCTGTACAAAGAAAAGCCGAGGTTTACCCTGTAAAGCAGGACAATTCTGACTATCAAAATAATTCATGATACGTTCCACTGATATTCTACTTTCATCAACACCATATATCATATTTTTTCTTTCGTGAGCATTTGTATAAAATTCACCACCATGACTTAAAATAACACAAGCAAAACAATCAGCCTCTCCATGAATAAAGTCCTTGCTTGCTAAAACATAAATAATACAATTTACTAATAGTAAGACAACACTACACAAAACAAAACCGACATGGCAAACATACGTACAAGACAAACTACAGAAACATTATTATATCATTATATAATTTTACCCGAGTCATATTATTAGCTAGGGGGTCACGGTGGGTAAGTAGGTAAGACACTGGCTCGCTTGCCTGGAGGCCGATTGTTCGATCCCTGCATTGGCCGAGAAAGTTCATCCAGATTTTCCGTCGTGGTTCCCCCTTGCCAGTGATGCAGGAGGGAGGGCCTGAGAAGGACAGCTGTCTAGTCATTCGGATGAGACGAAAAACCGAGGTCCTATGATCACATTGGCGTGCATGTTAAAGATACCTTGACAGTTGGAATTCGTCATAGTGCCGCTGTTCCGGCAAAATTTCCCTCATAGCACACTGTATGGCGTATGCCCGTCTTCATTAGCCCGGTTCGGAGCAAAACAGTAGGATGTTAAATCCCATTTCATTTCATATTATTAGCTCATCTGCTTTAATACATTGTAGTTTATCATTTACCTTCTTGAAGCGTTTTTCCTATTTGTCTGGCTTCAAGATTTTTAAAACATTTAACCCTGAAACCAAGATTTTTAAATGTTTTTTTCAGAGCCTTTCTATCAGCTGTACACCCAATACGCTTATGCGATTCATAAAATGTCTCATTCTGTATAACTACCATTAATCTCTTTCCACCTTTGTTTTCATATTCATCTTCAGAATCGGGCCCATAGAAGTCTTCCCAACTCACATGAGCATTTGGGTTACCAGTACTACAAAACAACATATGATTAATCAGCATGTCAGAAAAATATCTCCTTCATTATTTTCAGTTATCAAACTGTATACATGTAGAAGAGGCCCAATGATCTTAATAGCTCATTCATGGTTATTAGCAAGCGTGCTTAGAGGGTTTCATTCAGTGAGAATATGAATGCCTACAAAATAAGACATTTCCTTGACTAAATCAAATATTTTTTTTTTAGAATGGCATAATATGCTTTGAACAAATCTTTGTTGAAGCATTTAAAATGTCGAAATATGTCAGAAATATGCATCTGCTTTGCCCCTAAGGCCAAATCAACATCACTGAAAATATTTCATCTAAATAGGCAGAAGCATTGATTAAGTCATTGAAGTTTTTAACTCTTAGTCTACATATACAACAAAAATTAATACCTTTGTTTGACAGGTAATTTCTCAAATAATTCCTTGACTTTCTCTTTAATTTTCTTTGTAACTGTTTGTCCATCAGTTGCTGTAGATAACAAGTCAACAGTGAGGCAGATGTCCCCCGCACAAATCCCAAAATAAATAGATGACACATATTAATTAATCGCAAATGTATCGAGCAATCAAACTATACACCAAGTTTTATCATTCTCTATCAGATAGAATCAAGATTATCTTGTCCCAAAGCATCAACCAATGAAATTGATTAGCTCTGCTTAGCTTCGGCTCGAGATGTTAATCATTGAACTCAGTCAAGACATTCACCTAATGAACATCTACATCAAGTTTAAACATTCTAACTCGATTAAAAGCAGAGTTGTTATGTTCCAAAGTCTTGATCAATCAATCGCTCCTTAGCCTAAGCAGAATATTCTCACCATTGAACTTTGTCAAGGTAATGATATAATGAATCTATATTTGGAGTTTCATCACTCTCACTTCATTATAACCAAAGTTGTCGTGCCCCAAAGCATCAACCAATCAGATTGCTTATCTCTGCTTACCGTAAGCAGACAATGTTCATCATCAAACTCCATCAAGGCATTCACCTAATGAACGCCATTCTACCATAATTAAAAGGAGAGTTATTGTGTTCTAAAGTTCCGACCAATCAAATTGCTTATCGCTCTGCTTACCCTCAGCAGAAAATGTTCATTATCAAACTTAGTCAAGGTATTGATGTAATAAAGATATACACCAAGTGTTCTCACTCTCACTTAATTAGAACTAAAGTTATCGTGTCCCAAATCATCAACCAATCAAATTGCTTATCTCTGCTTACCCTAAGCAGAAAATGCTCATCTTCGAATTCCATCAAGGCATTGACCTAATAAAATATTAGTTTATTAAAAAGTATGGTGAAGTAGTTGTTTATGTTACATTAAAGGAGCTAAACCTCCATTGTTTTGAACCTTAATGTTACAATTTCATATTTTCTAAAAGACAGCGGCTAAATCGTCCGGGCAGTCAACAAGGGTTGTCGCATATTTTTACTTTTTTCGGTAATGAAACATTTATAATACACTAAAATCTGATTAAGAGCAACAACTCACTAAGTAATTATCGGAAAACTATTAGAATTTGTTTGGTTTTTATAAAGTTCTGCCCCATGCTAACGTTTTGTATGCAAAGCTTTTAATATCATGGATTTAGCTGTTCAAGTCATAAAAATTCATTGAAAATCAATATACTTGTTTGTCTCAAGATCTTAAACTCTGTGTATCAATCTGAAGTCAATCGGATGATAACTTTAGCCTTTAGAGCGTCACAAGATTTTGCAAAGTGATCAAGGGCCATAACTTTGGCAGTAATTATTGGAAATCGCTGAAAATCAATAGGCTTCTTCGTCTCATGACCTTAAACACTGTGTATAAATTGAAACTCAATCAGATATTAACTTTAACCTCTAGAGCATCCACAAGATTTTTTGAAGTGATCAAGGGCCATAACTCTGGCAGTAAATATCGGAAATCGCTGAAAATCAATAGGCTTCTTCGTCTCATGACCTTAAACACTGTGTATAAATTGAAAGTCAATCGGATATTAACTTTGGCCTCTAGAGTGTCCACAAGATTTTTCAAAGTAATCAAGGGCCATAACTCTGGCAGTAATTATCGGAAATCGCTGAAAATCAATAGGCTTCTTCGTCTCAAGACCTTAAACACTGTGTATAAATTTAAAGTCAATCAGATATTAACTTGTGGTCGCCGGACCGACAGACGGACTGACGGGGGCGACGACAATATATGACCACATTTCAATGTGGGCGTATAAAAAGTCAAAACATAATTATTTCTATGTCTTTTGCTCAATAGGTTGTCAACTCACTATTATACGATCATAGGTGTCATTCTCACACTTAAAACTCATTTACACCAGAAATAATAACACAATTACCTCCCTAGTTTTCTATTCTCCACCATGGAGTAGCTATCTTCAAACGTTTGAATTTGAAGATGAAAATGATATTTTTGCCAATTTCTCAACTGGCAATAGTGAATTATAGGATTAATAGGATTATTCTTTAACAAGGTAGGACTGTTTATAGATACCATCTATTTTAAGGCTTTATTTTAATAAATTTTAAAAATATAACTTAAAAATATGAAATTGCAACTTTAAACTGAATGTATATAAACTGATTTACATTCAATCTTTAAAATCTTTATTGTAATTTCCTATCAGTAATTTTCTGTGAAATATGTGAACAGTCCAAATTAAATGGCAGTCATTTGTGTCTGATTAGTCAACTCTACGAGTTTACCTTTTAAGTCATTTGTGGATCAGCCATTTCTAATTATTTACACAGTGATATATTTTTTGCTTTGCAGTTTGTTCATCGGGTTTTCTTATTACAAAGGGCACTCAAGACCATAGACTAAAACCTGCAGATATCACGAAATGATTTTGAAATGTTATCATGTATTAAATATTAGTAGCCCATACTCAGGGGCGTACATAATGATTTTGTTTGGGGGGGTGTTTAGCCAAAATGCGACCGACTGATGCACATACCCCCAGTACGAGTGACGCAGTCAGGAACTGCGCACCACAGGTGCGAGTTTTCTAGGGGCCATGTGCAGAGCAGATCTAGAAGCTGGGAATAGGGGGTGGGGTGGGGTGGGGTGGTTCCAAATCTAGGGCGCCATCCAAAATCCCACCCCACAATGAATGTCAACAAAATACTGGTTATAAGATTAAGCGTCCCATTAGAAAATAGACAGTATTGTATAATTATATAGTTGTTCGCCGATCGTTGTCTCGCCGGAAAGCAGTTTTATTTAAGTTGACATAAAGTTTATGTCATATATGATGATTGTGCCTATAACATTGAGCAACCTGAGAACATTTTGAAAAATTGAGTCAATATCCTAGCATTTGAGGTCATTGCTGGGAGAAAGTCTTGAGGACGAGAGGACCAAAAATGTGAGCCAATTTCAGCCAATGGGACAGAATCTCGAGATCTGCCCCTGTCAATTCCGCCTGTTTCGCAAGAGTTGACATAACAGTTGTATAGTCTGACGCCCCACGGCCCACACACCAGTATAACAGGGAGGTCACTATAATCATGAATATGATAGTGCTGAGACAGTATAAGAAACAGAGGAATAGAAGAATAATGTTATAATGAAATTGAGCGAAGCAGGCGCGAAAAAAATTCAGATATGTAACTGAGCTTTTAATTTTTTGGAATTAGTCATTGTCATGGCAAATGGAACCAAATTCTCGCTAACAAGAGGATAAGAAATGAGACAGAATCTTGTGGCCTATTTGTCTGAGACCGACTGCGGTGAGTACTTTTTTTTGAGACCGACTATTTTTTTGCCATGAGGGAAAAGCATTTCATAGAACAACATACTCACAACATTTTTTCAAACATGACAAGCAGACATGGTTATTTTATACTATAGTTTTGTGTGACGTATGCAATTTAGGCTCATGGATTCACACAAATACATAGTATTTTGGATCTATTCTGGCATTGTTTGTTTACCTCATTAATTCATTGAGTCGCCGATGCATAATTTTGAGACCGACTGCAGTGACTGCACTTATTTTGAGACCGACTACTTTTGACCCTGGGGGAAATTTTGTTCATAGACAAACATACTCACAACAGAACAAGAGTGAAACACAACATTTTTTCAAACATGATAAGTTGACAAGGTTATTTTATATTAAAGTTTTGCGTGAGTAGCATGAAGTATGCAGTGAGCACTTTATTTTGATACCGACTGCTCTTATTTTGCGACCGACTGCACTTATTTTGCGACTGACTACTTTTCTTCCTGGGGGGGTGTACCCCCCCCACACCCCTCCACATTTACGCCCCTACCCATACTCCCAGTTTCACGGTAAGATAACAGCATCCATATTGATTGAAATGAACCAATATTAAATTCTAATTCAGTTTTTTTATGTCAAAGATTATGAATAATACTGTCTTACAGGTTTAGCTCCTTTAAGTGGGGCTTATGTCTTCTTGCATTCCGTTGTGATAGTTCAGGTTGCCCGTGCACATTTAGTACATACAACTATTTGCAACTGGAATGTATGTAGGATTTTAAAAGTGGGGGTGTAGCAGAGTGGTGGGGCGCCATAGCCTCCACGTATGTGATATAAGAAAGTTTCGATCAGGGTAAACGAACCCATTGGCGTGTGGGCGCCCTTAAAACCGATCGTCTGATCAGTGCCTTAAGAGCATCACTGTGTGGTCATAATCAAGTGTATTATTTTATAATTGAAAGATTGTCAAATAATTTTTGTTTTTTTGGATGGGGTGGGAGGGCACAATTTCCCGGGGCGCCTCATTTTTCTGGGGGTGCAATGTACCCCCTGCACCCCGCTAAATACGGCCCTGTTTGCAACTGGAATCTCAAGAGGACTTACAATGACTTTGTATGCAACTGACCCTGCTGGCAGGCTACGGTCAAAGGTACCACATGACAGTTATGTGATCAGTACAAAACATTAGCAATAAATTCCATAAAATTTCGTTCTACTATTTCATGGTATACCCTTTTTCTTTAAATGTAAATACACATTCATTACAAATGACATTGCCCCGAAACGTTGGTGATATATTTATGGGCAGTAATTATTGGAAATCATCGAAAATCACTAGGCTTCTTCGTCTCATTACCTAAAACGCTGTGTATAAATTTAAAGTCAATCGGATATTAACTTTAGCCTCTAGAGCGTACACAAGATTTTTCAAAGTGATCAAGGGCTAAAACTCTGGACGTAATTATCGAAAATCATTGAAAACCAAGAGACTTCTTCATCACATGACCTTAAACACTGTGTATAAATTTAGAGTCAATTGGATATTAACTTTAGCTTCTAGAGCATCTACTAATAAATTGTAAATTGTTTCTATTTCTTGTAATTTTAAGCCAGTACTCTGAAACTGTACCTAGCTGTTAGACTATCTGCCTATACTTACCATGTTGACAGTCACCTTCACATATTAATTCATTTAATTTGAAATCAACATCCTCATTTTCATCCTCATCATCTGATACATTCCAGTCAGTTTTGGCTGAAGTTTGGCTATAAGAACTATTAACAGTACTCATTTTCTCTGATCACTGATATGATAATAAAGATCTGTGATATAGGGCCTATCAAACTTCGCTCAAATAAATGCCAATTATTAATGGTCTATCGTTATCTCTACAGACTCCGTTCTCAATAATTTCAAAACAGAAAAATAACAATGTAGACAATAGTAGGAAACAAGCGTAATTATGGGGAATTTTAAAGCAAATAATCGTCTTCCGCTGGTAAATCGGGTCATACACTATATGCCCAACCCGATTTGCCGTAAAAAGGTGCGGTGTACGTGTATCAAATAAACGAGACTAAACCATCGCGCGCTTTTTGAAAACGATAATATAATTATCAGTCGAACGTCGTGGAGAATCAATAACCTTAGCATTTTGTGAATAAGCGGTTATCAAGTCCAGGTCTACATTCCACATTACTATAAGTTTCCAATGTCAGAATGTTTTCGATAAGGAGAAGGACCAACACTACAGGCTACGTAGGTAGCAAAAGCACGTGTGGAATTTTCGCTGTTCAGTGCCAGTGGTATAATAGAGCTACGTAGCCTATACGAGAACGTAGCTAAATAGGTTGAGATATATAGGCATATTGTGTTTGTTTTCACCTGGCAAACTTAATTTGTAGGTCGACTATAGTAGATAGATTACGGTGGGCTGTTAGTGCCATACGTTGATTCCATTACTTGCAATTTACCTCATATGAGAAATCGCAATGAAAACTATGATAAATCAATAAAACATGGAAAACCTTTTCTCCGCGGTGGAAACCTTTTCTCAGCGGTATTAAGTTTTCTCCACGGTGTAAACCTTTTCTCCGCGGTGGAAACCTTTTCTTCGCAGTGTAAAGTTTTATCCGCGCTGAAAACCTTTTCGCCGCAGTGGAAACCTATTCTCCGCGGTGTAAATCTTTTCCCCGCCCTGTGTTAACCTTTCTCCGAACTGTGTTAACCTTTCTCCGAAGTGTAAAATTTTCTCTGCAGTGTAAACATTTTCTCCGAAGTGGTAAATCACATGATTTGTTGCAGAGAAAAGGTTTCCACTACGGAGAAAAGTCTTCCACCGCAGGGGGGGGGTGTGTGGATGGCTGAACGGTTAGCGTGCGTGCACTGTATCATAAAGTCTGTCATTGAGTCGACTGGCGTGGTTTCGAATCCCCAGTTGTACGTGACAAGGAATAGGGTCGCCTGTCCAACCTCGTGGGTTTTCTCCGGGTCCTCCGGTTTCCTCCCACTGCTAAAGACCCCTATGCGCAAGCGAATTATTGAAATAAAATTAAACCATATCTTAGCCCCGAAATGACCTAGTTTGTGTCGAGTGGACGTTAAACCCCATTTCTCTCTCTCTCTGTCTTCCACCGCAGAGAAAAATTTATCCCGCGGAGAAAAGGTTTACACTGTGGAGAAGGTTTACACTGCAGCGGAAAAAACTTTATACAGCGGAGAAAAGGTTTACATCGCAGAGAAGAGGTTTTCACCGTGGAGAATACTTTGTACCTCAGAGAAAAGGTTTACACCGCGGAAGAAAGCTTTTTCTTGGTTTTTATATGCCCACATTTTCATGTGAACGTATATGGCTGTCGCCCATGTCCGTCCGTCAGTCCATGTGTCCATTCACATTTGTTTGTGGACACTCTACAGGTCATAATTTTTATCCGATTTTGACGAAACATGAAATATAGGTCTTATCTCCCAAAGATCTCGGTTCCTATCGATATTGGCATGTATCAGACCATAACTTTATGGATTATGGCCCCTGATTGTACGAAAAATCACGTTTTTAGTTTGTTGACACTCTAGAGATTACAATTTTTATCTGATTTTAATGAAACTAGAAATGCATGTATAACCCAAAGATCTTGGTTCCTTTTGATATTCGCGCACATCGGATTGTAACTTCCTGAATTATGGTCCCTGATTGTACAAAAAATCACGTTTTTAGCTTGTGGTCCTTCTAGGGGTCAAAATTATTATCCAGATTAAAAAAACGTAATGTCGGTTGAGTTCGAATTTAGTGAAAATCAGACCAAAAATGCCGGACAAAATGGCCGGCCGCCCCTCGTACGCAAACTGTTTAAACATATGGTATATCAAGGTTGAGGACCCTCTAGAGGTCATAATTTCGATCTGATTTTGATGAAACTTGAAATATATGTTTATAACCCAAAGATCTTGGTTCCTTTCGATATTCACTTGTCGGATCATAACTTCCTGAATTATGGCCCTTGATTGTACAAAAAATTGCGTTTTTAGCTTGTGGTTTCTCTAGATGTCACAATTATTATCCGATTTAAAAAAGCATTAGAATATATAACCGTTACACCGTAATGTTGGTTGAGTCCGAATTTCATGAAAATCAGTCCAAAACTGCCGGACAAAATGCCCCCCTCTCATACACAAATAGTGTCAAAATATGGTATATCAAGGTTGTGGACCTCTAGAGGCCACAATTTTTATCCGATTTTGATGAGACTTGAAATACATGTTTATAACCCAAAGATCTTGGTTCCTTGCGATATTCGTGCATATCAAATTGTAACTTCCTGAATTAGGGCCCTTGATTGTACGAAAAATTGTGTTTTTAGCTTGTGGTCTGTCTAGAAATCACAATTATTATCCAATTTAAAAAAAACCATTAAAATATATCACCGTAATGTTGGTGGAGTCTGAATTTCATGAAAATCAGTCCAAAACTGCCTCACAAAATGACGGCTCCTTGTAGGCAAATAGTGTTAAAGTATGTCATACCAAGATTGTGGACCCTCTAGAAGTCATAATTGTTATCAGATTTTGATGAAACATAAAATATATTTTTATGTCCCAAAGATCTTGGTTCCTTTCGCTATTTGTGCATATCAGACCGTAACTTCTTGGATTATGGCCCCTGAGTGTACGAAAAATCATGTTTTTTAGCTTGTGGATTATCAGTCCCTTTCCGTATTTGCGCACTTCAGACCATAACTTTCTGGATTATGGTCCCTGATTGTACAAAAAATCGCTTTTGTTTTTAGCTTGTTCTCTATCCATCTCTTGCAAAATGTGGGCGTATCTTGCCTGGCAACCGCTGGTATGATTTATCATAGTTTTCACTGTGATTTCTCATATGAGGTAAATAACAAGAAAAAGGTATAAATCAATGTATGGTACTAAAAGGCCACCATAATAGACAAACATATCAAACATTGAGACAAACATATCAAACATTATAAATAAAATGACATTTTTTTTTAAAGTTCCCCTTCTTTAATCGGGGCCTGTTACTGTATAACCCATATTCTTTGCCTTGAGATTCAGAAAATAAACTTTCAGTGCTTCTTGGGTTTAATTTTATCAATAATAATTATCAGTCGTTTCTGTTTTTACTGTAATTTCTATCAGTTATGTTCGGCGAAATACGCCAGAAGGCTCAAATGAATGACAATCTTTAGGGTCTGGTTATTCCAGTCTAAACAGATGGTCTTTATTGCACATGCTCTAAAGATAAGAATATAGCGTCACCATTTGACATGACTTGTGGAATATGTCTAGCCTCGTTCTTTGAGTCCCTTGTTCCAAATGGCACTGAAGCACATTATGGTACACGCTTCGTATGGTACACGAAGTGTGTACCAATGGTAAAATGTTTATTTTGTCTTGAAAATTAGATATCAGGCGCCCATCTTTTCCCTGTAAGATGACAAGAACAATGTTGATTCGTGTTTTCAATGTCAAAGATTTTTGATGATATTGAGTTAGAGACTTAGATACTTTAAGCAATAACCAATTTTGCCAATAGTGTCTATAGGATAACGTTGGGCAACACATTAATGGAAACCACCCATATGGCCAGTGCCATATTGTTAATAACCCATGACAGGGTCCCTAGGCTTTGATATTCTTTTGGCCCCCTTGACACCCCACCCCGACCCCACAATTAATTTCAGGCTCTCCTTTTCTACAATTTATTACAATAATATTAACCAGCGGCTGCCAGGCAGGATACGCCCACATTTTCGAGAGATGGATAGAGAACAAGCTAAAAAGAAAGTGATTTTTCCTACAATCAAGGGCCATAATTGAGGAAATTACAATTCGATATGCACAAATATCGAAAGGAACCGAGATATTTGGGTTATAAATTTACATTTCTAGTTTTAAGACAAAATAGGATAAAAATTGTGACCTCTATAGGGTCCATAACCTTAATAAACCATATTTTTTCAGGCCCGGCGGAGTGGGTGGGCTAGGGGGGGGCTTTAGCCTCCCCAATAATTTGGCCGCAAGTACTCTTTTCTCCAGGTTATTGCGGCCCCTGGACCCACGCCTATAAGGACCTAGGATGGAAGCCCCCCCAATCAAGAATTGCTTCCGCCGGCCCTGTTTTTCGCTATTTGAGAACGGGGGGCGGCCATTTTGTCTGTCAGTTTTGGGACGATTTTCACGAAATTCGAACGCAGCTGTCCTTAGGGTGTAACGGTGATATACTAAAACGTTTTGTTTAAAACGGATAAAGATTATGACCTCTATAGGGTCCACAAGCCAAAAATGCGATTTTTCCTACAATCAAGGGCCATAATTCAGGAAATTACAATTCGATATGCGCAAATATCGAAAGGAACCGAGATGTTTGGGTTATGAACTTACATTTCAAGTTTCAACAAAATCAGATAAAAATTGTGACCTCTATAGGGTCCACAGCCTTGATATACCATATTTTTACGCTATTTGAGAAGGAACGGCAGCCATTTTTTCTGTCAATTTTGGGCCGATTTTCACGAAATTCGAACGCAGCTGTCCTTAGGGTGTAACGGGGATATACTAAAACATTTTTTTTAAAACGGATAAAGATTATGACCTCTATAGGGTCCACAAGCTAAAAATGCGATTTTTCGTACAATCAGGGGTCATTATTCAGGAAGTTACGGTCCGATATGCGTGAATATTGAAAGGAATCGAGATCTTTGGGTTATAAACTTACATTTCAAGTTTCAACAAAATCGGATAAAAATTGTGACCTCTATAGGGTCAACAACCTTGATATACCATATTTTTATGCTATTTGAGAACGAACGGCGGCCATTTTGTCTGTCAATTTTGATCCGATTTTCACGAAATTGGAACTCAGTCGTCCTTAGAGTGTAACGGTGATATAATAATACGTTGTTTTTTTAAATCGGATAAAAATTATGACCTCTATAGGGTCCACACGGTAAAAACGTGATTTTTGGTACAATCAGGGGCCATAATTCAGGAAGTTACAGTCTGATATGCGCGAATATCAAAGGGAACCGAGATCTTTAGGTTATAAACCTACATTTCAAGTTTCAACAAAATCGGATAAAAATTGTGACCTCTATAGGGTCCACAAGCTAAATACCTGATTTTTCGTACAAACAGGGGCCATAATCCATGAAGTTTTGATCCGATACATGCCAATATCGAAAGCAGCCGAGATCTTTTGGAGATAAACCTATATTTCAAGTTTCGTCAAAATCGGATAAGAATTGTGACCTGTAGAGTGTCCACAAACAAATTGTGGACGGACGGACGGACAGGGGCGACGGCATAATACGTCCACATGAAAATGTGGGCGTATAAAAATGCAGTAACAAAGAAAATAACATCGCCTTACCAAACAACCTTTAATCAGCATGATGCTTAGCAATGTCATTGGGGCTGAGTACATTCCATTGTTTAGTTTACATCATTTTTGACCAACTGAAAAGTTTAAAATGTGGATGGGGGGAACACCGACCCATCAGGTCATCCCTTACTGTGTGTCAAAATTTTACATACATTGAAATAATTGAACCAAAATTTCTTTTTTTATATATACTATTCAAAAAAAGTAGGGGATATTTGATTTTGGGGGCATAATACTAAAATATGCAAATGACTACGAAAAAAGTCACTATAGAACCTAACAGAAGAAACATTTCCAGTTACATGTGACGCCCAAACGCACCAATAGCTACCGCATGGAATGCAGGTGATGCTTGGGATCATCATGGGGGTCCAACCCAAGATTTGCACAACTCTGACTTTGAATGTTACAGTCATTGTGGCATTGAATTCCAGGGTGGAAACATCAGTTTAATTGTTTTAGTGACCAGAAAACAAATTTTGATATGCGTCGGCTTACCCAAAATGAAAGGTTACGTGCCCTTGGCATGCTACAGATCGGCACAACACAGGCGGTTGTGGCGCGGACGATGAATGTTTCTCAGTCTGTCATAAGCAGGCTATGGTCCAGATACCGTGATACAAAATCTGTACAGGACAGACCACGCTCAGGTCGACCAAGGGCGACAACTCAAGCCCAGGATCGATTTATCCGTACCTTGGCCTTGAGAAATCGTGTCATCACAGCAAATCAGATCAGCGCTCGTCTTCAAACAGACACTGGTGTGAGAGTGAGTGGCCAGACGATTCGGAATCGACTGCATAGGGGTCACCTTCGCGCCCGACGTCCTCGCGTGATCCCTTGTTTGAGAGATCATCACATTCAGGCAAGACGTCGTTGGTGTAGGGATCGTCAACACTAGGATAATCGACGCTGGAGCAATGTGATGTTTTCAGATGAGTCAAGGTTCACTGTTGATTTTTTGGACAGACGTAGGAGGGTGTGGCGTCGTCGAAACGAGCGCTTCCAAGACGTTAACGTCATCAGACATGATCGATTTGGGGGTGGTTCTGTTATGGTGTGGGGAGGCATCACTGTTGCTGGAAGAACGGCTTTACATGTTGTTGCAGGGCGTGTTACAGGCCAGTACTACCGGGACAACATCTTGGCAGTCCATGTTGTGCCGTTCGCACGACGTCATGGCCGCTGTTTCATCTTCCAGGATGACAACGCAAGATGTCACAGGGCCAGGATCGTTACAGGTTACCTCCAACAACAGAACATCACCACATTACCATGGCCAGCACTGAGTCCCGACCTCTCCCCCATCGAGCATGTCTGGGACATGCTTGGACAGAGGTTACGTCAACGTCAACAACGTCCTGCCAATGTCCAAGAACTTGCTGCTGCGTTGCAACAGGAATGGGACAATCTGGACCAAAATGACCTTAGACGTCTCATTAGGAGTATGCCACGTCGGATCAATGCTTGTTTGGCAAACAGAGGAGGATTTACCCGTTACTGACTTGGTTGTGATGCTGTGGTAACTTTGCTGTTTGACCCCGGGTATCATTTTACCCTTATAATGGTCAGTCTGTGCCTTACTTAGTCTAACAATCATTTGGAATAAATCGATGAATGTGAACTTCATTTCGTTTTGTCATTTGTTTCTTCGTCAGTTTCATTAGGTGACTTTAATAACACTTAAAAATCAAATATCCCCTACTTTTTTTGAATAGTATAGTTTAAGGCACCCATTCCTATAAATCAATTTCAGTGACACACAGAGTGCAATTGCTGTATGATAACCCTAGCATATGACCAATATCTTCATGACTTATAACATATTGCGCCAGGTACACATGAACAGGCCTGGTTGATACTTGACTTAAATCGATCAAAATCTGATTTAAGAATATTTGAATATGAGGTATGAAGAGGTATGGGGTAATAATGAAAAAGATTTTCTTCCTGCATTCTGGACAAATAAATTTCGAAGAGTTACCCCAATTACTCATGGAAATGCTGTGTCAATTTTGTGCCCTCTTTTCCTGCTGCCCTTACCTTGTTCCGACCAGATCCAGCAATACTAATAAAAAACAATCGAAATCAATGTATGTGCATGTAGCCTCAATCACTCCTCCCTCCTGGTTGGCTTTCACCTTCAGTAACGCTGCTGATGATCCTTGATTGTGACTGGTATCCAATTTCGGTTTCAATTAGAAAAAAAAAAATTATGTTTGCAGCCATTTATTGTCACAATTCCCCATTTAGCCCAGGATCAAAATTGTCAGGGGCGGACTGGTAGCTTTGGGCCATTGGACCAACTGGTTTTGTTGGGGTCCCAGTGCGGCTAAGAATATGTGACATCACGAGAAAATAAAACTATAGGTTAATTCATTATTCCTGCACCTCACTCAGAGATCAGTTTTCTTCTTGGATTGAGGTCATGTCAAACTATGGTTTTCTATTCTGGCTTGAAAACTGATGAGTAGTAACTGTACATGTTTATCATTAGCACAAATTTCTGAAGAAAAAGACACAGGCTGATATTTTATTTCGGGATTCAACATGTTTCCACTGATGGCTTCCAGATTAGATTCCACAGTCTGATTAAAGCCAGCAAGTCTTTGACATTGCAAACACAACTTACTGATTGAACTGCGTATCAGAATGCTTTCAAGCATCATTTTTAATGAAGCGGCTCGATGAACGAGGCTAACCATTGGATAATAACTTCAATAGCTCAAAATCTGTTCTTCAGTTAAGTGATCAAGGGTCATAACTCTGCAGGAAATTATCAAAAATCGTTGGAAATCACTATTAAAAGTGTACTTTTTAAAATCTTTATTGCATAATTAATTCAATAGTTTTTTTTTAAAAAGTTAACTTGCTATAGAAATTAAGTACAAATTAATAAAGACAAAACATACACATCTTGTCAAACCTTCAATGGTTAATATCTTTGCTCAGAAAAGAGTAATTTGAATGAAATTTTCAATATATTCATTTTGCATTATCTTTATTTAGCATCTCCTTTTGAAACAAGTATTAAAACAATTATAATTTGTTAAAATTATATAATTATGCAATTTTCTCCAACTTACCCAATAAATGGATAACATACAATAATCTTTAACAATGCATATTAAAACTCATTTTGAACAATTTAATAAAGGTAAATTAAATAAGTATATTCAATATTAAACTGTATATTAAAACAATGTTAATTTGTTAAAAATATTAATCTTTTGACCAAAGTACTAAAAGTAAATTAAATAAGTAATGGGTAAATTCAATATTGAACTGTGAATTAAAACAATGTTAATTTGTTACAAATACTAAACTACTTTTGAACGATGTAATCAAAGTACTGTAAATTAAATAAGTAATGAGTAAATTCAATATTGAACAGCGTTTTAAAACAGGTAATCTGTTCAATATTATGCGATTTCCTCCAATTTGCCCCTTAAATCGAAGACATCCAATAATCTCTAACTATGAATATTACACATAACAAGTAAACAAAATATATTAAATTCCATAACAAAACAAAGTTAATTAATATTTTTTTTTAAAAAGTTTATAAATATACTTCAAATAATTCTAATTAAAAGTCCATTAATCCTTAACAGGATTCAAACCAACAGTGAGGCTGATGTTCCCCGCCGAAAACCCAAAATAAATAGATGACACATATCCATTAAATGCACATTTTTCAAAAGTATTGAGCAATCAAACTGATAATCTATACTTAGTCTAAGCTAAACTGTTCACGATCGAACTCAGTCAAGGTGTTGAAGTACCTGGTAGTGAAACTATGCATTAAGTTTCATCACTCTCCATCAGTTAGAATTAAAGTTATCTTGTCCCAAAGCATCAACCAATGAAATTGCTAAGCTTTAGCGGGGAAATATTAATCATTCAACTCCGCCTAGACATTCGCCTAATGAACATCTACATCAAGTTTTAAACATTCTACCTCAATTAAAAGCAAAGTTGTTATGTTTCAAAGTCTTGACTAATCAAATTGCTTATTGCTAGGTAGCCTAAGCAGAAAATCCTCATCATCGAACTTAGTCAAGGTATTAATATAATGAATCTATAATCAGAGTTTCATCGCTCTTGCCCAATTAGAACCAATTTTATCGTGTTCCATGGTCTCAACCAATCAAATTGCTTAACTCTGCTTAGCCTAAGTGGAAAATGCGCATGATCAAATTCTGTCTAGGCATTCACCTAATAGACGCCTACACCAAGTTTGAACATCCTACCTCAATCAGAAAGAGACTTATTGTGCTCCAAAGACTTGATCAATCAGATTGAAATCTTCTACTCTGCCTAAGCAGAAATGCTAAGCATCAAACTTTGTTAAGTAAGGTATTGATGTAATCCTGAAACTATACACAACATTTCACCACTATCACTCAATTAGAATCAAAGTTGTCTAGTTCCAAAGAGACGAAAATGCTCATTATCGAACTTAATCAAGGTATTGATGTGACAAAACTATACACCAAGTTTCATCGTTTTCACTTAATTGGAACCAATGTTATTGTGTCCCAAAGCATCTACCAATCAAATTGTTTATCTCTGCTTAGCCTAAGCAGAAAATGCTCAAACTCCATCAAGGCATTCACCTAATGAACTACTATACCAAGTTTGAACATTCTATCTCAATTAGAAGGAGAGTTATTGTGTTCCAAAGTCTCGACCAATTAAACTGCTTATCACTCGATCTGCTTACCCTGAGCAGATAATGCTCATTATCGAACTTACTCAAGGTATTGATGTGATAAAACTATACACCAAGTTTTATCACCCTCACTTAATTAGAACCTAAGTTAAGGTGTCCCAAAGCATCAACCAATCAAATTGCATATCTCTGCTTACTCCATCAAGGCATTCACCTAATAAACACCCACATCAAGTTTGAACATTTTAGCTCAATTAGAAGGAGTGTTGTTGTGTCCCAAAAAGTGTGACGGACAGACAGACAGACCATTTTTAGGCAGGACAATTAGAATACAATAAACATATGCTATACAATGAACTTAATCTACAGAACTCCCATATGAGGTAACAATTATTTTGATTTTGAAAAAGGTTACCATCGACCCATCAAAAAAAGATATTTACTTCTTACAGACTTCACGGGTGTGGTGACCACAGATTCTGCAGGATGACCAAGATCCTGTGGAGGACACAAAAACCCAATATTCATAACATTAGGCAGGAATCTTTCCCTCCTACCCTGAGAAATGTGGGCTGTGTAGCTGAGACACAATTATGTTTGACACTCGTCAATCCGATTAAAACACAGATCCTATTTCGTTTCGTTTTTTATAGTTTAAAATTTCGTTTACGTGTCTTTACTACACTAGCATCTGGAAGAGTTGGTATATTACCGGCTTTTTGGTTGAAGTGAGGGATAAGCCAATGAAACGGTTTGTTATGGCGACTTCTTGGCGTGCCATGCACGGAACTGTGGGTAAACTACTAAATACATCAACGCTGATTGATTAATCAATGCTGATGTCACAGGGTCAAAAGCCACTCATACGACCCCTGACACGACCTTCGAGTACAACTTGTCAGATCTTCATGTAGTGTAGGCCATCGAAAGTATAAAAAAATAAAATGAAATATAGATCTGTATTTTAATCAGATTGGACACTGGTTGATGAGCATTATGATTATGACTGTAGCATTGAGAACCACACTGAAACCAATTGATTTTTCCATATGCAAATGGTGAGGACAAAAACTCAAACCCATGATACAAAGCACATCATTGTGTCACCTTCACTTAGCCCTTGACAGACTTGGAGCCAATACATTGCAAATGCCTTTAATTGCTGTGAACAAAGATTACGTTGAGCCGATTTTGTGGGTACTTCATATAAAAAAAATAAAGTTATCTCTGTAATGTCATTATAATTTTTTTTTTATACAGTCATAAAGTAACGTTTAATGGTAAATAATTACTATCAGTTTAACCCTTGTCGGTTCACGTGGGGTCTCCGTGGACCCCATGCACATGTTTTATAGTGTTGTGTAATAACTACTGGGCACTGCTTTCTGAAATTTAGTGACTTTGTCTCCTATACATTTTTACACGTAGTGAAGAACTCGGTATTCATCTGCTTCCCACATGCAGAGTTCTGTTACATGCAAATCAGGCCCAACGCTTGAAGATAACAAGGGGTCCAATCAGACCCCTAACTTAAACAACTCAACGTAGGGATTTTGCTAATGTGTTTGCTGCCTGATACCATATTGCGTATGCCAGAGTATTCTCTCTTTTAGCAGCTGCATGTTACAAATACCAAAAATTAAATGATAAATTCAAGATATTCAATGGTTTTTGTATCAAGCGTGAATTGCCATTTTAACCTCTTTATTACATAGTACACAAAGTAGCAATTTTGTAAGAATTATTAAATCTTTTCCAAATGTCACTAAAATGTTTTTGTAAAATAATTTAGTTGTTTTTCAGTTGTCAAATATGAAGGCAAATAAACCGCTGCCTTTTAATTCAAATATATCTGTACGTAAAAACTTTGAATTATAACTGGGGTCCATATGATACCTGCTATGTGATTCTCATAACGTGAACCTACAAGGGATAATGGGTGATGGTAATTGTTATGAATGTTAATAATATGTATTACCCACAGGCCTGAATGAAAGCCTGAGTATTCTGGGGATGGTGGGCTAAATGAATGGGGAATCTCTAGCAAGGTCATGAACTTTTGGGGGTAAATATGATATCTCTAGTTAGCATAGATATAATACAAGGTATTACTTTACAACCATCTATATCTTTCTTTTTCTTATTTTCAGATTGATATTTCATTGCCATATAATATGATACATGTGTCAGCATTTTCATAAGATCAATAGATTTGTTTGATTGTTTTAAAACAGTGGTTAATGATTTCAAAAACCATGATCCATTCTGTCTACGAAAAGCAAAATATCCTGAAATAAGAAAACATATAAAAATCTTATTTTTATTTATAATAAGATATCACAAATACAACTCACATAAACTCAAAATATTTTTCTGGTAACGGCTAATGATTGACAGTCGATATATGCCTTGGATTATATCATTAATATGCTCGAAAATTTCAGTTAACCATAACTCTAAGGAAACCCAAGCTAGAAATATTCTGAAAGGCGGCAAGGAGTTCAAACACTTTTATATATTAAGAGTAGAGATTTCACTCATTGGACGGTGACGGTGTGCCCACCCTTATAGTCTACCAAAATATGTTTTTAGCAACAAATGCTGTTTGAATATCAACTTCAATCAATTGTTATGTATTTCACTTTCTGACTGTAAAGGAAATATTTCTTTATAATTACCTGGAGGTGAAGCAAACATAACCATAGAATCTTTATAACAAGGACTTGGACTAGTAACTAATTTTTCTAAACCTTGCATGTAATGATCTATTTCATCTTCCTCGTCTTCTGATTCTGATGTTGATTGAGCGGGTGGATTAATTTCATCTTCCTCAAGTTCTGATTCTGATGTTGATTGAATGGGTGGATTAAGATCTGGTGATTTCAAAGACTTTTCAACTGGTGCCTCTTCTGCTAATGCTGGTCTTGCATCAGGTTGATCCTGTGGAATAAATAGTGTAATAGTTAACAAATGCATTTATATAGATTTGTTTTTTTACTGAAGTGCAGTACAAAATAAAAGTCTAGTGAAGTAATTAAGTATATTTTTTATCTTCACTGATTAGGTCTCCTGGTAAATACACTGGAGACAATTATGACTAGTTCAATATTCTTAAAGATGTAAGATTTAGAAGGTAAAGAGCTGGCTGGGCAGTTCAAAAATAGATAATGCAAAATGAAGATACTGATAATTTCAGTCAAATTTTTTTATTCTGTAATCTGATTGAGGTTATCAAGTTTTGACAAGATGTGGCATAGATTGTTAATTATCGCAACAGCAGTACTTGTTATTAAACGGCGACCGTGTTTTAATCCGTTTAAATCTCCACCATGGTTTAGAAAGTTGATTATAGAATTGTCATGTAAATAAATGTCTAAATAATAGTTTATATAACATGTGAACCCAAAATAAGACTTGCAATAGGTCGATTTAGCTCTTACATAACACATCTTTAATGATTTTAGTACTTACATCTATACCATCTGTTTTATCTTTGCTGCTCTGTCTGTCCCCAGATCCACTATTTTTGACAGAAGTTTTAACAAGTTTTATATCTACACCTTTTTCTGTTTTTTCTCCTCTACAGGCCTTCAAAATAAAAAAAAAAAAAACATTATTATTTGTGCATTTTACACAAAATCAATGTATCATTATCATAATATACTGAATCACTAACTTAGTGGTACACATTTATAAAAATAATTTTACTGAAGCAGACATACACAATTTTTAAACAATAGAGGATAGGTTACCAGGTAATAAAACATCGACCCACGAGAAGCTAAGTCATCTGAGCTGTTTATAATGGAGAGAGGAGGAGAGGAAATGGGGTTTAACGTCCACTTGACACAAACTAGGTCATAAACATATGGTTTAATTTTAATTCAATAATTCGCTTGCGCGTAGGGGTCTTTAGCAGTGGGAGGAAACCGGAGGACCCGGAGAAAACCCACGAGGTTGGACAGGTGACCCTACTCCTTGTCATGTACAACCGGGGATTCGAAACCACGCAAGTTGACTTAATGACAGGCTTTATGATACAGCGCGCACGTGCTAACCATTTAGCCATCCAACCCCCCTGTTTTTAATGGTTATTAATTGTAATAATGTCTATAGAGTCTCTATACAATTTTGGGGACATGGACATTGACTGGTTGCACAATCCCAGCAAGTTAAAAATTTAGGCTGCCAGGCAAAGAAATCCATCAGCTAGCTGCATCTTCCAAGCTGGTTAAAAAGATTTTGAAAACAGTTTCTCCAGATTTCCAGAGCGTTTGAAATTCTTTTGTTAATTATAATGTTTTGATAACAAAGGTATGGACTCCAAGAATAAATGTTTGGTGATTCTTAATTTTGACAGAATTTATGGTTGAAAAGTGGCTGCAAGTATGACTTGGAAAAACCCAAGCAAAGGATGATCTGTCTATCACTACTTCACTTTTTAAAAAATTATTCACTTTATTTTCTGCTTTTATCTTGCATCACATATTTCATGGGAATGTATTTATTGTGTTACCTGAATAAAAAATAACCGTGGCTTGCCCATTAAGCCAGGGCATTCATCATCAGAGAAAAGGTTCATTGCATAGGCAACTGAAACACATATACCATCAGTACCAAATACCACATCTTTTCTTTCTTGGCGATGATTTATATCTTCATCACCATGTGATAACATAATACAAACAAAACAATCTGCATTTTCATGTTCATATTTTTGAGCAACTGGAGGATAAAAAAAATTTGATTTACAAATATAATTTATTGTTTATTGTTTAGTCATCCGTTGTATAAGTTCTTAAGTGTAAATCCATTCTGATTTAGATTCATTCAAATATTATCCAATTGGTGACATATCATTATGTCTCAGTCGGGATCAGTCATTGAAAGCCCAATCATTTGTATCATAACAATTGAATTCTACTTGCGTGTCCTACGAGATGAAATGGTATTTTATATTTAATATCTGCAAATTGTTCTTTGATTCGCTTTTTAAAAAAGCATTCATTTTGGTGAGGTAAAAATAGTTTTTACTTGGATTTGAGCTTACATATTTTCATAAGGCGTAGGGCCAGAAAACATTTTCAGTCTAAACGATGATGGTTATCTATATCTATATGGAAACCAAATCGGTTAAATAATGAAGTATTTTGATTCTGGTATAAATTTGCTGTTCAATGTATGGTGTATTTTGAAATCTGGTATAATAGCTGATGGCAGAACCAACAATTTCTGAATGGCAGATAATTTTCCGGGGAAATCTATCGGAGTCGTTTCAGTAAAGGGTGAAGTCATTCCACAGTGAGGTAAAGTAAACTAGAATGAAACTAGTAGCTTCATGAGAGAAATCTGGGATGTCTATCCACCACTTATAGATTTCTATTTTTAATATAAATGATGTGGAGTACTTGAAATGCACAAATTTGCTCTTTTTCACTACATTATAAAATAGCAAAAATACTTATTATTATGTTTAAATACCCTTGTTTTCTGAATAACTTGCATTTTATTACCAATCCTAAATAATTAGTTTCACATTACTAGACGTGAAATGTAAATATCATCAATTTCTTACCTTTTCTTAGTTTTTTGTCCATATTTGGACCTGTTAGATTATTGTAGATTTTTACACTAAATCCTAAATTCAGGAACTCTGCCTTTAAATTATAAACATCACTTGTTGAACCAGGCCTTGGTGGCATATTGGTAAATGTATCATTATTAATTATCAAGCAACATCCTCTCTTTTGAAAATTAAAATTGTACTCATCAGAAGTTTTAGACACATCTTCTAGTTTATACTTTGTAGATGGTTCTTCTATTTTTTGTCTAGAAAAAAAAAGAACAAATAAGATTTATAAGTGTGACTGATTCTGACTAAATCAAAGAATGGGTGAAAAAATCAAAACACAATTAAGAACAAATTTAAATTCTGTATGCATTGCAACACATGCATTTATTTTAGCAGACAGCCACGCAGTCATAGGCGTACGGGGAAATTTTTGACTGGGGGGGGCGGTGGGGGTTGGTGCCCAAAAAATGTAGTTTGGTTCTTAGTATGTTACATAATAATAATAAATTCGCTGTTAAATTGGACACATTCAAGAACACAATATCCTTTTTTTATACAACTTTTACAAAATACAATTGTGTGCCCAAATTTCCCCAGCATTTGGTGCCCAAAATGGGGGGGCGGCCGCCCCCCCCCAGCCCCGCCAGCGCGTACGCCTATGCACGCAGTCCCTGGAATATGCCCACATATAGCAGCTTTGTCTCAAAGAAAAAAGATTATAGCCTCTATCGTGTTAACAAACTATATGGAAAAGGGACATAACTCTGGAAAAGAAGGGCGCGCACTGCTGAAAAATGTTTGACGAAAGGTTTGACAAAACAGAATAGGAATCCTTGTCTTATTATAATATAAGTTTCCGAACGTTTCAGAGAAATCTGTTAAAAACTGTAGCCTCTATTGCGCTGATTCTTGTCTTATCATAATATAAGTTTCCTGAAAGCAGTGTGAACAGTTTGGCAATAAAGGGACATAACTCTAAAAAAATTATTCCAATTTTAACAAAAGAAATAGGAATTCTTGTCTTGTCATAATACAAGTTTCCTGAAAGTTTCAGAAAATCTTATAAAACCTGTAGCCTCAAGAGTGCTGACAAGAAAGTGTGGAGAGATTGAAAGGGTGATTACAATATTAATGTGGGCGCACAAAAATGGATATGGTGTTTTTATTTTAAGATTGTATATACCATAACATTAATTTTCAGAAGACAGAAATTAAAATTTAATCAAACAAACAAAGCAAGACTCCATTATATATATAATAAGTTATTAATAACCATAAACAGCAAATTTTGTGCATTTCTGACCAGTTTTTGTCTCCAGGAGATGAGGAAATAAAAATAAGATCATTTTCAAAGGCAAATATGTGGCAAACTCATAAATTAAGGGATGTGAGAAATGTGTCTAAATTAACCACAGCCACTCACAAAAAAGTTCTTTAATACTGATTAAAGTTTAAAGGCTGATGGGGCTTAACAGACAAATCTATTTATATTAACAATAGTCTTGATAACTCTATCCCAATTTGTTGACAGAATCTGACTTTCCAGAAATATCTCCTGTATGACAACAATAATATGTTTATAAATAGATTGTTGTTTAGCACCTAAGACATCAAATAACTTTTCCAGTCTCATATTAATAAATGAAATGGGGTTGAACGTCCTACTGTTCTGCTCCGAATTGGGCTAATGAAGACGGGCATATGCCATACAGTGTGCTTATGAGCGAAATTTTGCCCGGACAGCGGGACTACAACCTACTCTTATATCGAATTCCAACTGCCAAGGGATCTTTTACGTGCACGCCAATGTGTACTTGGGACATCGGTTTTTCATCCCGTCAGAACGACTAGACAGCTGTCCTTGTCAGGCCCTCCGCCCTACATCACTGACAAGGGGGAATCACATCGGAAAATCTGGATGAACTTTACACCCAACCTCCAGACTAGCGAGTCAGAGTCTTATCCACTTAGCCACCGTGACCTTGTCTGTTGATAGTAAAAACGTTAATAATACCTTATTTTCTTAACAAACTTCAGAATTTTTCTCTTGGCTGTTTGTATCCGACCACCATCACATTCTAAAAGCATTAAGAATTACTTGTTAAAAGATAAAGGCAAGTGACTGTCTACTAAAGATGCATTATGTAAGATAAAGATAGGTTGCCAGGCAACGAAACATACGCCCACAGCAACTAAATCGTCCGGGCAGTCAACAAGGGTTGTCGCATATTTTTACTTTTTTCGGTAATGAAACATTTATAATACACTAAAATCTGATTAAGAGCAACAACTCACGAAGTAATTATCGGAAAACTATTAGAATTTGTTTGGTTTTTATAAAGTTCTGCCCCATGCTAACGTTTTGTATGCAAAGCTTTTAATATCATGGATTTAACTGTTTAAGTCATAAAAATTCATTGAAAATCAATATACTTGTTCGTCTCAAGATCTTAAACTCTGTGTATCAATCTTAAGTCAATCGAATTATAACTTTAGCCTTTAGAGCATCACAAGATTTTGCAAAGTGATCAAGGGCCATAACTTTGGCAGTAATTATCGGAAATTGTTGAAAATCAATAGGAATCTTCGTCTCATGACCTCAAACACTGTGTATAAATTTAAACTCAATCGTATATTAACTTTCGCTTCTAGAGCATCCACAAGATTTTTTGAAGCGATCAAGGGCCATAACTCTGGCAGTAATTATCAGAAATCGCTGAAAACCAATAGGCTTCATCATCTTATGACCTTAAACACTGTGTATAAATTTAATGTCAATCGGATGTTAACTTTTGAAGTGATCAAGGGCCATAACTTTGGCAGTAATTATCGGAAATCATTGAAAATCAATAGGTTTCTTTGTCTCATGACCTTAAACATTGTGTATAAATTTAAAGTCAATCGGATATTAACTTTGGCCTTTAGAGCATCCAAAAGATTTTTTGAAGTGATCAAGGGCCATAACTCTGGCAGTAATTATCGGAAATCGCTGACAATCAATAGGCTTCTTCGTCTCATGACCTTAAACACTGTGTATAAATTTAAAGTCAATCGGATATTAACTTTGGCCTTTAGAGCGTCCACAAGATTTTTCAAAGTGATCAAGGGCCATAACTCTGGCAGTAATTATCGGAAATTGTTGAAAATCAATAGGCTTCTTCGTCTCATGACCTCAAACACTGTGTATAAATTTAAGGTCAATTGGATATTAACTTTGGACTCTAGAGCGTCCACAAGATTTTTCAAAGTGATCAAGGGCCATAACTCTGGCAGTAATTATCGGAAATCGCTGAAAATCAATAGGCTTCTTCGTCTCAAGACCTTAAACACTGTGTATAAATTTAAAGTCAATCAGATATTAACTTTAGCCTCTTGTCGCCACAAGCAATTGTGGACGCCGGACCGACGGACGACGACAATATACGACCACATTTCAATGTGGGCGTATAAAAAGCAGGCCATTCTTGCTATAGTAGTTTAAAATAAAAGTGGATAATGAAAACTGAATAAATTGAAAATTTCAGTCCAATTACTTTATTCTGAGCTAATTTGTAAATACAAAATCACAATTCAACAACCTACCATCTACTTCATAATCTGAGCCAGAACTATCTGTTTCTTCACAGTTGTTCTCTTCTTCTGTTTCTGTTCTCTCATCCATTCTTTCCATTTTTTTTTCAGGCTTATTTAAATGTCAACTATAAGTTATCTTCTGTACATCATATCTTCAATAATAAGTACCGGTAAGCTTATATTATCTATAATCTAATTATGAGCTCACTGCAAATTTGGGTATTTTGTTGATTTATAAAAAATTTAGCTGTATTTGAGGTAAAATGCATAATGTCTATAATGTAAGACATAATTTGAGATACATGTAGTAATTGAATTTCAGTGGGTGCACTTAATGTATAAATCTATAATCAAACAGTTGTACTCTGTAGGCCATTTGCTGTTAATGTTAGTGGCATTGCTCCTATTTCAATTTTGTTACTGAACCCATTGTCTCTTCACTTACAAAATCACATCTGACAACTATCTTTTAACTTTTTTAAAACAACAATCTGTAAACCTTTCTTTATATGGAGAACGGTCTTTGACTCTTTTTCTTATCAAACTCCAAAGCTTTGGAATAAAGTCCCTTAGTGGAATTATTCAAAAATTCCCTTTAGACTGATCATTTAAGTTTTCAGGATGAATTAAGTTTAACTATTTATAATAGTGGTTTTAGAGATTAATATTTTGGTGTTCAATTTTTAAATATTTATATGTGTTTGATTATATTGATATGTGATTTCCTATTACATCAAAAAACTATAACACATACTTATGGATGAAAAATTACTGATTTATTTAAGCCAAGTTTCAAACTTGCTTGAAAACATTGAGAGAACACACTTTGAAACGTCGCCTAAATAGATCAATAACTGTTCTGCCATGTGTTATAGTTTATTTCTCTATCCAGTTATTAAATGCCTCTAAAAGATTATTACAACAATATCACATAGGATATAAAAGTTCATCGAGATTTTCCGGCATGATTCCCTCTTGTCAGTGATGCAGGGCAGAGGTCCTGGCAAGGACACCATTGGCGCTTGGCAGTTAGAATTCGATAGAACCAGTGGGCAAAATTTCGCTCATCATAGCACACTGCATATATGATGCCAGTTTTCATTAGCCCAGTCAGAGCAGAGCATGTAGGTAGGATATTAAACCCCATTTCATTTTATTTTCAACATTATTTTATTTTTTTGAGCACTTGAGAGAAGGATGTATGCTTTATAATTTTGTATAGCAATAATTGTATAATAAATAAAATAAAAATATAGCATTAGATCTACTGATTCCTATAAAATGGTATTCAAATACTTTTACCATAATTGTTTAGAAACAAATAACAATTTTCTACCTGAGTGAAACCTATACATTTTTTGATTGTTGTATCAACTCTTGTTGACCAAAGTATTTGAAGATTAAATGAATGTGATAGATCTACTATTTTGAAACAGGTGTCTGAAAATATGCCATTGATGGGCTTCCATATAGGCCTACCAAGCGAAAGTACATATTTCCCTTCATCATACACTAAACAGTTCCAATTGCTAAATATTTCGATTTAAAAAAAGAAACAAACATAAAAAGAACAAAAAAAACCCCAAAAAACAAAACATGTCACACTCAAAATAAGTTAGTCAAATTATAGATAATACCGTACGGTATTATCTATGGTCAAATCAAAGTTAGTCATGGTTTAATTGTGTTGAAATGAGTTGTCATTTTTGCATGTAAAAATAGTAACAAAGTTTTCATTCTCTTCAATAAATCCGAAAAGTGTAAAATTCTACTCACTCTAGCTAACCCTGTTCATCCAGTATGACAAGTCTATAATGATAAACCTGATAGGCCTAAATTTGATCTACTTTTAGTACTAGCCTAGTGCTACTGTTTCAGCAGGGATCTGTTTTGCAAGTTTACTAACTAACATCGGAGTTCCGGAATGCAAAATTCCCACTCGGCACACTTCGGTATGTTCTGTTAATTTTTGTCAAGGTCAATGAGGTGTGAATAAGGTTAAGGCACGTGATTGTTGACGAGATTGTAGGTTAGGGTTAGGGTAAGTATTGGGGCTAGGTCCAAAGTTAGGTCCAAAGTTAGCCCCATTGGTGCTAGGTCCAGAGTTAGCCCTAATACGTAATGAATAAATACAGCCTTTAAACTTTAATTGCCTTCAAGCGAGAATTTCATATTTTCTGAGGAAGTCAAAACATTAAATTATTTCTATGTCTTTTGCTCAATAGGTTGTCAACTCACTATTAATACGATCATAGTCATGATTCTCATACTCAAAAATGTTTCACACCGGAAATAATAACACAATTACCTCCTAATTACCTCCCTTGCTTTTCTATTCCCTACATGGAATAGCTATCTTCAAACGTTTGAATTTGAAGTTGAAAATGATATTTTTGCCAATTTCTCAACTGGCAATAGTGAATTATAGGATTAATAGGATTATTCTTTATCAAAGTAGGACTGTTTACATAGCATCAATTTTAAGGCTTTATTTTAATACATTTTAAAAAAATACGGTAATAAAAAACTTAAAAATATGAAATTGTAGCTTTCAGTTATTGAACAGGTGGCAGCCTTAATTAGATGCTTAAATCGCATCTAATGAACGGACACAGTCTTGAAATAAAGTAAACACCTTGCAGTATTTGTGATTACTGAAGAGTTTATAATCCGAGGGTGTAGGGGGGGGGGGAATCGCCACCCAAGCTGTGAATTTATGTCAACAGGTGGGGGGAAATGTGATTATGTTGACATAATTGATGATCATGTTATATTAAAAAAACATACATTGTACATGTGTAATTATAAGTGTATAGGATGCCCCTGGGCAGCTATTTTGATTTGTAGGGAGGTACGTGGGCGTTGCATGCGTGTGTGTATGGAAGCGTGGGGGTGGGGGAATGGGGTAAAATGGGCATGGGTGTCACACATGGGGGGGGGGGGGGTTCCGACCCCCAATTGTTATTCTGTTTTCCGGGGGGGGGGGGGTCTGAATATACTTAATTGGCCCCCCCCCCCCCTATTTATTTACAACAATTATTAGGATTAGTTAAGATTTTATCTGTATAAAACCTGTACATCCCAATATTATGGTTTCATTGCTAAAATAAAACACAGAGAGAATCATCCTGGAAACATGTGTGAAGTGAAAAGTAACTGCGTTCCATAATTTAGTTTAACCCCGTAAAATATGCCAAAACAGTGTTTACAGAAGACTGAAACTGAAAATTATGGGGTCGCCCCCCCCCCCCATTTGAGGGTGACCCTCCCACACTCTCCAAATCGCGCTACATCACAGATTTTCAACATTTTATTTAGTTTCATTTGTGGATCCCCCCCCCCCCATTCCTAAATGTATATTTCACGGCTACGCCTCTGGAAATGGGTTCACGACGATTTTCTTAGAGCTTGGTAAAAACAATACATTTTAATGCCGCTGCACGTCTCTAGATATGTGGGGGGTTGGATGGCTGAATGGTTAGCGTGCGCGCGCTGTATCATAAAGTCTGTCATTGAGTCGACTGGCGTGGTTTCGAATCCACGGTTGTACTTGACAAGGGGTAGGGGCGCCTGTCCAACCTCGTGGGTTTTCTCCGGGTCCTCCGGTTTCCTCCCACTGCTAAAGACCCCTATGCGCAAGCGAATTATTGAAATAAAATTAAAAACCATATGTTGGTCCCGAAATGATCTGGTTTGTGTCGAGTGGACGTTAAACCCCATTTCTCTCTCTCTCTCTCTCTAGATATGTGTATAAGATTCCCATTATGTGGAGTAGGAGGTGGATGCAAAATGTGTTTTTGGGGACAGAAACCACTTGGTTTAAAATATTAAATTAAAATGGTACTTTTCAAGAGACCTGGAAATGTAAATTAAAAACACAGTAAATCAGAGACATGTTTAGATATTAGTTTATTCTTAGTTTTCATCAGAAGATTCAAAATTAATGTTCATAATATGAACAGGATAAATATCTTCTTGATACCCATTCACATTGTAAATCTTCATTCCAGCCATGCATCGCAGGGTCATCTTGTTCGATCATTGGTTTTGCAGCGTGTCTCCATATTGATGCAACATTATTGTTGCGTTTAACGTGCAGCAAAATACTCAGGCAAGATGGTAATAAAGAAAGCAAGGTTTGTTATTTTTCATCAGAATTAAAATTCCTCCAGAAAATCTTTCTTCTAGTTCCATCTACTGATGTAAGTCGCCTTTCACCGTACATGGTACACAGTTTTTTTTTTTCTAAACCAGCAATTACGTCATCAAAAACATCATTTGTCTGTCCCAGCTCTTTAAAAAATGTTAGAAATTTGGAATTATCTTAAAAAAGAAAGACAGTCTTGACACTTTCAATACTAATCTTGATTGGATCAAAAAATACATGTACATCAAGATTAGTATTGAAAGTGTCGAGAATATCCTAGAACTGAAAACAAACCACGAGGACACCAAAATAGCTTACCTAGGACAACTGCCGGCGGACAACTGCTGATTGGACAATTGCCGACGAGGACAACTGCCGGCAGGACAACTGTCGACCATTTATTCGTCGTTCGTTTCTGGAGTTTATTATTTATTTTTTTATATACATGTAGTTTGTAACTGTTGATTTTATTGCCGGTGTTTTTATTTGTTCTTTTTAGTGTAGTTTATTAAATGATATATGAGGCATCAGTTATAAAGTATACTTTAAAAAAATGTATATATGTAATAATATAAAAACATAACTGTTAATCTTATTGCCAATGATTTCATTGGGATTTTTAGTATAGCTTATTAATTGATGGATGAGCATAATGTATGGTGGCTGATTGGTATCATGTCGTAATGTCGTGATGTCGCCTTTCATAACGAGACAACCCGACATCACGACATTTCTACCCGACAACACGACAACCCGACATCACGACAACCCGACATCACGACATTTCTACCCGACATCACGACATTTTTACCCGACATTACGACACTAAAAATGTCGTGATGTCGGGTAAAAATGTCGTGATGTCGGGTAAAAATGTCGTGGTGTCGGGTTGTCGTGATGTCGGGTTGTCGAGTTGTCGACTTCCATGATCAATGTTATAAGCGGCCACGATGATATTCATAACAAAAAAATGGCAATTAAGAAAATGGTTGATCAAGTGGAAGTAGATTCACACTCACCATAGGCGTGAAAAGAGCTCAGAATTGTGAGATCTTGTGAGATCGGTCATTAGCCGAGGAGTTGTTGAAAATGGGGTAGGGGTATGGCCTTGTCGGGGAAGGCTATGGTCTTGTCGGGAATGAATGCTCAGTTTGTCGGGAAGCGTCGCGCCGTCTGTCGGGTTTTGAATATTTTTAATAATATGGAAGCGGAAAGAAAGCAGTCCAGTCAATGATGAACACGTACGCCATCTGAATAGAACTAGCACGTACACATGGCCTTTCTCAGTTCTTGACTGTGTTCCTGTATACTGGCATCCAACTCCATGCACCGGACGAGCCCAGTGATAGAAGTGATCTGAAAAGCAGAATAAACTCTCTGTTTATGCCTTCCCTGATAAAAAAATGTGAAGTCTCATAAAATGAAAAATGTGGCAAAAGTAAATCGTTCGACTTGTTCTTTGTTTTCGTAGTAATAGAGCTTGTATTTTAAAGATGACTTTTACCAGTTTTTATGCTGCAACTGACATAATTTACTACCCACTCCAAATTACTAGAAAGTATTCGAAATGCCTGGAAATCGCGTCTACGGGCGTCTGGTTTTCAAAATTTTATGGGGGAGGCCCCCCAGACCCCCCGTCGCACGCTTAGCGCCTCCGGCGCCCGCGGACTCTAAAGAAATATATTTGTCGGGAAAATATGCTGGCCCCCCCAAACAAGTTCGGCCACGTACGCCTATGACACTCACAGTGCAGTTTGAGTTGCATTCGTATCCATTTGTATACGTCCACATTCATAATGTGATCCGTCTTCATTAGCTCAGTCGAAGCAGAACAGTAGGTCGTTAAACCCCATTTCATTTCAGAATGTGAACATATTATGAAGCCGCCCTTGTCTGTGTGCCTGTCATTGAGTCAAGTGGTGTGGTTTCCAGCCCAAGCTTGTACATGACAAAGAGTAGGGTCGTCTGTCTAACCTCGTGGGTTTTCCCCGGGTCCCCCGGTTTCCTCCGACTGCTGAAGACCCCTACGCGCGAGCGAATTATTGAAATAAAATTGAACCATATGTTAGTCCCGAAATGACCTAGTTTGTGTCGAGTGGACGTTAAACCTCTCTCTCTCTCATGATCAAACTCAGAATTAGCTAGAATCAAGGTTATTGTGTCCCAAAACATCGACCAATCAAATTGCTTATCTCTGCTTAGCCTTAGGAAAATCATAAATAAACAACAAGATTATGAACATGTTAACGATTGTATACAGAGTCAGTTAAAAGCCTGATTAAATAAATGTGTTTTAAGTTGTTTTTTAAACGAATATAGAGATGTACAACATGATCAAGATATAACGCGACATCACGACAACCCGACACCACGACATTTTTACCCGACATTACGACATTTTTACCCGACATTACGACATTTTTAGTGTCGTAATGTCGGGTAAAAATGTCGTGATGTCGGGTAAAAATGTCGTGGTGTCGGGTAGAAATGTCTTGATGTCGGGTTGTCGCGTTATGAAAGGCGACATCACGACATTACGACATGATACCAATCAGCCACCATAGTAATGTAATCATTATCAAAACATAACTTAACTATTAATTTTATTTCAAACAAGTTAATCATAGAAATAACCACAATTGAAAGTTGAGCACTACTTTTATAATAAAATGAACAATTAAATTTCAAACTGTAATCATTAATTGATGGATGGTGTATTCCCAGTTACTAATATTAAAGCCGAATCTCCATCCGTTATCTGTCATGTTAGTTCCTTTAGGAACTGTCTCTGAGCGAACTATGTCCATAGTCCAATCGGAGACAGTTCATAAAGGAACTACTGTCATGTCAGACTTTGAGATTGCTCAAAGAAATGCTATTCAAAGAGTTTTTCCTGAAACTGAGATAACTGGTTGCTTTTTTCATCTCTCTCCGGGTATATACCGCAAAATTCAGACAGAAGGACTCCAGCAGCGTTACCAAACAGACAACGTATTCAATCTTGACATCAGAATGATACCAGCCCTTGCTTTTGTGCCAACTGATGATGTTGAACATGCCTTTGAAATATTAGCTGAACTACTTCGAGGATACCTACATTGAGAGA